CATTACGATATAGTTTTTGTACAGCTTGGTATTTGTAATCATGGTATCCGTGTCTCTTGATTATCTTATTAACAGCACTTTTTGATAAGTTACGTTCACCTGCAATAGTCCTCGACCCAAATCCTGGATTTATTCGAATTTGAGCTAAGACATTAATATCGTTGACTGGCTCCTTTCTTCGAACATACGGAACTCTAGCTTTATCGAATGTATTATGTTCGAGAAGAGTTGTAGACAAACGCCGAAATTGTTTTATATTTGGGTGCATTCTGTCGGGATATAAATCCCCGTACCTTTGTTTTGCTCTGAACGAATTTCTGTTCAGTTTGATGTATAATTCGTACATATCTCGTCTTTCTTCTGCAGTGTATCTTACCATATTAAAGTTAGACTAGGTACCAAGAAACACACAAAAAACTTTTTTACAATGAGAAATTTTCGTAAAGCAATAAAGAACAACATAATAATAATGTGACAGTTCTTGTAATATGGATTGGTTTCACGGCCTACTATATTTTATAACAAGTAGTAAGATGATATTAGTTTAAAATCATTATCAATTGCTGTGCCAGTAATAAAATAATATTTTGCCTTCAAATTTGGTAGGTATGTATTGTCAAAAATAGAATCGAGAATATCTTTTAATCATTTACTTTATCAAAACATACTTTTTAATAGTCGAATAATTGAATAATTATTAATTCTCATTTATTTTTTCCTAATTATAATCACTTTATCTTCGAAGTATTATACACTGAAAAAATTAACGCTGATTATAAATTCAATACAGATAATCCGTACCAATAAAATTTGGATTACGGTCCATATTACCCAAAAACTGTCAGTGAATGCCATTGTGTAATACACCGCTGGATGCAGGATAAAAAGTTATTTCAAATAATGTTATAAAATACCTAGGCCCATATTTAAAAAAAAGTTGGTGATCTGGAGAATACGAAACGTTGGATGCAAAATATGAAAACGTCAAATCAAAGAAAATTTACTATCAAATAAAAAACTTTTAAAATATTTTTTAGTAGTTCTGAAAATAAATGAACGATAACCAAAAAACCAAATTGATCGAATTTCCTTTTATCGAAATATCTCAAGAACCGTGCCTGCTATTTTCGATTAATTTTCACCGCTAGATTATGCTTCGAGATACGCAACTTGTTCTCCATTTAACCGACTTTCTAACTACTATGGTTTGGAAATTACTAATACAATCCCATTAAAAAAGTGGCCACCCTGTATAAAATGGGAAAAATTAAATAAATTCTATCTAATTTACCTAACCTGTGCGGCCTGGAGTCATCGCAGGGTGCTTCGCTTTAAAATAAACATAAAATGAAAAAATAAAAAAAAAATAGTGTTTTCGAACTAAACTTTTTCGAATAAATGTATTTTTGAATTGATAGTCTAAGATCCGAGTAGGGAAACGACCTTCATCTGTCTGTTTAATGGATAAAAGGTATTTTATATCAAATTTAATATTTTAAGTAATATATTGCGAATAGGTTGACTGAAAAATTTCAGTCCAGGATGATTAATTAAAAATTTAAAAATGTGTTTTTTTAAACATTGCACTTGTTTGTTTCATCTACAAATTACATACCAATCGAAAGTATGAAGATTGTAGAATATGCAAACGTTAGGTAGACTATTTTTTTCCAGTCATAACCATTGGGTAATAAACAAAACTTATGACAAAATAAAGATAATGTCATTGCGAACAAGGTGGTATAAGGTTGTCTGCGAAAAATCTGTCTTGCATACCAGTTGTCGGTTTTTAAAGAGCAAAATATTGAATGAATACGCGCGATAGAATTGAAAAAAACGTCCTACTGCTTATCGTTGTTATTTATTCACGTTATTGTAATAAACAATGGGTGCTATGATTGAACGTTTACGTTATCTGTAACGTTCATGTTAGGCCGAGTTTTAACAGAAATGAGGCAAATTCGTATGATGAAAAATTTTTTTCAATACATTACTGGTATTTTCCGCCTGTTATGTTCTAATTTAATAGTTTTCCATCATACGAACTCGCCTTGGGTCCTATGATTGAACGTTTTCGTTATTCGTAACGTACATGTTAGGCCGAGTTTTAACAGTAACGAGGCAAATTCGTGTGATGGAAAACTTTTTCCAACACATTACTGTTATTTTCCGCCTGTTATGTTCTAATTTAACAGGTTTCCATCATACGAACTTGCCTCGTTACTGTTAAAATTCGGCCTAACATGTACGTTATGGATAACGTAAACGTTCAATCATAGGACCCAATGAAATTGGCTTTTCGTAAAATAAGAAATTTTATAGACAATGATGTTGCTAACCAATGCGTCTCTCGATTTTGTTAGTTATCATACCACCTGTTAAAAAAAAGTGACCGCTTTGAATAAAAAATATAGGGAAGAATTTAATAATTTTTATGCTGAGAATACAGTAAGTACCTACATAATAAATGAATATTCTAAATTATCTCAATAAATACATCTTCTATATTTTTATAATGAAATAATGACACATTCTGATTTTGTTTTAAATAAATTATTAAAAAATGTTTTAAAAAATTTGCACCTATGGTTTTGTTAATTTTCGACATACATAAATAAACTTTTCATTATTTCCTTAAAAACATGTTGAGAATATAAACAAAAAATCTGATTTTTGTGACTTTGTGTTACATCATTATTGAGGATATTTTCATTCATCTAAATCAAACATTTAATAAAAATTATGTGTCAAAAATTTTTATTTAATCACAAAAATTCACTTTTAAGGTGCATGCCAAAACATCTACCGCTGATGAAGACCCAAAATGTCTGGATTATAGTGTCACTTCCTGTACGACAGTTACCGGCGGTGAAGACAATAATGTTAATAACTTCTCAAACTTCTGCGGATGTTGACAAATATTTTATTTTTTTTTTGAGCAATTTTTATTTACTTGTTATTTTTTCTTCGGTATTTTCATGTGAAAACGATAATTTCATTGTAAAATTGATTTAGTACTTTCATTATTTATTGATATCTTTAATGTAAATGTAACTATTTCCTTTCAATCTTTGTAATTTTTAATTACCGAAGACTATTGTTTTTTATTTCATTTATTCTCTACAAAGTTTTAATTACTTTTGACTTATATTTTTTGGTGTATTTTAAAATCTGTTTCAAAAATCGTTCTAGTCATTTTCAGATAACATATATAATTTTTTTAACTTTTTAAATTCAAAAGTCCGATTTTCAACAATTTAGTTAAGTTATATATAAATTTTTTTGAACAGTTATTAAAATTTTCGTGATATCATTTTTTAGTCGTTCAAATAAAAATCTTATGCTCTTTATTTTTTTGGGCGATTCTTATATTAAACATGATTTAAATTGTTTCAGGAGTCGTCAACATCAACAGCATCGAGTTTGCGACCGCACGCATAAAAGATATGGGAGGCAGTTAATCTTATATTCCCTCAAAGTGAAAAATTACCATTACAAATAAAAAATATGGCTGAAAATTTTGGTGATTCGGAGATCAAACTGTTGCGTACCATCAGTATTGTTACGCAGTGTATCAAACAAAAGAGAAGCGATTCACCGATGAATCTACCGATTCCAGTTATGTTAAATATAGACAACTGCATAAATTAGCTTTTGAATCCTTATCAAATTTCACCAGGCTCAAGAATTTTAATAAAAGCCTCTGATACTGATGTTTTGATTATTTTGTTGGAAAATATGCACGAATTTTCGGAATCTGAAACTTGGCTAGCCAATTCAGCAACAAAGAAGACAAATAAGCAACATCTTGATTGCATTAATTGTACCAATTTAGCGTTGAAGTTGGTATCCAAATTATGCCAAAGTCTACTCGCTTTCCATGCATTTACAGGTTGCGATTACATGGCAGCATTTTTTTACAATAATGGAAAAGTAAAACCTTTTAAGTTATTTTTGCAAAATGAAAGGTACCAAATAGTTTTTGCGTCATTAAGTGATGAAGCCGATATTTTCATATACAAAAAAATGAACACCGTTCAAGAGTTTACTGCGAGTATGTACCTATGGCATAAAAAAATTGCATCAGAGTAAATGATTTTGATTTAAAATACTTTTCAACCGTTAAACAAATGGGTGAAGGTCGACCTTACTTCGGATCCTGTACTATAATGCTTTTCGAACAAACGTATTTTCAAACTAAGGTTTTTCGAACACATTTTCGAACTAAGAGTTTTCGAACAGACGTGTTTCGAACAACGTGGTTCGAACAAAATTCGGTCAACCCCTTTATGAGAGGCAACTTTATCGCACATCTATAGAAACATTCCGTAAACGCCTTTTGATGGATCTAACTCAAATCCAGGAATTTTTGGGATACGTCCCTTCGTCATGTTAGCGACGAATTGAGATGAGTCGTAATGAAAAGAAATGTTTTCCTTAAAAATTGGTAACTTATCCTTGTTAAAGGTGGGGCAATTTCACATACATTTCTGACCATCTTCCATATGGTTGAGATATGTATAGCAGATTTTACTTCACTTATACTATTAACAAAAAATAAATTAAATCATTTATTTTAAAAACAATTTCTCCTAGAACTCATTTTTTATTTTTTCTTATTTTTTTAGTGTCTTGGCAGTGATCAATTACATTTTTATAGTTGTATAGTTTTTCAGGAAAGTACGCAATTAATTTTGAAGTGTGACACCAGTGTAAAGCAAGCGTAGTGGACGTAAATACTGATTTAAGCATAAAACGCATGCTTCCTCCTCAGGTAAACCATCCCCACTGAAATTAGCAGTAGCCAATGCGACAGCTGTCTGCATAATAATAAACCCAATCGGAATGATTGCAATAAATAAGGGCTTTGTAAGAATGAATGGATTAGTCTAGTAGTTTTTCGTAGTTGCGTACATATATATTACTGTAACTTTTATCTACTATTGAAACCGAATTCAAGTACTGTAAATAATTTGATAAAAAATAATAAAACACAGTGATACAGTTGACAAATTTTTATTCCACAGCACCCATGCCAACAAATTTCCGATGTTTCATGAACGTAAAGACAGCATAAAAAAGAATACCTTTTTAATAAGCACCAAAGACCACAAAATTTGGCACTACCAATTAATTGATACAGAACAGCCAAGAGCTCAAAGATATATATTCGCTTCAATGCTCTTTAAAAAGATACTCAACATTCAGATCGTCTCGTGTAATTAATTATTTATCTGATTGGACACGTTAAGTTCTTATTTCATATATAGCGATTGCAGGGGGTTCACATCTTCCACATTTGGTAACAGCATAAATGGTTATCTGAATGGTAGCCGATAGATCGATGGAATGGACCATCGCGCTTGTTCTACCACCACTCATCACTTTGGATTTGTTCACTCCGTTGATGAAAATATCGTAGCCCGTGATGGCACCACTTTTCGGTGGTTTCCATTTCAATATTATACTATCATCGGTGATTCGTCTGATGTCAACAACTTCGAAACCTCTTAGGTCAACGTTTTTGTAGTCTTTGTCTTTATGTTGCTTTCCGCACTTACAAATTTTACTGCTCCTCTTCTTCCTAACGATTCTCTCATTTTCAATAGCTTTATATTTCTTTTCCTCGTAGTTTTTCGGAATTATATCGGCTGCCTTATCGTAATCAGGCGCATCACCCGAAACGCAAGAACCCAAAACCTGCAGAAAAGAATTACTATTAGTACGGTTCCTCAATTCTCCAGTCATTGCTTCAATCAGCAAATCTTTCGCCTTGCACTTTTCTTGCAAGTTATTAAGAGCCAGCTTTAGGCCGGACATGGTTTGGCCGAAAGCAGACGCTTGTTTGATTAAAGGCGTCTTCATAGCCTTTTCTTCCACCTCGCTGCAAACGCTCTTTATGTTACTCAAAGCCGAAGTTATTTCCTGTATTTGATTCTTGCAGTAATAGTTCTCCTTGGTATTATCTGCAATGTTCTTCATCAGAGTGGCGTTGTCCATTTCGGCCAAATTCAAAACGTTCATCTCAATACTTTCGCAAGCGCCAAATCTGTTCTCAGACTCCCCTACCTTGGCGTTTTTCATCGGAGTGCAAATACAGCTGGTGGATCTATTGTATCTTGTCAAAGATATTCCCACCTTCGCGCTGTGGGTGCTCACCGCGTCGCCAACTTTTGTGCTGACTCTGCTGTTAGTTATATTAGCATCCGCACAAGGATCGCAAAGACATAGGGAGCAATCACAATCCGCTCCGTCTTGATCGTCCTTGCTTCTGTTCATCAAGCTGGTACAAGACGGGGATGAACATATGGGACAAATACTGGACGTCGACGCAACTTTATATTGCACCTGTACTTCCGCAGCTGTCGTAATGGGACACGCATACATGGCGCTCTCTTTTCGGCCGCCCGCTTTGTTACACATGACACATCTACAAGGGTTACAAGTACACGGCAATCGCGACGGTACTTCAAACGGCGGCGGGTCTTTGTTGCACGGAACCGACTTAAATCCGCCTCCTCTGAGTGCTAGCCCTTCAGGGTTGCCCTGTTTTTTATTACATATGGTACATTTACAATCGGCACATTGACACGGCTGTCTCGTAGGGACTTCGAACAGAGCTACTCCGCCACCTCCGATACCGCCGCCGCGAGGGCACGACGGCGGACACTTTTTCGCACCGGCCGCCCCTTTCGACTTTTCTTCCTTTTTCGACTCGCCTTTCTTTTCGCATATTTCGCATTTGCATTCTTTGCATTGGCATGATATCCTTTTCGGTGGTTCGAATCCACCGCCTCCACCGCCTCCTCCTCCTCCCCCGGCGCACTCCTTACACGTGCACGTTGAGCAATGGCATTCAGCATCTTTTTTTGCCGGCGGTGAGGGTGTGCACGGCTTGCATTGACAATTATCGCATTTGCAATCCGGGTTCTTCTGCGATCCACCGAACGCGCATTCGACGCAAGTGCAGTCGCCGCATTTGCATTTCTGCGAGTCGCCGCTGGGAGCGGAGGACGGTTTCTTCTTCAAATCTTGTTTGGATGGACCAGCAGCGATCGTCTTCCTTTCGGTGCCTTTGATTTTGATTTCAGGTCGAGATCGTGCTCCCTTTTTAGCTGCATTATTACACGAATCGCAGAAACACGTCAAACAATGACAACTCCTGTTTTTGGGTAACGCAGGCGCTGATTTGGCTTCCTTGACCACCTTCTTGTCTCCAGCGCCGCAATCTTTGCATCGGCAATTATCGCCGCATTGGCAGTCGTCGGCCCTCTTCGTCTTACCCGCATGATGCATGCACGGTTTGCATTTGCAGTCTTTGCATTTGCAGGCGTCAGCGATGTTGCACTCTCTGCATTTGCACTTGGGACAAGAGCAGCCAGGCTGATGTTCGACGACTTTTTGCTTCTCGAAGATGCAATCGACACATTTGCAGGGGGTGCAAGAGCACATTAGAGCGCCACCTGCCGCCTTTGCTGCGCACTGACATCCTCCGCACTTGCAGTCGATTGCGTGGGTGCTAATTGATTTTTTCACGAATGCCATACGCTTTTTCTCGTTTTCGTCTATTTTCTAAAAAAAAAAATTAAATTAATTAGGTCGATTTTGTTTTACTATTTTTATGAATAATTTATTACTAATCTATATCAAAATTATCTGCTCAAACATTAAGAAAAATAATCCTTATATATCCAATCCTTCTAGAACCGTAACGTTACTAAACCTTGTTGTGGTTATCATTATCGAAAGCATCAATCCCACAAAAAGTTGTAAAAGGTAGCGAATGTAGAAATAAGGAACTAAAGGTAAAGTTGAGACGATCGAACTGACGCTTAAGAGAAATATTTTTATCGGAAAATGACCTGTATATCGGAGACTGAGACCCAGATCGACAGTCCATAAGGACGTTTAATTCATGAGCCAAACAATACTATATAATCACAGAAATACTGTGACCTTGAAACTTAAATCGGGTATAACGCAAGAGTTGCCAATTTGAATTATTTTGATATTCTGGCTAAATATTGCTGCCTTGTTTAGTTGCCACATTTTTAAGATGTCAAATATCCAATAAGTTTAGTGGAATAAACATTAACATTATTCTTGATTCCAGAGTCCAAAGAGAATAGTGCCCGTGAACGATATAAAACCAGGAAGTAGAAGGACAAGGTGGAAGAAATTCGTTCGAGTGTATATACAGGGTGGTCCTTAAGTAATTGTACATAGAAGTATGGTAGATTCCTCACATTAAAATATTACGATTTAAACAAACTTGCTTTAATAAAATGTTGCTATTAAGGAATATACAGGATTTTATAGGTTACATTTAGAGATTTCTTTTTTACAATAACTTTAACGTTTTTGGATATGTATTATGTATACATAAAAATTTGGAAATAGAGGTTTTTGAGCACCAAAAATCAATCTGGTACCTACTTTGATGTAATTTGTACAGGGTGCTACATAGGCTACATTTGTGGCATAAATGTGCACTAAACTTTTTTCTGTTGTTAGCGGTAGTTTTGTAAAAGAATATTAAAGTCACGTTATTTTAATAGAAGAAAAGTATACTTGTTATTAACCTTAAAACTTAACGGTTTACGATATAATAGCATTTTAGGGATCAGCTGCATGATTATTAATGAAAACATTTAGAAAACAAATTAAAAAAAACTAAGCTAAATAACATAACTTTAATTGTGTCACATTAAATGTTCGGTATGTCCTCCATTCTCGTCGATGCATTTATCTACACGTTCCCTAAAAGATCGTCTCTATTTATTTCTTCACAAAGTAATAATTATTCATTACGGGTACTATTGACGTAGTAGGCGGACGCCACGAATGATTTTGACAGCAAAGCATTCGATTTGTTTCAATATTATGTTAGTCTTGTAATATTCAGTTTGTATTTATTTTGGTTAATTTAAAAAAAGCAGAAAATGCCGAGGCATAATTATTATTCTAATACAGATATGAGAGATATGTTGAAATAACAGCCCAGTTTACATTAGACAATAAGAAAATTAGTAAGAACTGGAATTCATAATACAAAATGTAGGTGTATTTCTATTTTGCGCCATGTTCGCATTAGGACACACAGTAACCATTGCTGCGTTTGATAATCCACATCGGATGCATTTTTTACATCTCGAGCGTTTTTTTATCCACATCGGACACATCTATCCCATTACATTTACGTATACTGAATCACGTGATCAAAGATTTTTTTACATCTCAGATGCATCCGATGTGGATTCTCAAACGCGGCACATGTTGGCATATAAATTAGGGTGACACTTGACATTTGTCAGTCTCTCAGATTTATGTTTATGAAGACTAGAGAAAATTTTAAATCAGTTATTAGAAATGTGACCAAGTTAAGTGTGGTCAAGGTTCTTACGTCATTATAATGACGTTCTATTAAGGAGGTCCTTTCGCCACCAATGTTAAATAAAAAATATTAGATTATGACTAAATAATTAAATTTACACTATTCATAAAAAAATTGTTTTCAATTTACTCATTTGTGTCGTAATTTTATTTAAATAATAAAAAAATTATAATGTGTAAGTATATCTCATTATTGTAACCTACCGCACCCAGGTACCATAATAATAATAATAATAATAATAATATAATAATATAATAATAATAATAATAATAATAATAATAATAATAATAATAATAATAATAATAATAATAATAATAATAATAATAATAATAATAATAATAATAATAATAATAATAATAATAATAATAATAATAATAATAATAATAATAATAATAATAATAATAATAATAATAATAATAATAATAATAATAATAATAATAATAATAATAATAATAATAATAATAATAATAATAATAATAATAATAATAATAATAATAATAATAATAATAATAATAATAATAATAATAATAATAATAATAATAATAATAATAATAATAATAATAATAATAATAATAATAATAATAATAATAATAATAATAATAATAATAATAATAATAATAATAATAATAATAATAATAATAATAATAATAATAATAATAATAATAATAATAATAATAATAATAATAATAATAATAATAATAATAATAATAATAATAATAATAATAATAATAATAATAATAATAATAATAATAATAATAATAATAATAATAATAATAATAATAATAATAATAATAATAATAATAATAATAATAATAATAATAATAATAATAATAATAATAATAATAATAATAATAATAATAATAATAATAATAATAATAATAATAATAATAATAATAATAATAATAATAATAATAATAATAATAATAATAATAATAATAATAATAATAATAATAATAATAATAATAATAATAATAATAATAATAATAATAATAATAATAATAATAATAATAATAATAATAATAATAATAATAATAATAATAATAATAATAATAATAATACTCTCCCTAATTCACCCCCTTACGAGTGAATTTCAACCCCTGAAGTCGACTGAACGACTTGTGTAGGGGAAGGGACGGCTATTATTATTATTTGCTGTGGCGCTCCGGGGCGACTTAAAGATGATTGATGGTGCCATTTGACTTACAGGCGAGGAAAACCCGGAAAACCTCACCCACCATCATCGAGACGGTAATGTATGGCGATTTTTTTTTAATCTGCATGTCATATCAACAGAAATTGAATTTCTATTAATTCGCCACACATCAAATCCTAAACCGAACCATGCAATTTAATTAAAAATCCACATGGTCCGGTCTGGGATTCGAAACCCAGCAGTCTCAGACTCATAAACTTGCCTATAAATGAATATAAGCGCGATAGACCGCTACACCACCGTCCCGATAACAAAAATCTCCCAGATAATTAAATCTTATTTACGACACCTAATAAATAATATCTATAACCCAGCCCGTAAGAGATCCAATTTCTTAAAAGTTTCTGGGGACGCAATCTAAAACCACCATGCAACATAAGTTACCACGAAGTAATAATCATTAAAACTCTTAACGCACTTATCTTAAGTCAGTTTTGAATAGGAACGTTGTTTTCGATACACAAACTTTCCAAGGCAAGTAATAAATCAGCCACCCCCCTATCCACCTAAATTCGTATTTTCTATGAGAAACAAAACGATAGAAACGTCACAAAAACGATTAAACTGTGTATAAAAGCCAGAGTTAAATGAGCTCAGAGGCATTCAATTTTTGTCATTTGATGTGCAAGCATACATTTGTTATTTTACATTCAAAGCAATCACCTTACTGTCAGTACCCAGTTATACAGTCTGTACCTTTCCTAAACGCTCTTCCTAATCGACGTCTATCCCACAATACCTCCTATTTCCCAAAGGTGTCAACGTCTCGACGCCCAACGTCTCGACGCCCAACGCCTCTCCGTTCTACTTCCCTACCTTTCGACGTCCCAACGATATTACTTCTAACACCACTTAGTATTTCCTACCATTATATTCATCCCGACGCCCAACGTCTCGACGCTCGACGTCACTATGTCATCTCTTTATCCGACGTCTCCATTCGTCGCTCAATATCTCATCCGACGCCCTACGTCCTTACTTATCTACCTTCCTGCGTTTGGCATTCTGCGTCACGACGCTCCTTCTCCGCCCCGCCATTCTAAATTTCGACGCCAACGTCTCAACGTCCCTGCTAATTATCCAGAATACAAAAATATAAAATGTCTGAAATAGAAACAGACGATAATATAAACCCAACGGCCTGTTTATCCGATGGTGAATTAATAACAACCAAATTAAATTTATAAAAATGGGAATTTATTGTTGAATAATAATGAGTATTATTGTGTAACTCATTATTATTCAATAATGGTAAATCTTTACCTTTGAGGAATTTATTGCTAGATGACGTCGCATTTAGCTCGTCCAGATGTGTATGCTATGGGCCATATTGCCTTCAAATTAATATATCACCGTAAAAGATAATAAGAGTCTGGTTACCGAACTGTCAATGAACCCTCGCAAATAACAGCTTAGGTGATTGGGGTAAATGACACATCGGACGACTAGACTCACATTTATCCGAATATGCTTGATGTTACTACAGGGTTGGACTATCTTAGATAATTATCTCTTAATCTTCGCACCGTAGGTAGATCTGAACATAAGGGGTAGTTCGCTAGTATTGATCTGGCTCTATTCTAGTAAGACTACATCTACATAAAACCCCACTAGGTGAAGCTGAAACATAAGGGATATCCGCCTGTTATTGCAACGACGGTATCTCAGTAAGCGCACCTTTATAAAAAAGAAAACAACGAAACAAAGAATTATTAAAGATAGTGCAATTCTGAGGAAGTCTGCTGTCTATTCTCAAGAATTGTTTTATTACAAATATTTGATGGCAAGTGGCCTGTAGCCTGTTGTTTGGGCGAGACACATGTGAGGTCTACCTTATATTAAAGTAATTTGTACATATTTATTTATTGGAGATAAAAAAACAAAATAAATGAACTTAAATATACTTTGAGCATTATTTCATTCACAAATTTGTACCAAACTTTGCATCGAATCCTGGTTTATTTTAATTAACATTATCACAACGTGGGTATATAAATTATCAATTAATTAACTAGACGATCACTACACTACTAGAGGAAAAGGCTATATACAGTAAGTATGAATTTCTTTGAATTTCACAAGGGGAGGGAGGTAGTTAAATTAAAACACGGGCTTTTAATAATTATCTACAAGACCGGGGGGTGGGAGGTCACATTATGATAAATAAATAATTAGATAGTACTCTAATAAGCTGATATTTTTCATTTATTGTGATATTTTCAATTATAAAACAAAAAAATTTGGTAAAAATAAATAAATTAATAAATAAAAATGAAAAACATAATTGCGTTAAAGTTTACATTGAATGTATTCAATGGTCTGAAGTTCGCGCGCTACGCAACGTTGCCAAATGTTTTGACTCCATTTTAAGCTAGGTTACTTGAACATTTTTTGTGATTTTTTAATATTAATTTCTCAATAAATTCCACGGCAACCTATATATTTCATTGTAAAAAACAAAACCTAAATATTTCAAATACCTTATTTTTAGTTTTTTTCTACTCCATCTAATCAATAAATAATAGTATAATTCGAGAATTGTTGTTGAGGTCTTATTTTCTCGTAAGACACTGTAAAATACTCACATTTTTAAAAAAAAATTCTTAATAATTTGCACGGTGAGGTATAGTTAAAAGTTCATTATTAGATAAATAAGGACTTCAACTATTAATTTTAGTCATAATCTAATATTTTTTATTTAACATTGGTGGCGAAAGGACCTCCTTAATCTGATTTAAAAATGTTTAGTTAATATTGACACTAACTTGACAATGTGCATGACATTGTCAGATATCGTGAATTTTATTTATGTATTATGTATTGTAGTTAGGATTTGGTTTTGAATTTTTAGGGATAAAAAATAAGTTATAAAAGTAATCTTAAAAACCGACTTCAAAATCGTGCAAATTCCATCACCAAATCTTGATCTAATTATATAGGACCACCCCTGAAGTACCCCCTTTCTAACAAAAAAAGAATCATATAAATCGGACAAGGCGGTGTAAAGTCGAAAATTGAGACCTGGGCACCTATCCTCGACTGGTGCTTTAATCAATGCGAATGCGCATTTACTAAATGCGAATGCTTATTTGCTCAAAAGCGTGTTGTAGCTATTCTTGGTCGTTCGAATTTATATTGCGGGTGCGCATTTGACAGCGAGTGGGTTTCTGCTCTTCGCATTCAAATGCGAAGGTCCAAAGAGCTTGCGAAGGTCTTACTGGATGCACGTTTTAATATTGCAGTGTTTTTGTTTTGTTTCATAAATTGATCGTGACCTATAGGTATGATGGCAAATATATATTTTTTTAATATCTTATTACAAATTAGAAGAGGCAAATAATCATCCTCGAAGAGTTTATGATGATAGGAAAGCTCCTTTAAGACTTTCTGATCAAGCGTTTATCAGATTGTTTCGGTTAATTATATGTGTCTTTTTACTAATATTTTCCATTTTATAACGCTGCAAATTATGTATAGCCAAACAGTACATCAAAAAACAACCCAAAACCACGACTTCATGCTCAAAACCATTACTCATATTAATATTGCTTCTTTTTTGCGAATAATTTTCACAAAACAAGCGGTGTGAACTTTGAGTCCTTTTTCTAGCAGACAATTTAATATAAATAATCGTCGATCATACATGGTTGCCAAGTTGCCATTCGCATTTATAAAAGAGGATTACGAAGGCACAGATACGAAGGGTTAAGAATACGGTTTCTAATGCGTCTTCGCATTGAACCACTCGCATCTCTTCAAAGCGAGTGCTTAAACGCACTAGTCGAGGATAGGTGCCCTGGTAGTATATCGTTTACGGGCACTATAATAACAAAGAATTTATTTATGACTTATTCACCATTGACTGTTTCGACAGTAGAACCGACAAATTTTTCGAGTTAAACTTTTCATTTCATATTAACATTATTACTTACCATCATTAGACATTTATACGTAATGTAAATGTACTTACCGGTCCAGAGGCCTCACTATGGTGATGCCCACCGCATTTGCACGCCTCGCAAGTGCAACTCGCCGGATGTTCGCCCGCAATTTTCGATCCGCATGCGCATACTGCACAAGTACAGCCCGGCGGGTGTTTGTCTTTGCATAAGCACTGGTCGCACTTGCAATCCGGAGGATGTACGCCGCAGAGACAGGTTACGCAAATGCAGTCGGCGTCTTTCAAACCGGAACACCTGAAGTAAAATGTATTTATATTTAATGTCAATTTAAATCCAAGAAGAGCCACTTTACAAATGGCAAACTGTAAATTGGCCCTAGAAGGTCCTTACAGAAAAAATAAACTTTGAATTAGATTAGGCATATATTTAAAAAATCTGCTAACAACATTATTAGATAAGTTTTGGAAGAATTTCGTGGCTTTAATAAACAATATTTTTATAAGTTGTAACACTTGAAATTGCTATTATTATTACCAGTTAATAAATTAATGTGAAAAACAAACATCTTTTCTCGAGGACATTATTTAACCTACACAATTCTAATTCACTACAAGACTACAATCAAGCACACCTCCTTTCACAAATTATAAAAATAGAAAACAGAATTCGGAAGTTATTTTAAAAAGGACTGTGGGATATTAAATGTTTTTATGATATCTCATAATTAAATAAAAATATGGATGCAAATATTTTAAAATATCATGTAGATGAAGGGCAAGACATGTACATAAAAAATAACGGGTATTCCAAAAGTTTTGGGAAAAAGTTTGTCTGTGCTCTGCGGAGTATTAAATCAAATTTATCTAGTTAGCCATGGAAATAAACGTTGCCCTGGGCAAAGAATACCTACCCAAGAAGCGAAACTGAATGAGTTTTCGTATGTACCAATGCATGGGAACTTAATACACTGGGAAACGTATGAAAATTAATAATTTTTTGTCGTTTGGTTCATAAGTATTAAACACATACTAAAGTAACAATTGGTTCGTTCAATGTCATCAAACAGTTTCGTACTATTACGAATCGGTAAAAGGTAAACGAGCAAACTCGAAACAGCTTTTTTGAAACCGTTTATTAAAACGTAAAAGTGCAAATTAAAGTAGCTTCTACGTTTAACAATCAAAAGTATGCCAAATGGAAACTAACGAAAGGGTTCTGTGGCAGTGTTGTTTTCGCAAGTTGAAGTAAAATGCGTTTTAACATATTTTCCCGTAAACTAATTTCAATACCTGACTCAAATTGTTTGGAATAATAAATTATCCTAAGTTAATTTAAAGTACAAACTCTATAAAGATATTTCAAATTTCAACCTGTCCTTTGTTCATTCACCGTCATCTAAAGTGACCATATTTTGAAAATTAGAAAGTGGGATAAATCAAAAAGATTGAGATTAGGAGATTTTTGTCAAAGAATTCTATTTTTTTAAGTAGTGAGGGTTCATTGGAGAGCAAAAAAAAACGTCACCATAATGGCTTAAAAGCGGGATAAAATTGGGACACATGTTAAATCGGGACTAGATTTAAAATCGGGACTGTCCGACCTAAAACGGGACGGATGGTCACTTTACCATCATCGCAACTGTTTACACGAAGCATAGAAACGTATGATTCCCAAACAAATCATTAATCAAATGACAGTGAGCACGGCCAATGAAACAGAAAATTCTTACCATGTTCATTATGTAAAATAGATTATTTTATAACGAAATAAGTACTGTAGGTACAATAATGACAGGCACTACACAATAGCGTAAGCAGAAAATCTAGTCATTCTGCAAATAGGGCATTTGAGAACATATTCTGCGAAAGAATGCAAGTATGTCTTAAAATTATAGGATCTTCACTGTATATCAATACCAAGAAAATGAAAATGGAAATGATCCTTTTCACAAGGAAGAGGATGAAATTGAAACCACCCGAGCTCCTAAACAAAAAACAAAACCATCAAGACAGAATGAAGTAGAGACGACATAAACATTGTTTTGCGATATGACATAAGGACGCACATCTAGTGACGAAAAAATGTAATGAAAATGACGACTTTAGTCGTACTTTGATTTATTTGAAGTCAATCATTCTATATTTGAAGTCTCACGGAATGACAATGATTTTATATCATTTAAATGCAGCTATTTAAAAAAAATGGCATTTATTCTTACCAAAACTGATTAGCTTCACTATCTCGAATTTGACATATGACGTAAAAATTTAATGCAAATGTGCGGACACTTAAGCATCGTCATAGCATCTCTTCTCTTTATTCTTAAAAGGAAGCATAATGGACATAGTGAGGCATAAGTGCCGTGGGGTAACCCACTCTCTACACGTCAAATATATAGAAGAACTGTAGAATTTGCCATATATTTTAATTATTGTTTTGTATTATTTTTTATTAACTGTTTTAATCCGAATTAATTGAAAAACAAAAAAAACAAATTTTAAATAAAAGACTATGAATTTAAACGATGCATAATACATAGGCGTAAAACATCATTAAGGTAATACTGATTTAGAAATTTGAAATATAAAACATTGACAGCCAGATGCAAGAACGGCCATTAAAATTTACTAACAATGCAATGTATTTTTTTTTTTTCAAATAACAAATATCTTAAAACTATCTAATTTCTAATTAATAGTTATGTAAATACAACTACGTACTTTATTGCAATTTTCACAAAACGCTAATAATAATATACCAAACGTTGTTCTACATAAATTGACAGCTATGTTTGACATTATTACTCCTCTAAAACACTGAGAAAACTTGGCAGTTTTTTGTCCACGAATTGCCCATTTAGTGTCGCTTCTTGGGTAGGTATTCTTTGCCCTGGGTTTTGTTTACTTGGTTGACAGCCCAGTTGCTATCTGTCTGTAGGCATAATGGCGTACAAAATTGAGATTCGAAAATCTATTTATAATTTTGTTGGCAGAATGCCAAAAAAAGATATCGTTAATATTTTCCGGAATCAAAATATATCTAAAACAACCATTTACCGAACAATTCAAGAATGCGAACAAGGAATACCTTGTCTCAACTTGCCGAAAAGTGGCAGACCGGCAACGCTTACCGATGTCAGGGTGAACAGGATGGTCGAACTTGCAAAGGATACCATTGGAGTGTCAACGATTTCAGGTATCAAAATCGACCGTTTCTAGATATATTGCAAAAAAGGCTTAAATTATAGAAAACGGACAAAATGTCCAAAGTATAACGAGGCCCAACTTCGAAGGATTCCTTATTATTGCCGCTTGTTACGTCTTCGTCATTTTGTGAACAACAGAAAGATTATACTGGATGACGAAAAATATTTTACATTTTCGCATGCCGACCTATCAGAAAACTCAGGTTTTTATACAGATAACATTGAAAATACCCCCGAAAATGTAAAATACAAACCAAAGGCCAAGTTTGTGGAGAAACTGTTATGGATTGCATTATCGGAAAATGGTTTGTCCAGGCCCTATATAGGACGTGTTAGAGGCCCTGCAGTGGACCAAAATAATTAAATTCAAAATTGTCTTTCGAAATTGGTAAATTTTATTGGAGAACATCATGCCAACGACAATATCATGTTTTGGCCGGACTTGGCGTCGGCTCATTATGCTAGAGCCACATGCTAATGGTTAAGCTCAAAATGTGCCTTTTGTGCCTAAGCAGGACAACCCCCCGAACGTTCCCCAAGCGTAGGCTATTCCAAAAAATTAGAGAGTTTGATGTTGAAGAGTGCCAAACCATAATAAGACACGTCAAGACAAAACTGCGCCATATCGAAGAAAATGGACCCCTAGGGTGCTGTAGTAGTTTTTATTTATTGTTAAGGAACCACTTTGTACGTAGTATTATGAGGGATAAATATTTTTAAAATATTTTTTTTCTTTAATTTTTTTCCCAAAACTTTTGGGACACCTGTTAATATTGAGCTTAATATTTATCAGCCAAGCTGCCATAGACATAAAGATTATACATTTGAGGAAGAAAGACAAGTGTAAGGTGTAGTGCGACAGCCGGCACTACAAGAACCTACAGAAAAGGTGATGATAAATGATAAAATAATCTTACTTGCAATGCTTGCATTCGCAAGTTTTGATCCACTTCTTTCTCTGTTTCTTGCTATCGCCACAAGGATTGCATTCGCATGGCTCGCAGTCGCAAGCGAGAGCCTTCGGTCTTCTGGGATCGCTACAAGGATCGCAATCGCATATTTTGCAGTCGCATACAGGAAACGCAGATAGAGGTCCTGCAGGACACTTACACGGATTGCAGCTACAGCCCGACAGGTCAATCGGTTTTTTCACTTTCGCTTTTTGGAATTTGGGGCCTTTGGGACAGTAGCACTCCGGACACGTGCAACCGCTCATATCGCCTCCCTAATTAGAAAAAAGTTTGAATTAATATATTTATTTTACTTGTTAAAAAATTATTTAGAACAAGATCGTGTCATGTAATTAGATCGCGCATTTTAAAATTATAAAGTAAATACCTTTCCAGGGGCAAGAGGACAATCACAAACAATACAATCGCAATCATCAGGTTGATCCCTTCTAGGATCTTCGCCAGCTGGAAGAGGACAATTACATATGCCGCAATCACATCCCTCTGGATGTCCTAAATCGGGAAGCTCCGGCGGGCCACCTCTTAGTTCGTTAACTTCGTTTTTGAGTTTGTCGATTTGTTTCTTCATCATTTCAATTTTGCACGAATCGCAAATGCAATCATTCGTACAGCAGCAGGCTAACCAGAAAGATAACAGTTTTTTAAAAAAATGCTTTCACAGATTATTTTTGTTTTAATTGCGCGACTTACGCTACAATTGTATTAACTAATGACATCAGCACTTTCGTGTACATGACGCCATCATTTTTTTAAATAGAACATTTTTTTCTCTTTATTTTTGAACTATCACTCAATAATGTATGTAGTACTTATGTCATTGGTTTGTGAATTAGTGGTAAACAGTACTTATATCAGAAATTTTGAAAGGACCAATAAACATGGTAGGTGTTTATTAATATCATCCTTTTTTTTAATTATTCTAAAATAAAACTAAAAAATGTATTAGTCCAGTCCGCAGGATGCGCTATCCGTAAATTAGAACAAATTGAAAGACCACCATGTCTCAGCATAACATGAGCCATGAAAACACCGACCAAAGCCATGGAAGTCATTCTTAGTCTCACTCCCCTTGATATTTACATCAAGGAGGTTGCTTTGATGACAATGACATGGCTACGCATGGTTGATATAGAACCTGATGTAGCATCTGGAGCGACACTCCGTGTCCCATCGCTTTCGACATATAGTTTTCTACAATCGATTTCTACTGTAGAATTCTATAAACGCTTTGCCGGTACTCTGTGTGACAGTCGATTCATGGATGTCAAAACATCGGACATTCTCGGAGGTTTACTAACCGATCTAAAAATGTTTGCTTGAAATATAGAGATTTGTTACTTTTTGTCAAGTATGTCAATTTCTGACAGATAAGGTGTCGCTTTGGTTTTGATTTTAAGTTTGTATTATCTAGTTTTTGCTTTGATTTGTAATAATGGTCCCTTTGTTTGTGGCCAATATATTAGCTGTTGAAGAGGAGGAACGACTATAACATCTTCGTTTGGAAAATATAGATAGGCGAGTAATGAGAGAGACAAGCGATCCATTCTCTATAGAAAATGTAAAATTTGTAGAGTTATTTCGATTAAATAAAGATATGTCCCAGTATATATTAAATGGAATTACGTCGAGAGCTAAAGAGGAAATACGGCCATTATAAACACCTTCTCAGGGGAATGGATTCGGTTTCCTAGAAATCTACAGGAAAAACAACAAATTTAGTTATGTTTTATAGAAGCAAGAAATTTTCCCTGGATAACTGGAGCAGTAGATTGTACCCATGTTGAAATCCTGCGACCAAATGAAGAGAAAAATAAGTGAATTGGTTTTTATGGAAAAGGGCACATCTACTTACATTTAATTTATTTGTGATCTTTTCCAAACTTATTTACAATAAAAGATTAAAAATAAAAATCTGATACATTATTTATTAAACATAGTTTTACAATGACATTATTAAGTAAGTTTGGAGACCTCTGTCGGCCAGTCAAGTATCATACTGTAAAATTATTTGTTTTATTGAGGAATATCCTGGATTAAGGATTTCAAATTATTAACTTTTTTATACTGATGCTGTGGATGTATGTGCCTCTTCAACAGGAAGATTCACCTTGGACCTAGCAGATTTTGCTGGTAAAAAAATATGGCAGAATAAACCTATTATAATGTTTACACCACACACCACAATAAAAAATTCACTTGATTTAACAACAAAGCTAATGGCTTTACCGTAATTCTTATTTTTACGTTTGTTACTTTTTTCATTTGAAATTAGATCCAATGCCATAATGTTTTAAAATCAAAACAAAAATGTATGACGGTTTGCCTACTTTAGTAGAAAACTATATGTCTTGACGTCTCGCTTCCTGGCGATAGTTACAGTCAACTCCTGGCAATTATTTGGAGACACAGAGTGCCAATCGATAGAATTGAAGTGACCGGTAGAATTCTATATGACACGGAGTCCCTGTGCTGGTGAGGCGAGATGTCGCTTTTGGCATGAGACTCTCGATACGCTCCCACTGCTTTAAGTGAACACGGACTCCATCTCACCGAAATATATCTTTCATAAACCATATAAAGTGATAACAGAATAAATAGAAGAGCCGGAAGTGGTAGGTACGGTTCATATCGGCACCGACGACGGTTCGAAAAGGCTCAGTATGTCGAATATACTTCAGATCCTTAAACCTAAACATAAAATGTAAGCAATAGTGCCAGTGTAGTTCAAACAGAGCTCACAGGGATTCTTATTACAGCAAAAGAAATCACCAGAAACAACACTGGAAGGAACATGCTAATCTATAGAGATAGATAGACAAGCACTACTCACCCAGAACATGAATTTACTCAGTAGTCGAAGCATTGAAGCAAAAAGTTAGGAATTTTTTAGACCAAGACGGATCGGAATGCGGTTTTTGCATTCTCTTCCAAAAATATTTTGGAAAAAATGCCCCTACTTTTATCTTATACAAACCGGAAATTGCATTGCTGCAGCCAAAAATGCATTAAACAAATGCATTTTTTGAGACGGCTTTTGGATAATTAAAGAACTTGGTCAGTCAGAACTGGCATAAATCGGGTTGCCGAGGGTTCTCAAGGTCGCTGATCACGATTATGATGTTCAAATTGACCCATAGCCGACTTGGCACTCAGGAACGCCGATGAACGTCACCTCCGTGGGACTTTCCCGAAACTCATGCGGGGAAGGAGAGAAACTCGGCGCCCGGGAGTTTTTCGGTCGCTGAATTCAAATATGGCATCGACGAACACCCCCGGATACCTGTTATGCCGGACCCTGGACGTGGACGTCATTCCCGATAATTTTCCTGACAAAATCGCCAAAAACAATCCGAAAATCATTGTAGGAGCGTTTTTTTTGGGCGCTCAATACAAATTTCACGTCGAAAACGAACCCCTGAACACCTGGTGCACCAGAACCTGAACGCGGACCTCATATACGAGGGTTTTCCTCACACAATAGAAGAAGATGAACCCAAAATTGTTATAAGGGTTTTTTGGGGGCACTGAATCCGAATTTCACGTCGAAAAAGAATCTCCTAACACCTGGTGCACCAGAACCTTTATCTTAACATCGATATCATTCCCATGAACGTCAACCAAACCTGATGTTTTAGAGGCGGACGTCAATACTGCAATGGCTATGTGGAATTGTTGATTCTAGTTAAATTATGTGAGGAGGAAAGAAATCGAATGAATAAAAAGTCAATATTTATGTAATAGGCGTTTAACAAATTTATATCGAACTCAAATCAAGTATCAAATCTAACTGTAACTTTACCTTGCCTCATTAATTAATAGATACCTAACTAAATATCAAAATCTTCTTTAAGTAACACATCACTAGTCTGTTCATTTTCTTCGTCATCGACTGACGTATTCATAAGTAACATCTTCCTCATCTAAGGCCTCTCTCTCTCTGCCGCAATAATGTTTTCAACTGAATATCTTACAATATTGTTGCAAGTTAAGCTTACACAAATTTTACAGGCAAGATTTCAAAGGAGGCCGTGCTTCTTGCAACTACAGGACAACAGCTTACAATTTCCTGCGCATCCACAGAATATTAGTTCCATAATATTCTTGGCTGCAGGTTTTTATGTCATTTCTATAGGGACCAGTGTGTCGCTTTCCTTTCTCCACCCCCATTCTGTTGGGTCCATGGTCAGCTGGTCTCCGTGCAGCCAATCTTGCACTTAAAAATAGACCCTCTTTAGATGATGGCGTCTAGAGTGGGGAGAGTTTTTCCTCAATATACTCTCGCCTTTAGAGCAGTTTTATGTACATTCTGTACCTGTACATATGTAGTAACTGGTCCCATTTTGGCTTCCTGAATGACAGTGGTGCACTGTACATTTCCAGGATTAGCTGCGCTCCGTTCTCAAAAAATTTATTCGCGTGACAAACCAGCTTCCTTGAACTTCGTAGCATGAGGTCTGGGAATTTCTGGAAGGTCTTGAAAAATTTAGTTTTATCCTGGTAGTACGTTGCTGAAACGGTATCGCACCCCGTTATTGCATGGAGCAACAAAATATTATCCGCAACTAGTGGCATATGAGACAAGCTTCGATTGTGTGAGGAAAACCCTCGAAGACGACGTTAATTGCCAGATTTCGGTGACCTAGGTGTGAAATGTGGATTAAGCGCCCATAAAAAACGCCCTTACAATGATTTTCGGGTTGTTTTTGGCGAACTTTTCAGGAATATTCTGGATGACGTCCACATCCAGGTTTGGGCGCACCAGGTGTGCGGGAGGTTTCGATTATGTGAGGAAAACTCACGGAGATGAGGTCCGCGTCCAGGTTCTGGTGAACCAGGTGTTCAGGGGGTCGTTTTTGACGTGAAATTTGGATTCAGCGCCCCAAATACGCCCCTAAAATGATTTTCGGGTTGTTTTTGGCGATCTTGTCAGGAAAATTCTCGGTGATGACGTCCATGTTCCGGCATACCAGATATCCGAGGGGTGTTCGCCGATCCTCGCGTGAATTTTGGAAGAGTCCCACGGAGATGTCTCCCAAAAGCCGTCTTAAAAAATGTATTTTTGGCTGCAGCAATGCACTTTCCGGTTTGTATAAGATATAAGTAGGTGCATTTTTTCCAAAATATTTTTGGAAGGGAATGCAAAAAACCGTATTTTGATCCGTCTTAGTCTAAAAAGTTCCGAACTGTTGGCCTTTTTACTGCTTCATTGCCTCCACTACAGAGGTTACAATGTCACGAAGCTTTGGCCGACGTATCCATCAACAATGTGGTCACCTTAAAATGGATCAAGGGTCACATCACATCGAAAGGTCTTGATGATTAACTGGCTAAGAAAGCAGCCAGCCAAATACTTTTTGGATTTGACCCTTCTATTGGCCTGACAAAATCGGTAGTGACAGATCTAATTAAAGAATATTCCTTTGTGAAATTCAAGGAAAGATGGGATGAAACAAGAAACTGCAGGGTTGCCAGGGAGCTTTTAAGTTATCGTGAAAACACTGTGGCAAAAAAATACTTGACTATGACTAGACATAATCTGCGCCTAGTCACAGGCATTCTGACTGGTCATTGCTAAGTACGGAAGCATCACCATATCATGGGGCTGTCAGAATCCGCACTCTGCACGGGGTGCGAACAGATTCTCTATGATTGCTCGACGCTCTCATTTATTAGATTTGTATTCGGCTAGTATCGGCTAACACCAACCGATATAAGAGAAGCACCTCTTGGCGACGTAGTCAACTACAATAAATCTGTAGGCTGGCTCACAAACTAGGAGGTGCCCATCATCTTAGGATGATGCACAATGGGCTTAGTGAGACCTAAGTGCACCCTCCACATGTTAAAGATATAGAGAAGATGCACCACAGTTAAAAATAAAAATTAACTTGTAAAATTATTTGCATTCTGAGGGCGTCTGACAGCCCTTTAGCAGTAACGTAGCCATCTGACGATTTGCATACCTCATCTGTGACTTTTAAAGAGGTGCTATGTAGATTTTCAACCAGAGGTACAATCATTTTTTCAGCTGATATTTTTTACAACTTTAAATTATCTGACGTCTCCTTTTCAGAGGTTCTACAAGGCAACACTGAAGGATACTTTTTGTAATTTTGCTTTAACTAAATATTTACCAAAAAAGTGATACTGGGTCCCCCACTGCTGTTATTGAGTTAGATAAAAAATAAATTAAAATAGCACACTCACGTTTTTTAGATCCTTTGCTCTTTGAACAAATGGGGCAGTCGCACTTTCCGCAGTCACAAAGTTCCGCCAATTGTTCGGTAGTCATTTGTTTAACAGGTTTTCCTCCGGTCTCCTTTTGCCCTCCGCCCTGTCTCTTTTCTAGATCTGAACAGGGACTGCACGTGCATATACCCGTACAGGTGCACGCGAGAGCTTTAACTGGTTTACCGGATTTCGTAGCGACAGGAATTTTTGATCCCTTCTTGGAATTCGGACACTGACATGTGTTGGTAGTCACTTGGTAGACTTGCTTGTGATCTTCCACAACGCAAAATTCCCGCGTCATGGCTAGTTGACGCACCAACGGCATACAGATGCAATCGACGCACTCGCAGCCAATGGGATGGCTGTAAAATTAAAATTAAAATTAAAAAAGAAACATAACTATTAAAAATATTTACATTGAGAGAATAAAATTGCTATGCTAAAAAAGGAAAGGCCCAAATGGAATCATGCAAAATTCTGACACTATATAACACCCATCTGAAAACTTTTAAGGTACTGCAAGAGCTTATAAAGGCAGATTCCTTGGGCATAGAGAAGAAACACCAAATAGCTACTTAAGCTGTTTTGTTCGATGATTGTTAAAAACGTTATCTTCTTAGATGCAATGAGCTGTTGCGACACCAGTCATCAAACAAGGAAAAATAAAATGTAACAATACCAGTGACGGCTCGTGACTTGTGTAATAGGGAGGCTTGAGTATAAGGGTACTAAAAAATCAATACCAAAAATCATTTAAGTTTATTAAACGGCTAAATACCAGGCTTTTTATTTCCGTTATTTTCATGTTAAATAATTATTACGAAAATAATTAAATAAACAACACCACACTAGATCAACATTGCAAAACAAACCACAAAGCGATCGCGAGATGGGCTGTCTGAGCTGCGCTCGCCAACGGCGCCAACGCATGAATCCACGTGCATAATTTCTTCCGAATACTCCGCGACCTACACGTTAACGTCGGTAACCATGGCAACCGTCCAGCGATTCGCAATGGGTTACTGGTACTACGCCGATACAATAATTATAGCGCGCATTTATTATATGATAGAGAAAAACCGTATTAGTCGTATTATACAAGGTCCGGCTCGTCAGTAGCTAATTAAATTGCTTGCTCACAAACTTTATTATTGCATTTATTTGTGTTTGACTCTTTTATTGTTAATAAATTTAGGAGTTAAATTAAATTACTGATTAAGTATATGAAAATACTAATTTGCAGATGACTCGTGCTACTTCGCAGGGACGGTGGCACCCCAGCGCCCTCCCTCACCAGCCGCCACTGATCAAGATTCTTGTGAAGAACCGTAATCTTGCTGACATATTCTAGTTGCACTTTATGGCTATAAAGAGCCTTCCCTAAACTACCTGAGATCTAATTACCTGCAAGAAATCAGCCTACAGGTTCAGTTATAACATGCTCTTTATTGGTGTCCCAGATTTAAATGTTATAGCAACATGTTGATCTTTTCAATATCGCGACAAAATAAAAGTTAAAGGAGATTTACGTCGTAGATTTCGAAATGAGTACCTTGGAAAATTAGCGTTATTCAATTGCATGAAATCAGAATATGAAATAAAAATTGGAGATTGTTGGAAATGACCATCAAAAGCATTTGGATTGGCCATTAAGCTTATGTTGAAGAGACGATACCTGAACCAGATGGAAATATTAGACTGATTAGACTTAAAACTGCAGATCATTTATTAAGACCTCTGCAAGTTAGATCTAATGAAAAAGAATCATTACTTTCTAATAAAATATTACATAGTGGTGCATTTTAAGATAAAATTCACCTCTAGAAATCTAAACTAGATAAGGGAGGAACATAAAGGCACCCCAAAGATTAGCGTTTTAATTTAGTTTTCAGTTGAATCACTTTCTCAATGACTCAAGGTTAGAAGTATGAAGAAAATTTATGCGATTTACTTTGGATAAATAATTTTGAGTTGAAAAGATGTCAAAGAGTGATTTTTGATATTAATGAAAAAATAAAAATCTTGTATATTTGAATCTAATTTTTTTTTTAGGTTATTGCCCGATTTTGGGGCCTGTCATCGGCTAGGTAAGGGGATAATTATTTAGGATTAATCTAGTAACCGGAAACATATCTTTAAATATCAAATCAGTATTATTTAGTTACATGTCAAAATCACAAAAATTAATATGCAGGTGTTTTAATAACTCGAGATTCTTGTTTAGTAACTTCATGTTTGTAACATCAGGAATACTCCAAAACTCTGTCCTTTGTCGACTTTTGTTTTCAATCTATAATTCAGACCATATAAATATAAATTATACTTTTAATTTACCATCCTTATTTGGATAAAATAACCAAATATAGGCTTTAAAAAATCAAAACTCATATGGGATTTTTTTTAACGTTACTATTGGAGAAAAAGGTCGTAGGACATTCTTCTCTGCTTTTTTATAAGCCTAAAATAACCCATATTAAAATTGGCTAGGTACTGCATTAATTATCGGTCAAATTCATTATTTTTTTTTATTTTTTTTTAAGGTAATTTGATAGAAATCTAATGACCGTTGCCAAATTTTGATATGGACTATTTTAAGTTTTTAAATAAGCAGAGGCGATTGCCTATGAAGTTTTTTTCAAATCATTTAAAAAAAAATCTTATATGGATCCAACTTTATGAAACAAAGTGTATTATAAAAATGTCAGTATGATCATTTACCTTTTTTCAGGTTTCCTGTTAGGTTGTCCTTCGATTACGTGCTTCTTAAATACGTCCTGTATAAAGGACTTATCAGCGGCGATTGGAAGCGGTTTCATAAAGTCCATATACGCTACATCGAAATCTGTCTTGTACGGTCCAAATCGATCTTGGGCTTGTTTTTGTTTTTCTGCAGCATTCTTCTAGAAGATATTCGGAATTTTATTTACTATTTTATTTCAATAAAAGTTATAAAAATAAAATTTACGGGATATATTAGGACCTTTATGGTATTGGCCATAAATTACGTATGATGTACAATGAACTTGATATAAAAAGAAAATGAAAACAGCAAAATTGGCGATTCCTTTTATGGGAACAAATCTGCCATATGAGTCCAATACAAAAAGGCGTTTTCTAAAATTTATCGATGCCATCCAATATTCATCAAAACTGTTCTTTTATCCACCGACAATTTTTTGATAAGATAAATCGGATTCTAATATTCAAATAAATTATCAGATATTTTTGATAAGGAAGGTTCTCCAAAACGTACGGTTTCCTACAGTCGTAGCAGTGACAGATAAGGGTACCTCATGGTCGACGGTTCTTAGTAAATTACAAATTTCACTGATTGCCGGAGTAGTGAAAGGTCTAATGATCGGGGAATCCTTGGATGTAGAGAAATTAAGTCGGCGAAATAAGCCTACGATATTTGCGGGACTTGCTAATTATATTATATTGTCTCTACTTTCTAATTAGTATTTATCAAAAAGACATATTTGGGATATATTTGCAGTATTATTTTGTATTATTAAGAGATCCTTCAAGTAATTGTGTGCTGTAATATACTCGTCTTGTATGTTTCTATCCAATGTTGCCAGATATTACCATTCGCCAAATATGACGCCGATTACAAAATGTCGATTTCCCTTTGAGAATATGGATAGTGTCAGTCGATCGATATTTTGATAGACATTAGTAGTAGACATTATGATGAATGCGACATTTTTAATAGACACATTCGATAATAGGGCCCCCAGCCCTTCTATTGGGCTGACAACTTCGGTAGTAACAAACCTAATTAAAGAACATGTCCTTGTGAAATTCAAGGAAAGATGGGATAAAACAAGAAGCTGCAGACTTGCCGCGGAGCTTTTGAGTTATCCTGACAAAACTATAAACAAATACTTGACCATGACTAGACAGAATCTGCGCATGATCACATTGCCAAGTACGGACCCTAATAACACCGATCTGCCAGAAACATCCCATTTAGGTTCCATGTATGTTTCTATGTTTCTGACATAAATTGTACGTCCCTACGATGTCTCTGAAGAAACGTTTCTGGAATGATTTCTCATGAACGTTTTAGAAACATCGTTATTATGTTTTGGGTATTCTATTTTCATTTTAATTATTTTCAAATATCAATAAATTATTAAATTACTGCAATCACCAGAAATCTACAATCATATCAAACTCCAATATTAAATTTGAACATTTTGAACAATATTTTTATTTCCAAAGACGGTCCAATTTTTCTTTATTAGTTCCTTTAAAAAGAGTGCAAAGCAAATACGACAGAGAAGAATATACCCTTCCTGACTCAGCAGGAGAGTTCTGTTAATCCTCCGCGAGCTAAAGAAGTACACTATTGAAGGAAGTCCTCGTGTTGAAATCTATTTTTTTGCATTGAAAGTGTAGCACTGAGCTACAGTACTTGTGAAAATATCGTTTCATTTATACAAATTGCATGGATGGAACGATATTTTCGATGAAAAGAAATAAACCTCATATTTGATTTGCTTGCGGAGTATTAATCGAACACGTCTACCGTCAAATGACAATATTGACATATGACAGACAGTTCATTAGTTGAGAGTTGAAAATAAAAAGGTGCTGCGCCTCGGTTATAATAAAGTTTGGAAAAGTTTAAACAACTTCTCTATAAACTTTTAAATAAACTAAAAGTGTAAAGTTTGTACGTAAAGCTACATGAAAAATCACTTCCAATTCAAGGTTAATCAGGCTTGGCAAATGCAAAAGGAATCGTTCTACGTGTCAGATATTCAAGCCAAAATGAAGAAGGTAACTTAATTTCCTTTAACAAAATGTGACTTTCATAAATTCTAGTCATTATTTTTTTGTGAACTTTAAAAATAACAATTTTAGGTATTGTGTTTTGAAAACCAAGGTACCAATAATGTGTGTGAATTTATTAGAAGATGCATAGTTCCCCCTCTCAAGGAACGAGTTTTGTAAGTTGTTTTCATTCACTGGAAAAAAGGAAGACGCCAACTTAAAAATAGATGAAGCCATTGTGGGAAATTATTTCAACCTAATATCAATTGTTTATATTATCACTTAATTGAAACATTTTCAGATTTGGTAAATTGGTAAACAAAAAAGAAATGGAAATTAAAACAGATGACTGGTTGTGGAGGGCTCCGAAAAGAAATAGACGCAATGAATCAGAGCGTAATAATTAACATTTTTTATTTTTTGTGTCAAAAAACATTTTTTTTTTTTCAATTAAATTTATGAAAAAAAGTAATTGATTTGATTATCCTACTAAAAAACGTTTAGGTCATTTCTAGAACATTCCAGCAATAGTATAAAAAACTTACCTAAGATGTTTGAGCAACATCGCAGGATGTTCCACAAACGTTTCTGAGGAACGTTCCTAATACGTTACAAATGATGACATGGTCATTGCCAGAAACATCCCAGGTACGTTTGAGGGAGAATAAGAAACATGACAGAGATGTTTCTAATGTCCCAAGGGTATGTTTCTGGAACGATCGTGTAACAATACTGTGCTATTAGGGGAAGCATCTCCATATAAATGGGCTGTCAGAATCCGCCTTTGGAGGGGGTGCGAACAAGAAGATGAGACCATCGAGCACATTCTCTCATTAATTAAAAGATTTGTGTTCGGTGAGAAGTGGCTAACTCCGGCCGATATAAGAGATCGAAATATCTCTTGGCGACGTTGTTAACTAAATCAAAACTATAGGCTGCCTCACGAGCTAGGATGTGCCATCAACTTAGAATGGTGCACAATAAGCCTAGTGAGGCCTAAGTGCCGTGGGTTAACCCACCCTTCACACGTTGCAGATACAAAAGCCTCTGGGTATTTAACTTAATTATAGGCGAAATTCTAAAACATTTGCCCAAGAAAAAACGTAATTTATATGACACACCTCTGCAATGCTGCATTTAGACTTAAGCATGTATCTCAAATAGCAAGGAAGTATCAGGGGTCATAGCCCAGGCTGAATTTTCGGTGGGGGCCATGTTAATAAATATTTATTTTTTTTTAAAGATGCACACTACGAAATTTTATTAGGTCCTCAACCAGTGAAAACCTTTTTTTTATAGAACAAATCATTTGGAGAGGAAAATAAAGTATGTTCCTATGTTTTCCCAGATATAATACAATATTTCGATAAAGTTTGGCTCGAAGGCCTTAGATATCAGGAAATTTTTTAGAATTAAACAGGAAAAATCGTAATCCAACTTAAGGAAATTAATACCGTTGTACCACAAGGAAATGTGCTAGGTCCAGTCCAATACCTCTTGTACAATAGTGAAATTCTTCAACTTGAAAAGTTTTCAGAATTATACAACAAACTTATTCCAACCTAAGATAAATTAATGCCGATGTACAACAAGAGGCGTTTTCGAAAACTTACTCGGATCAGAAAGTTTATAGATCCTATTGTTCGTTTGCCTATGGTTACTAACCCTATTCGTATTCGAAAACTAGTAGATTACTGATCCAGCTTTGTGATAGCGATCAATATTTTGTAACCCACTCTACGAGTAGATTAGTAATAGATCCGCAAGCGCACCACAGGATTTTATAAAGGGATAACGTAATTTTTAGGTGTTTGGTGTTTGGCAGTAGTAACTTTGAAGTTTTTTCTACATTCAATTAGTTAGACGTAAATAAACAGGAACAATGATCCAACTCGTTCGTAAACTGTCGGCACAAAGTTCAGTGATCCACGTGATTCATCGGGTAAACCCAATAATCTGGATTTGATATCTGTAGTAGGTTTCCGAAAATGCTTAAGGAAGTCTAGTATTTTACCTGTTGTACTTAAATGACATTCCTCAAGTTTAATGTTACTATTGCTACATTTGCTGATGACACCGCTACTATCTATAAAATTAATAATTGGACCAAAAAATAACCAAACAAAAGGAAACAATATATGTACTAATCAAAATAAATTAAAATCAGAAAGCATCACAGCAAAATATCAAGGGTTAACTTTAGACATGAAACTACGCTGGAAGGCTCATTTCAAAAACAAATGAGATGGGCTTGGAATCAGATAAAAAATGTATTGGCTGTTGGGAAAAAAATCCACTCTGTCAACAAAAAACAAATTGCTAATGTATAAACAGATTCTGAGGTATATATGAACAGAGGTTCGAAGGAGTGAGCGTCGAGGAGACCGAAAAGTAATAACGCCACAATGGAGCATGAAATCAAATCAAATAAAACAGTAAACCTCGCTTTTTTTGTAATTCTTTTTTCTAGTTTGTATGTCAAAGCAGTGAGCATAAAGTGAAGAAAATAAAAAAACTTTTAATAATAAAGGACAAATTTATAACTGTTATTACAGGTGATTAGATCTGAGCAGAAAAAATGTATTTTCTAAACACACATTTTATTTTTTTATGATGAATAATTTTAGCTATGAAACAAAAGCGGCCAAGTAATTTGTTGACATTTTGTCTGGTCTCGAATTTTGAGATTCATATTTGTTTGTAGAATAATTAAAAAGAGATAGGTAGAGACTCTCGATCCTTCTGCTCTGAGAACATCGAGCTTGCTCTACGTTCTTGCTCGAAGTGTCAATTCAAACAGGAGATCTCGGATTATCAAATCAAGTGCACCAAAGGAATTTAGCTATGTGGGTGCGCCAGTTGAAGAGACATCCAATAAATCATCCAGAGTTCAAAATAAAGCTATTAATATCACACAAAGGAGTTGCGAGATGGGTAATATTACGACAGACTACCACTAAATTTGCCAAGAGTCATGAAAATCGGCTCCTCCATCATATAAGCGTCGAGGCCATCCAGCTCTTTAATAACGCAGAGATAGTGAGAAGACTGAAGAGAACAAAGTCTTTCGAATTAGAGCAATAAATAGTGTATAGCATAGTAGAAGTGCAGAAGTATACAAGTAATGAATGGCTCTAATTGTAGGCATAAGCATAGTTCTAAAACTCACTGTTTGTGGTTTAAAGCTGCCAAACGAGGAACTTTCCTTTTCATCAACGGCACCAATCTTCCTTTTCTTGTCATCTCTACAAATACTGGCCGAACATTTCACGCAATCGCACGGACCCGGACAAGGACAATCCGACATTTGATTGCTAGAACGTTTCCTCCTGTCTTTAACGTCACATTCGTTTGGTATCTCGGTAGCCGGTCCCTTCTTCGTGGAACACACGCAGGGTTTCTTGCACGAGCATTCGTCGCGGCTTTCAGACGTTTTATCTCGAGCTGACTCGTTTATGTCGAATTTTGCATCACCAACGGGTTGCATACTCATTGACTGGCAATTCGGGTCTAAAAATAATTTATATTATTTGGACGTCTAGAAAAAATCCAGATACTTTAAATTCACACATCTTCAATTGCATTACTGGGCAGTGCAATAGCTTTAAAAAATTAATTTAATTAATTTAAAAGTTAATGTAGATGTAGGTACTAAAGAAATGAAATCATTTATTGTCTTCTTTTTTGTATTTGTTCATTACCTGTTTTAGATGAATCATTAATACATGGTGAACATGGGACATCACTCGGCAAAGACGCTGGCGGGTCTGGGAATAAATTTTCTCTAGTCATACTTTGTTTTTCTGTTCTAGCAGTAATAACTCCAATTTCTTTACTTTCATTGACTTGGCATGATTGTTCCAAAGGCTGAAGATTGGCTTGACATGCAAATTCGAGTGTTTCGCTTGCTGAGGATTCTTTGGACGATTTTTCTGTGGAGTTAGAAGAGTTACAGAAATGGTTAGATACTTTTTGGGATTTTTTTGGTTTTTAAATGAAGATGCAAAAGAATTTTTGATGACAGAATATTTTTGACTTTAAATTGTCGGTTGTCATAAATTTTGAAAACAAAAAGTAAATAATAATATCAACATGGCGACGCTCTAGATTTTTTTTAAATTAAGTGTAGACAGGAATGGACTTAGCTTAAGAGCTTTCTTTTTAAGGGTTTAACGACTGGTAACGGTCTACAATTGGCAAAAAGAGGTCTATTCACTGCTATCGGGCACGTGGGAGAAGTGGGAAAATGTGGGAGTTGTTCCGGATCGAAGCTCCAAATCAATAAGCACCGCTTGAAAAGAAAGTTTAGAATATCTAGTACTAGAGTACGATTCAACTAATAGTGGATTCGACTCAAATGCTCTTGCTCGATGACAAAGCGCTTTTAGTTCTGAATTGATTTTGGGCAGCATTTTTATAATTCAAGTTTATATCTAGCAGTGCACACAGCAAGCACGAGCTAGAATTCGACATTGGTGTAGCGCATCTTTATCGTTATTCGACTGGCACAGTTAGCACTTGACATTTCAGGCTTCTAACAAATTTTTAACGATATTTATTTATAGCTGCCAAACCAAAAATTAAATTTATTAATTTCAAAGATTTTCTATTCTCACTAATAATAGAAACAAAGATGGTAACATATTTAAAATTATTAAATAATTCCTAACCTCCAAAATGACACTGGCACTGAAAAAAAATATAGTTCCAAAAAATTCGAACTTTGAGCAAGAGCGCCTACCAGTCGAACCAAAATTTCACTATGCCTTGGTACCGAGCAATTTGAGTCGAATGCACTAATTGACTTTTAATTAATTAGGTTCTGCCAGTCAAACAGACACCACTTAAAAAAGTCGAACTAAATGCGCAATAATGCAGCCAGTCGAAACCGCTATAAGAAAAAGCCACACACATCATACCTGACAAAGGCCGCAATAGTTTGTCTCTCTCTCAGGTCCATCCCATTTAAGCGTCACTGGCGTTTTGGCGATTTTTTTCGTTTTTCTAATATAGAGATACAATTGCTTAATAATTTGGCAACGCTGTACGACTGCCGCATGGTCCAGAATATAATTCGAACAGAAGCTATCGCGTTAACATGGATCTCTTATTTGTGAGCCAAACTTCGGCGTTGCCAAGCTTTTACTTACGAACAAAAATACGGGTTCATCGGAAGAAAGTGAAGACAGCGAGAGTACTATTTATAATAGTTCATTAAAAATCGAACTAGGATGTACTCCTCTAGTTTCACGTTTTGCACTAGTTGCATAAATAACTATTATTTTAATTGTAATAAAAATCTTAAATTACAAAATTGTGTTGCTATTTTTATTTACTTCCCACTGAATGTTTTGCAAGTCTAAAATCGAAAAATATATGTAATGTTATTTTAGTTTAGTTATTTAGGTAATATACAAATGTTTAAATCATTGAAATTTAACTTTTTAATCCAATAAATGTTTTTTGTTGGGAAACTGCTTTAATTGCCTACGCCACTGGTATATCGATCTGGAGCAACGGAGAAGGAATATTTTAAAGTGATGCAGACGATGACTAGTTGATGACGCCCGTGGCTTTTTCTAAGTTGAATCGTACTCTACTTGCCAGTAATCCAGATGGCATAAAAGAAATAACTCATTAAAAGCTAAAATTATAGTACTTCGTCAACAGGCGCTGCTCTATGCCTTTATGTAGACTATTCTTCATACTTACCTTTATAATAAGAGGCGACTGATCAGCGTTGGCCATAAATGCATATGACACTGGTTTGCTTTACGATACGTGTTAAAACTACTGATTATTAGTCCAATAAACAAGTAACGGGTGCCTGATCTTTCAGAGACAGTTTAAATCATTGAAAAGATACGGTATCCCAACTGTGTGTAAATAAAATAAAACCTTACCTATTAATATTGTGTCACACATGCTACCTTCATCTTTATTTTCAGCCATAGGATCCGTATGAGCATCCTGAACAAAAAGAAAAACGATTGTTTTATTTACTTACATCCTAATCTAAACAGGTGTTTTAACATACTTTTTTGAGTAGTTTCAAAGTGCAAGTTTCCTGGTGGCAAACATCGCTGGCGCATGATACCTCCTCGTCGGATCTCAATTCGTTGGCGCCATCGTAGGTGTCTTCGTTTTTGCACGAAGTCAAGATGGGACACGTCAAACTGGAGCAAGTCGCCTTTGGAACTTCCTCTCCAGCCGATTTTTGTTGAAGCTCAAGGGGCACCGTTTGTTGAATAAATGTGGTTTCGCTACTACCGCAAAGCATGTTGTGCTTGCTAACCGCACCAGTTCCACACTTAAAACGATAATTGTGTTGGACAGGATGTTAAAACACTCATGTACTAGAGAGATACCCCAAGGTTAACTAAGTTGGCGTTTATACCCAACCCTTCTAAGAACGTCTCTGCTTAAATCCGGAAATGGAGTACGTATGCGTCTACGCATTTTTACCGGACGGATGACAGGACACGAAATCATAAATAAGGAAAAAATGTAATGTTTTAAAAAGGAAAATGTTAAGATCTAGAATTAGAGGAGTTCAATTACGAACAAATACAGGAAACAGAAATATACACCATAATCAAAATGAACCAAGATTATATTCTTAGTTTGACCCTGCGTAACCTCCTATATGACGGAATCCTTAGACATTATCTAAGAAGGGAATGTACCACAGTTGCCTATGTCGAAGACTTTGATCTGATCGTAAAGAATACAAAAGAAGACAATACATAATGTGAATCTGGCACAAATAGATGAAAACCCGTAAAGTAGAGATCGCACCAAAAAAAACCTGTGTCATTATCAAATGAAAAAGATTCAAAGAGAAGATTCAAGTATTCAAGTTAAGAAATATCGTCGTTACTCCAGTTAAAATAGTTAAAAACCTGGGGATGTGGATTGATGACAAAAAAGTTTTAATAACAACGCCAAGAAGACAGCAAAAAAGGCAGAGAAGCAACCGAATATACCGAATATATTGACCAATATCAGAAGACCAGGCAGCACCAAAAGACGATTGTTGTATTGAGTGGTGCAGTCAATAGTTCTGTATGAGGCTAAAGAAGTTAAAAAAAATATAGTGCTCTGGTGCTAAGAATACAGCGAAAAATAGTACTTATGTTAGTCTTCGGTTACAGAACGGCATTAGAATCATTGCAAACAATCACTGGAAGTATCTCTCTGAAAGAGTAAGGTTAAAGGTTCCGAACGATCTAAGACAAGAGAGATCTAGCAGAATAGGTAGAGCAACAACTTTGACAAAGTAGCCTGGAAAAAGATGGTACTTTCCAATATCTCTATTTGGTAAGACTCCAATTTCAAGAAACCAAGTACTGTCTGAGCCAATTTTTTAAGGAACACCATTTCAGGTTTTATACCTATAAAATTGGCAAGTCATCTAAGTGTAATGAGAAATATACGGTAGAACACACAGTTTTTCAATGCGACAGATTGGTTAAGATACAAATAAGTTCTAGAATTATCATTAAAAGCAGAAATGTCTGTTAAAAATTGGTTGAAGGTACAAGGGAAACAATTTAGATCATGAAATTCAAACTGAAAAAGAAATAAGACCACCAGGGAATACGTGTATATTGAAGGAACTGACAGAAACAAATGAAGCAATGCTAGCAAGAGTGAGGCTACCATGTCTGTACCAATAGATGGTTTTAGCAACTAGGCTATCGTTTTTTCAGTAGATTCTTGCACATCTGGGATGACTTCACAGATAGTTTTTAGATTACTACTTAACAAGTATAAAAAGTAATTTTAAAAAACTGACTTCAAAATCGTGCAAAAAAAAATATTACGGCAAATTGAGAACCTCCTCCTTTTTTGAAGTCGGTTAAAAAAGGTAAACACATGAGAAAAATAGATCTGCAACAAACATTAGACTGTCGATTCTTCAGTGTGGAGAATGAATATGGAGGGCGCATCCTATATATCTACTCCACCTTGGAAATAATTAGGTTCCATATCTTTGGCTTTACACGGTTGGAGCCTAGCTCAACCATGATCTTCATTAAAAATTGTGGTATGTACAGTGAACTATAAATTTAGGCATAAGATACAAAATATCCATCTAAGTCTCGCAATGGAAGGCAATGTGATCATCCCAGTCATTTCCAATTTAACCTAGATAATAGTGAAACTTACCCGTATGTACCTACATCAAGATGTTATAGATAAAATAGGAGGAAATGCAAAAAGATCTATGCATATTCCATTCCATAAAGGTCATAATCTACTTTCCCTACCTTTTCGTTAATCATTGTCGAAGATAAAGAAGTGGATGCAGTCACTTGCGGTACGTGATGTGCGCTGCTAGCTTTGTCCAATTGATAACAAATCAAGCAGCACTGGCTCCGATCTATGTACAACGGAGACGACGTATTGCCGCTAAAGTTTTTCCGGTTCTCGATGTGCAAGTCGGAAGCAGTTTCGCTAATGCTCACCGATTTGGAAGTTTTTTCCTTGTCCACCGATTCTTTCTTGCTCTCTTTAGATAGTATAGATACTAGAGTCGTGCTCTGAGACTGTTTCGATACTAAAATCAAATACAAAGTAAAAATAACATAATTGAGACGTATTTGCGTTAAATGTGATTACCTGACACTTCTTGTTCCTGCTGATCAGAAAATTTCTTGCCAGGTTCCCAGGATATGTCCTCGCTGATAGTTGTATCAGTTTTCATTGGAATAGGGATATAAAACTTTCTTGATGACAGGGAATCAGTTGACTGACCAACTAATTCTGCGATTTGGGTGACTACCTAAAGAGAAATACGAAAGTATGGAATAATAATATTATTAATAAAAAAAAAATGTCTACTCGCTTTCAATGTAATACTTTATGGATTGTTTGCACCTTGGCAAACAAATTTAACCAGTAAAACCTACTTCAATAGTTCCATCGTCCTTATAATGCAATATAGTCTCAATTGTTCCTGAAGGTCCTTCGGAAATGACCAGCAAATTCCCAGAGGCGGTAACGGAAGTGGTAATGTTGAGATTCTCCGGTGGATTATCGCAAACCTCTACTTTCGTATCAACCAGAAAGGGGAAATCGTTATTTTCTACGATAACATTTTCATTAGGATCCGCAACCTTCCTGGATGATTCTCCGCTGGACGCTTGCTCCGGTTCGGGCTCCTTTGAAAAGAAAAATATTCAGAAAAACGATTGGCAATTTGAGCAACAAAATTCATAGAAGTCGATATGATTACATAATTTCTAAAGCCAACATTAGTTTACAATCTTTTTTTAAATCAAGTATTTGTTTTCAACCTTGGGATTCGGAGATGGTCCTAATAATTCATAGAGGGCTTTTTGAGATTTGTTACCGAATTTTTAAATTATTCAGACATAGAATATTCTGGTTAAATAGTGAAGCCAAATTTACAACGTTCCTATTATTAGTAGTGCAATATACAGATTCAGCTTAAATTTTTCTTGGGCATTGCCGATTAATAGGAGGAACTTCGATAGTTTTATATAGTGCGAGCACGCCATAAATCCTACTGTTTGTGTGTCGGAGTCAGCGGAGGAGATCGGTCGGCATCATGGGATTGTCAACGGTCTCTTCTGCTTTCTCTCTCTTATTCTCGTTTCATATCAATTTTCTTCTTTCTGTTGAAACAGCTTCTCTCGAGACTTAAAAACCCAAGCCATTTTGTAAGCCATACCGGCATTTTCATTTGTAACACAAAGGGCTATGTGAGAAGATGTACATAGTGAATAAGTTATCGTGTCCATGTCTAAAAGACAACTTGTATCGAAAGATTTAGCGCCTTAATTTATCAATGAGGGAGTTAGGCATTCATTTTTATGCCAAACTTTCATAAATGGTATCACTAAAATTTTTATCGGGAAGGTTCCCAGTTTTTTTATTGGAGCGTTTTTATGAGTTGTTTTACTATACGTTCTGGTTTTTCAGTAGATACCTTCTGAAGTGTTGACTCCCTAGCTCTTTAATGTACCGAAAGTACTTGTATTAAAGATTCACCATGTTTTTTTCGGAAAGGAAATACCTTTTTTGACTTTTCTGTGGAACTTAGTCGAATATAATATTGCCCTAAACTAATTAACACATAATATTTTCTCTTTCTCTGCCTTTTCTCCTTCTAATTGAATATCGGTGTAAATTGAATGATAATATTTACAGGGAAACGGTCTTATCAATATTAAATAATTTTCACTTAAAAATTTTACGCCTATGCATGTTTTCGAAACACTATTTGTCGAGTACGGTACGGCATCCATGTTTTGTCAAGTTTATCGTTTCCTCTATGACATTTAGAGATGGTACGTTTTTGATGTTGGCTTCAAAAACAAATACAATATTATGAATACTAAGTATATCCAAAAAATTAGCAACAGTCGTTAAAAACTCACATAAGTGTTTATGGTACTAACCTTTTTATTTGAAATATCAGAAGGAACATCGAGTTGAATTACTTTCTCGAATATAGACATTTTTTGACGTTTTTTAGATGCTTGACCATCTTCGATATCCAAGTCCTTAGGTATACTCGGATTAGAATACTCGCTTACTACAAATCAATAAAACGTTCAAACTAACATTTACCAAAGAAAGAATAATTACTCTCGATGACAACTTGCAGGCATTTTGACGAGCTAAGATGCAGCTCCTGTATGCCTCTGGAGGATGCATATAGAATTAGATCTAAGTGATGTGGAGCAACCCACCTCTCCCCCACCTTAGATACCAGTAACGAAACACTTTATACTTACAATAACTTTTACTTTTGACCGGCATCCCCAATTGTACTTCATCCATCAACAGTTTAGCGCTACGGTCATCTTGCCAAGTCACTTCCGAGGGATCACGTTTCAAAATTTTCATCTTCGACGTATTATGGCCAAAATCAATTTTAGAATCGCAAGTAATACCAAGATCCACAGCTATAATTCTAGGCTCAAAAACTTCATTATCGACATCTATATCCTGAATTTCAGGCTTTGAAGCTGCAGTCACTGGATCAATATCGTTACTTTCGGTTCGAGATGTTTTAATTTCGGGACGCATGTCTCTGATGTCTGACTCTATGGTCTTTTTGAGATCGCTCGGAATTGCTTTGATCAAAGCAGTGTGAACTTTGAAGCTGATTTTTTGCGACATCGGTGGTAGATGCTGCTCTACAGGTTCTATCACTAATTGACCACCGCCTGCAGGTGGGGTTGCTTCGTTATAAATCTCTTTGTCGGTAGTAGAGCTGTTTTTGTCGACCATCATTGGATCGTTGAGCGCATCTTTTGTATTGATAACTAAAGGTGAGTGTTTTTCAAAACGAACGCGTCCTAAATGAATCTGTGGGTCGATGGTAATTGGGTCCGTCCAGCTGTCCTTTATGTGACAGGATTTGCTACCGCTTCGTTTACCCATTGCAGCCTCTTGGTCGGTCTCTGAACTGCACGACGTCAATTTTAAATTGAATTGCCCGCTTTCTTTGCGGTCCAAATCGCGAGGGGCTACATACAGAGAGTTCGTAGATAGTGGGAAACGATTTGATGTATCTGAAAATTAGAAAGAACCAGAATGAATTGAACAAGTTTCTATTAACAAGTTAATAGAAAATGTAATTTTAGGTCGCTTTAAACTCAAAAAAAAATGTACCAAAATTTAAATGTTATCTTCTTTTGTTGTGAAAAAGGCTCAAAATATAAAAATATTATTTCATAAAGTTTCCAAATTCCCAGCCTCCTCAGAAAATTAATTTTTGATATAGCTACATAAGATTTCCTAATTTCTTTAGAAATAAACTAGGACGTACCAATAGACATCGGTGGTAAAGTCGGTCCAGAAATCAAGCACATCGACACGACCGTTCCGATATTACGTAAGTCCATACACTGGGTGCTATTTTCTTCCGTGGCCGGTGGAGATTGACAGGATATATCAGTTCTACTAATTTCGCCGATCGATTCAAAGGACATGGCGTCTCTTCGACTATCTACCATATCCGTCAAATCTTTGATGAGTTTTGCAGCACCTTGATGATATAAAACATATTAGTTATTTGTTAGTAATGTTACGCCAGTGCCCATGAACCCGGTTTAATAGGATCTGACAGAGAAGTTGGGATCAGTGAAGTTGATGTTTGTGAATGTTAAAAAGAGTGAATTATATAGATTTTGAAATAACGTTGTTTTATATAACCCTGGGTCGTTTCAACTGGTGGCAGCGGTGGGATTCTTTGTGTCTTCGCGATGACCTACTGCTTCGCAAGTGGGAGAGCCCTGATGGAACATCGGTCGTCTACCAATTGACCGTGCCTCGTATAGCGAAGAAGGAAGTTTTGAAGCAACTTCATGATAGTCTAACTGGGGGTCATTTTGGAGTAAGAAAAACTTTAGCTAGAATAAGGGAACGATTTTATTAGATAAACTGTAGAAGGGATGTGGAAGATTGGTGCAGAAGCTGTGATTTATGTATATCGAAGAAAGGACCGACGACAAGAAGTAGAGGCAAAATGGCTCAGTATCTCTCGGGAACGCCTTTCCAAAGGGTAGCGGTCGATATTCTTGGACCGTTGCCAACAACGGATTCTGGGAATACATTTTTAATGGTCGCGATGGTTTACTTTTCAAAATGGCCCGAAGTAGCTGCCTTACCAAATCAAGAAGCTGAAACAGTCGCCGAAGCCTTTATTGAAAACGTTATTTCAAGACGTGGGGTCCCACAAGAAGTACACTCTGATCAAGGTAGTAATTTTGAGTCCGAATTATGGTCGGCCATAATGAATAGGTTGGGTATAAAGACAAGAACAACTCCTCTTCATCCCCAATCCGATGGTATGGTAGAACGATATAATAGAACAATCTGCCAGTATCTATCAATATTTGTGTGTGATAATCAAAATGACTGGGATAAACGAATACCTATATTCCTGCTGGCATATCGCAGTTCTGTGCATGAATCAACAGGATATACTCCTGCAATGTTGACCAATGGCAGAGAAATAAGGTTACCCATCGACATTTTAATTGGTTCGGATCCTCCAAATTTAGACAAAGTCAAAATTCCTAAATTTGTCCTAGAATTACAGGATCGACTCAATCAGATTCAGGAATTTGCAAGAAAATATCTTAAAATCACAAGTGACAGAATGAAGACAAGGTTAGACTGCAAAACAAATGAGTCAAAATTCGAAAGAGGTGATGCAGTGTGGCCACATACTTTGATTTTCTTTTACTATACGGAGAATGAGTGCCTTTTAAAGGAAGATAGAAAACTCCGCCACTTTGATCCCTTATTACGTGTTGCCTACATCTTGGCGCAATATTTTTAATAGGTGCGTTTTAATCATCCGCTTCTGCTTCGGAATTGTCGGTTTTCTTGTTTTAATCTGACAGGTTAAAACGACTAAACCGACAATTCCGGAAGCAGAAGCGGATGATTAAAACGCACCTGATATTTTGCTTGCAGCTGTCAGTGTCAGAGAATATTATTTTTGGAGTCACAGTTTATTGCTAAAGTATCAGTTAGCTCACTCGGACCAGTTGAAAGTTCCAAAATAACATCCACTCCAGGGATACAAATTCAGGATACGCAGAAGACTGCTGTTTTATTAGGCGGTTGTCATATATTGTATTATCCGAGTTGCGCAGTGTATAAACTGGAACATTGAGATCAAAAATGCCGACGCAGAGTGAGCGATCTGATTCTTTAGCTATAAACTGTGGCATAGGAATCAAAATGGCCGCACCCTATGTTGGGCGTATCGGACCTCTCTCTTTCACCGTATAGTAATCAAAGTATGTGAGTGTGGCTCTATAACCCGAGAAGAAAGAAAGGTCGCAGTCCAAAACTTCATCGGAACTGGGAAGGTCCCTACACTATAATAAAGCGCATCAATGACTTGGTCTATCGTATCCAATTATCACCAAGGAACAAACCAAAGGGTGTTTATATAGGGCGTCTTGCCAAATATGATGGTAAAGATCCTCCCAAGTGAATTAAACCAGAAGACGAAAATTAATTCATTCGAGACAAATGAATCCCAAAAAGGGGAACAGTGTTACGCCAGTGCCCATGAACTCGGCTTAATAGGATCTGAAATAAAGTTGTTTTATAACCCTGGGTCGTTTCAGTAAGAAGAGAATAAACAAACTGCAATAAGTGCTCAATTTTTGCCTCCTTTTCTTCACCCTTGAGTCATTCTAGTCCAAAGATGTCACAACCATCATTTTTGTGTCGGATCCATAATAAATAGGTCTTTTAAGGAGTCAAAAGAGATATACATATAGCCAATATTTTCAGATCTTGTGACCAAGTATGTAAACCTCGATATAGGACAACTATAAATGACTAAAAAGTGGCTATATCGAAGATATCAAAGTGGAAGAACGTTGTAGATTCTAGTTCTAGCTATAGTAATACCACTAACAGACTGTGTAGAAGAATAGATCAGCATAAAATACTTTTAAAATTAACGTCAACAATCTAACCTTTTAATTCAGCTGGTATTCCTGTAGCGCAAGATGGACATGGTATACAATCTTTGATTGTTTTGCTCAATTTTCTAGCTATGCTATGAAGGTTTGACTCACAATTACAAAGCATCATTGCGTCCGCTAAAAGATAAAATAGTCATTAAATTTGCTGTTCAAAATTGATGTTTTCTCTTTTTAGCTTCCGGAAATTGTTTATTAATAGTAAATATTCAAGCCGGTTCTTGTTATCCCCTTAGAATAATCTTAGGCTACCCGAGTCATTTTTGACGCCACATCAAAAGATAGAGGAACAAATATTATTAAAAACCCCGATAATTGTTTGCAGTTAGGTAATGCTACTGATGCTAGATGCTGTTCCTTTGCTCTTGCTGTTGGATACTGGTGTCGGATACTGTTGTTGGGTGCTGATTTTGCATTACTAATAAAACAACGTAAGAACCCATTAAATAAATATATAATTCTAATTTTACGTTTCTCGCTATAGTTCTAAATTTTTATGAGTTAGTATATCATTAGCTAATTTTGTTCAACACTTACGGCTGTCCCCTCCAATACTTCTTTTATTAGTCGTCAATCTCCTTATAGTTTCCGCCTCGTTCAGTTTCTGCTGCATCAAATCGTCCTCCAGCTTGGCGCATAACCCATCCATAAGGTTCATCTCCTCTTTCAGCTTCTTATTGACGCTCTCCAACTCGTCCATATTGTTGCAAGCCAGACAAAGCTGCATTTTGAGATTGTTCATATCCCTGATGTAGTTTTCCTCGGACACAGCCATGTTCTGCGAAGCTTTCTGAAGCTGCTTTTGGAGGTGTTCGCATCTTGACTTTTCCGCTTCGAGCTTGAGACGCATAGGGCCTTGGACTTTTTCTAGCGTATGCTTCAGATCGAGTTTCATTTCCAACATTTCGCTCTGAAAATATAACAAAGTGGGCATTATAGTATATATTAATATGATATATACATTGTAACTTACTTTTAAAAGGTTATTCTCGTTTTTTAATTGTCTCGTTATCCTTTCTAAATCGTCGTTACTCTTGTCGCCTCTATGCGAGAAAGTACATTTGGCAATTTCGCCTTGTAAAGAATTACGCATATTGTCGTACTGTTTTTCTCGGTTCGTGAATCCTTGTATTTGGGATCTAAAGTTTTTCTCTCGGAAATTGACATCAGATATCATGTCTCCTATTGTTCTTCCTTTTGAATCTTTCTTTTGGGATGTAGGCACTGTAACAATATGATGAGGTTTTTCAAAAATCAAAAGAAGTTGGTTAAGAATTCAATCAAAACCGCTGGTTGCTTTTACAGACTATTTGTTACCTCTAAAGTTTGAAGCATCCAGAACTGGAGATCCAACAAAAGCGCATTGATTATCCTGATCTCTGGAATCGGAAATCGAACGAACTCTTTTGGCTACAGGACTGGTGTCAAAGTGGTGTTCACTTTTTCGTTTTTCAGCTACTTTATCCCCAGGTATTTTTCTATCGAGGCTTCTTGGTATCGACCTTAAACATACCATATTGTTTTAGATATAGTAGGGATGCTAAAATTAATAAACCAGAAGATAATGTACTTAGTTTTAAGGTTACATAATCAAAATGAATTAAGCTAGATTGTTAGGAAACTAGTTAAAGCTAGCAAAATTGGGGAAAATGATGAAGAAAAATTGGTTGGACAGAATAGCGGATTAAAATGGATTGGACGAAATAGAAGCAAAACAATAGTACAAATATAATTATTGATAGCAGGAGATCAGAAGAAATAGAAGCAATGGATTCAAAAGTAAAGAGATATTATTAATTGTTTTAAAATATTTATGAATATTTTTACATCCTTCTGTGAATTATATGTCCATCTATCTGTTGCCTATTTACCTGTTACTAAAAGCAAACTTCTCGGATAAAGCACTTTTTATTCTTCTAAGAGAGCACACGTTTAGGCTACTAGTTTTAAAGCCTGTGATCGGTATAATTTCTTCAGGATATCTACCAATATCTTCGCAATCAGGATTTGAATCGTCATCACAAACAAGCACCTAGAAGACAATACACATTGAAACCAACATCTTACCTTTCAAAGTAAAATTATCTAGAAAAAAATCCACAAAGATTTACATAAATTAACAATATTTAGATAGGTATATCTTTTAGTTTTGTGTTTATTTCATAGTCTTTAAAAATAGGTATTTCCCCTTGAAAAAGTAAATATGATACCTACCAAAAGTTTAAACGAAACTAAATATAAAAATAAATTTACGAACCCTGCTCGGATACACTTCACTCTCGCAATGAAACGTTTTAACCTTGTCGCTTCCATTGATCCAGCCTTCTCCGATAGACGCTGCTGGAGACGGCGTCGAAACCAGTTGCTTCTTCAGGCCGCACGAGTAACAAGTGGGCGCCAATTCGTCCAATTCATCTTCCGCGTCATTCTCACTGACGCTGACCGATGCGATGCTCTTCTTGTCTTTAGACGGACACGGTTCACAACTGTGTGGATCTCCAATGCCGTAACAAGTTTGATTTTGAGATGGAGCGCTACCTATGGAGACGCGTCTGATGGCGGGAATGGAAGTTGACGATGAACGAGTGTGGCTGCAGACAAAAAAGAGATGCAACTTGAAGGTAAACGGTAAACAGTACGAATATTCTTACCAAAAACACTCATCTCTGCAAGGTATGTCCAATTCATTCTTTTTAGCATCACTTTTATCACTTCTAAACCAGCTATTCAACAACGAAAAAGGTGTTCTTGAAGCTTGTTCCATATCGGATGTGCCGGTCGTAACTTGCGATACTGGAGTCGTTTTGGAAAATACCATGCTGCCTTCAGTGCTGATAATGTTATTTGTAATAGTGTCATCGTTTCGCAAGAAAAATTCGCTTTGCTCGAATGGTCCGTTAAAATCTGCAGATTCGCTGTCTGCGTACGGAAATCGAGAACGTCTAGGACTAATCCTTAAAAAAAATTAATGCATGAAATTATTGTTTATTCTAAAGAATAATTATAATTTTCATTATTTATTATTTTCAAAGCAATTTAACTTAACAACAATTTTGAGGTTTTTGGGAGTAAGTTCTAATTTAAGATAGCAATATAATCATTAGTATCAAAAATGTAAAAACTGACTATTGGAAGAATCAGGGAAAGCTAGGTGTTCTAGATATGTGTAGCAATCATATAATTCTGAGCATACAAAGCTGGATTTAAGTTAAACGTGGCTCTGGTAGATAAAGGCCAGTATTTTATTTGAGTGATCATCCTGTTTTGTGGTTTTTAGATTTGTCAATTTTAGGAAAGTAGTTAGATACAATTCATGTAGGTCATTGATGTTATCATGTCGTAGTACAGTGTTACTCTAGGTTTATATTGCAGATACAGAGACGAGTTTTTAAAGTTAAAAGAAATCTAAAGACTTTATTTCCTATTTTGAATAATCAAATTCTCGACACATTAAAAATCTCCGCCTGCAAATTAGATGGGTAGAATTTAAATGTTAAATAAATTAGAGCCAGGATCGTGCAATTTTAAATGAGTTATATAAAGTTACTATGTATAATGCTTGCTAAAAAAGACTTATTAGCTGCACAGCAAAGGATATTAATTATCTTTTGTTAGTCAACAATTGGCAGATGCAATAAATAATATAGAAGCTCGAGATCCTATCTCACAAGAAGTACAAACTGTTATCAAGTACGAACAAGACTAATGTTACGCAGCACCCTGCAGTAGCCTACGTCTATCATAGGAAACGTACAGATAGAAAAAGAAGTGGAATGTTACTCATCGGTATAGAGTGTGCTGCGGTCGTCATAAGTAAAAGTATAAGTAAAAGAAGATATAATATTCCAGAAATGTCATTACCCGTCAAGAACATTCTAGGTAACAGGTCGAGAAGGTTCGAGAAGGTCAAGCAAGCTATATAAGTCGACGACCTGACGTCAGAGTTTTAGTTGGATGATAATGATAATGTTATCAGTTGTATCGTTATTGTTGAAGTTGAATTGAGTTATTGTTAAGTTGAATTGAAATAAATTGTGATACCAAAAGCCAGTGTAACAGTGGTGACAGCGGTGGGATACAAAGTAAAAATTTGGGAAATACATTTTTTTTTTTTTAGTATCGTTTAGTAAGAAAAATTTTGTACGGGATCGCAAAAAACCCAAAATACGATATCCTTCTTTCCGGAGAACTATTCGATATGTAATAGACTAAAAAGGGAGTAAATATGTTCACTCTGCTGTGTAGTTTTTAAAGTTATCAGTAAGATGCTGTCATAAAATATTTTCCAAGAAAGTAGATAGATATAATTCGAGTCCTATTGATCCTATCCGTGCTGAATAATGGAGGCAAGTTTAGAATATATACCATTCAAAAAATAATTAAAAATACTTACTGTTCAGCAGTTCCACTGCTAAAATTATCTTTATAAGAGACAATTTCGTTAAAAGCCCGCAACGATGAGGTTACGTCGCCGGAATTTTGACTTGAACTACCGATACTATATCTTTCTCTCTCCAGAACTCTGGAATCGGAGTTTTCCTTCGAAGTCATAGTTGTCGTGTCGGCCTTACTGTTACTGTCTTCCTCAACCATACAGTAATCACTAAAAATAGGAGATAATTTACAATAATAAACGAATCTTATTTATTGTTAAGCATTATACCTGGAGGTATATTTGATCCTGGATTTTGTATTGATCAGGGAGGGTTCTCTAAAAACTTTTCCTTGATACTCGCCGTACCTATTACAATCGTCGGTCTCTCTAGTAGGCTCTTCGCTACTCATAATAGACGGTTGAAGAGAGTTGCACCTCGGAGTCAACATATATTTGGCATTGGACATTATTTTTTGAATGAACGATGTGCTTGTTTTGACATCTGTAGATTCAGAAATTGAAAATTTTTCGGAACATTGGCTATTGACGAAGATTCTTGGTACTGGCTGGCAAAGAAAAATTTACAAATTTTAAGTTAAACTGTGCATGGGTTAGGTTTATATCTTTATTTGTAGGTGGCGTTTTGAGAAGCGTTTTTAAGAATACCAAGACAAAAAGGTTTACGCATTGAAAATGGTTTATTCTAAAAGAAGATCATCTTCAACAATATACTCATCCACAAGGTCCGTACCTTATCAAGAAAAAAATTAATTATGTCATTTATCGTATAAGCAAGATCCCTAACGAAAAACTGAAGGTAGTGCATCGAATCCGGCTGGTGATCATAAACAAGTAGATAAAGACGAAAATCAACCTTAAGAAATACATGACCTTGTCTTTGAAGAATTTATGGGCGCAAGAGGTGCCAGGAAAGCACGATATTGTACTCATGTTTCCAAAATACTACTTGCTGGTGCATAGTACTTCGGCCAATATCAATGACGCACAAGAACTGGCAACTATTTTCCGGAAGAAGTTTGATCGATTATAAGAAATTCAAGGTCAGTTAGCAACCAGTGGAAAAGCCTTGAAACTTCAAGATGGATCACTTCACTTGGAAATTGTTGCTGTAACTCTTCTTAACATTTTAGCTTAGACGACAGTATTAATAGTGAAATGTAAGTGGAATAAGTACATAAATGTGTAAAAAATTTAAAATTGTTAATAAATATTAGGCTGAGCGCTTTCGGGCTTAACAAAGTCATCTTAAGAGCTGTCCTAAAAGGTGTTACAAATTAAAATTTATTAATATTAAAACGTATGTCTATCATATCTTCCACATGGAGTTAATTAGATTAAACATTGAGTTGTTAATAAAAAATACAATTGAAAATCATTTAGGGGTGGTAAAGGCACCGAACTCCAATAAATCACGTTAAAAGTGCAATAGTAACTTGCTACCAATTAGTCATCAGCAAGAAAATACTGTGTCCAGATGGCTAAATGACTTTCTATTGTTACAGAAACAACTTTCAAATACTGTTTTTCTTGCTTGTATGTTTTAATAAACTCATTCACATTTGCAAACATTTCTAGTTTTTTTTTGTTTCACATTTCTGCTCCACAGTTACAACTTTCTACAAAAAACTTTATCACTGGTATCCAACATTTGTGTATTTGAGCTCTATATTCAGGGTATTTAATTTCTCGAATATATCGACCAAGTAACTTAATTTCATCACAAATTAAGCATATCGACATTTTTCGGTTTCCGGGGGTTTTCCTCGTCTAGAAAAGTGGCAATTTTTTCTTTTAGCCTATAAACACGTTGTAAAAATGTTCCACGCTGTAACTATCTGGCCTCGCAATAAAATAGCAACGTCGAATGTTCTGCACCCATATATTTGCAAAATCCATTAAAGATTCTTGATTTTAGGGGTCTCATTTTTAATTTACTACAGTTAAAACCGTCGTTAGCACAATGTTGAGACCAGGACTCATTTCTTTGGAAGCCAGAGCCTCTCGTCTATGGATCATGCAATGGGTTCATACACATTGCGGATATTTTTCTTTCACAGGTGCTTGTACACTTTGGAATCTTCCAGACATTGTACGAGCACCATCGGTGCATATTCTAACGCAATTCTTCCATTCTAGGTTTGCCTCATTAATAAAATTATTTAAAATATCAAAACGAGTGCAGTTGCTTTGAGTTCTATAGGTTTGCAGAAAATTAATTCTTCTACTGCCGATAAATCAGACATAGGCAATTAAATGAGGGCCTTTATTGCTATCTGTTGCCTCGTCAAGCTGAATCGAAAACAATTTGTCACGCAACTTTTCAAAAAGCTGATGCTGTACATCTTCGGCTATATCACTAATTCGGCGGCAAAAGTATCATTTGAAAGAGGTATAGATTGCAATTGTTTGGCAAAATTATCTCCTAATATAGTTTCTACAATCTCTAGAGCAGCTGGTAGAATAAGGTCTTCGCCGTGTGAGCCTTTTTACATCTGGCTATTTTATATAATATTTTGTAAGAGGCAAGTAAAGGTTTTTCGTTCACAAAGTTTTTTTGAATAATAACGTTTACTCTTCATATGACTTTAATTTTAATTCAAAGAATTCTCGGGGCTTGTTAACGTACTCACTATGAAGTGTTTCCAAATGGCGTCAAAGTTTATTAGGTTTCATGTTTAAACAAATGACGCACATAGGTTTTTCTTTTTTATTTATTTTAGTAGTTCTGGAGGTTTTAATTCCATTTTCAACCTTTTCCTTGTGAAAAGGACCATTTCTGTCTTCTTAGGATTGATAAACAGTGAATGGTCCTTGCACCACTGTTCTATAATTTTTAGAACTACTTGCATTCTTTCGCAGAGTATGTTCTCAAAATTCCCTGTTTGCAGAATGACCAGGTTATCTGCATATGCTATTGTGTAGTAACTGTCATTATTGAGGCGGCTAATGAGAGTGTCGAGGACCATATTCCACAGTAGAGGTGATAGCACCCCTCCCTGTGGACATCTCCTCGCAACCAAACCTCTTATATTCACATCTTCTACACTTATGTTTACTGCTCGCTTTGAGAGCATGTTATCAGAGACAACAGAGACGTGTAACTTAATAGGAAAATATGTTCGGTGGTCCATTTAAATTACATATATGACCCTCTTTTTCTTTTACATTGATCTTTAAATATGTCTATCTCTCTCCAATAAAACTAACACCATTTTCAGAGGGCGCTGGTGTTGCTGGTTTTTTGACGTAGAAATATCGATTAAAAGTATTAAAACTGACAACTGACAATGTTATGAATGTTGTTATGAACATGTGCATTTTATTAAAATTTAGTCTGATTTTGTTGTTTAATTAATTTTCTTTGGGGGGGGAATGTTTATTTTTGCATATTATTTTTTGCATGAAGCAATTTCTGGAACCAAACTCGCGTTTTTGTACACATTTCTTTCTAGAGGTAAGTAATTTCCAATTTATTAAGAAAACCACTGTATAATGTGTGTGTTTAATAATATATTACCCAATGACTATAATTATTTTAGGTGAATTGGAACAGAGATCCATTGTTACAGCTACTTGTGTTCATTAAGTAGGTAGATGAATGTCTGGACAGCTTTAATGGCAGCACAAAGTTCCTATCTACTATATAGAAAAGTAAAATGTATGCTGAGTAAAAAATCTGCACATGTAGTATTGGCAAAGGACTTTTGAAATGATTAGAGATTAGCTATTTCTTACATACACCTACCTCTAACAGCCACTCTAAAGGAAGAAAAAAAAAATTGAATCACAAAAGGGCAGAATTTTAAATCAGGATGCATTGGAAAATAAATTTGGGGACATCAGGTCGGTTTTGGATTTTATAGAGAGATCAATCTCAAGAAAAGTTAATTTATCCTGCAGAACAACCAGTAGTTTAAGTAGGATTTGCTATAACTTTATTAGAAATTTTCTTTGATAATAAATTGTAATATAGGTACCAATTATTGTTTCAAATGAAATTGAAAAAGAGTTAAATATGAAATTAGATTTTTCATGAGTAAAATGTTATATTCATTCGAACATTGTAAGGTAATCTATAATTAAGGGAATATGGAAAATAGGTATACCCTGGTGGTGTAAGAGAAAGGTAAGGGGCAATTACAAAAATGTATTTATTTTTAAATAGTGTTTATTATTAATAATATTATTTGCTATGTTTGAAAAGTACCTCCTGCTTCCAAACAGATCGAATAGATTAGACTACTAGTTGGAGAAGGTCCACCTAGTAACCAAATTAGGAGACTAGGAAAACTTTTACATGACTGGGGACACAACAGGAATGCACACACACAAGATACACAAACAAATGAAATAACAGGGGTAAGCCTTCAGCAACGTCCTGTTTAAATGATGATAGTATGTCATCCTTCATTCCCTTTTAGAAGGCATGGCATATAAATCTATTGATCTTGATTACTATAAGAGGAGTTAGCAGGGGTCTAGCAGGTTTCAATCCAGTTTACAGGATGGGAACTTACTTGACTCGGGCCTTATACATTTGTGTTGAGTGTATGTGTGTTTCGTTTCCATGGTTTCTATTAAAATAAACAGTCATAACATATCCATACCTTTTTGCCAGACTAACATAAGTGACATTTGTTCAAATGGCAAAAAATATCGCGACGAATTGATAACCTCCTCCTTTTTTGAAGTCGGTTAAAAAGGTATCGATACTATACTTTATAAAATATTTGTTACATTAGTTTTTAAATATATTATGAATATATAACAACTGTTACTTTCTTTGTAATTTGTCTCAAAATGATACAAGGTACTTTCTAAACGAAGCAATTGTAGTTTGTTTTTCTGTACCTTATAAAAATATAATTTATAGAAAAAGAGTTTGGTGTATTATTTTTCCAAGTTTAAATATTTAATAATCAATAGAATTTTCAAGTTTTTCTTTAGCGAAATTTACAAGAGTAATAAAAACTATGTTCACTGTTTATATTAAACTGATTAAAACTTCCTTTATTAAAATGATTATTTATGTGATAAAAAATTTGATGTTATTGGAAGCTTTTATATTTTTTAATATACAGTGAAACAATAGTTTTTGTTTCTCCTGTAAATTTGTATAGAAAAACTATTTATTTCTGAATCCATGTTTGAATTTCCCGCCCTAAAGCATTTTTAATTTTCCCGCTATTTACTAGTGGCGCCATCATAGACTGGTTGTGGTTACAATCGCCCAAATAACTTTTACCGAACAAAAAAAATACATTGAGTTACACGTCTCACTGGATTGTCTCTGATGTTATGTATCCACACTATTATGCTAAGTAAATTCCGTAATCTAAGAGTCACTTTCTTCTACTGCACGGAAATGTATACTCGTAAAAAGCACCTATATCGAAAATCAGCTGTTCGAACTGTACTTTGTAATTCAGTAAATCTTGAAAAGGAAACAGGAGTGGTGTGTGGTATATCACTGATTAAAAAACAATCTCCAGTCAGCCAATTTAACAATTTCAGTGCATTTCACACCTGCTGTTGCTAGAGTGGAGATAACGGCTACCGTCGTTATTAGGGACAGTAATTTTATCACTTTTTCTATAAAGATTAAGTAAAACCATAATATTTTTACACTTTTTAATCTTCTATAAGTGTGCACTAACCTAATTAAAGCAACAAACACATTTGTAAGTTAAAAAAATTAAGAATATGCATTTATTCACGACATTCTCACGTAGCCATATTGTTTTTAATTTTTTCGATTTGACAGTCACACTAAGAGCGCCTGTGCGTGATTTAAGCGATGTTGCCAATTGCTTTTTGTTATTTGTTCTAAATAAATATATTCATGGTAATACCGTTCTATATTATTTTTTGTTTATGAATAATATGACAACTAACATTTTTATTTCTATAAATGTGGTTGTCAAACATAGTAAAAGAACGTACATAACAGGAATGACAGTGGCTGTTTTTTCAATAGCTCCAGGCCAGATTATAAAACCAGAATATAAATGTGTTTATTTGAGACTTTTCATTTCAATTATTCAATTTGAGCTGTGTCCAGGTTGTTGGAATTTATGCCGGTCGGCGTAGCCAGGTATGGGTTGATGTTTTTTGGTGGCGGCTTCGCCGCCAACCTACGATAAGTCGTTGCTTCGTTTTCTTGTTGCATATTTATGGACTGATATGCGCAATCGCAAGAAATTATGTGAAAAAGTTTACGTTTTCAAGTCAATTTGAGCTGTGTCCAGGCCGTTGGAGTCTATGCCGGTCGGCGTAGCCAGGTATGGGTTAATGTTTTTTGGTGACGGCAAAGACGCCGCCCTACGAGAAGTCGTTGCTTCGTTTTCTTGTTGCATATTTATGGACCGGTATGCGCAATCACAATTTTCCATTAACTACTAATTTTATCACAATCCGGCAACGTTGCAATCATATTTTCCAAATTTGACAGAAACCATCGGGTTTCGATGTTTACAGTCGTCAAAATGCTGATTTTTATAGAAATTAAATATTTTTTTTTTGGCTTAAATAATGCATTTACCGCAATTTTTTTTAAATGTACTATTTCTGATAAAAAATAAATTTCTTTAAAATTCCACTGTCCCTAAAGTCGTCGGGACCCCAGATAAGCTACACTGGTGAAATATATATTCTGTGCAAAAGAATGATCCATTGCAGTGTAGTTTTCAGTAAACCAAATAAACAAGGTTGCCAGGTCGAAAAATCACTAGAAATATGTCCAAAAAATCTCTAGATCGAATGAAAAATCACTAGATTTTTTTATTTTTGTATCAAAGATTAAAATGACGTTGTTAATGTACAAATGTAATTTTAATCTTCATTTAGTAATTTAAACTTCGTTTAACACAACGGTGGAATCGGCCCTATATTAGTAATATGCAAAAAGTATCTATCCAATAGAAAAGATCGGATACTTTGCTAAAAGTATTCGACACTTTGTTTATAGAAGATTGAATAAATTGCATACTTGTAATCATTTCATGTATTGGCTGAATACTGTAAATAGTGTGAATGTGAATGAAGTTCGCCATCTATAGTCTATTTTTATGTATTAGAGAGTAATAAAACAGCATTTCTAATGCAAAACTTAGTACGGTCATTTTAAATATTTTTACAGAATAATCTAAATATTTCCTAAAATTGTAATAAATGTACCTGAGCTATTACAAGTTTTGGGTCTTTTATTGGTCCTTTATAAACATAAGCTGTACAGAACAATAGAAAAAGGTTTGGACAGGCCAAAAGCCCTGTGTATTAAAGAATATTTGTCAATTTTGTTTTATTTTAATTCCAAGAATTTCTTACAGTAATCTAATTATAAGTAGATAAATACCTTCCCAACAAATTTCACCGAAAATGCGATTATAGGTTTTCCATTTAGTAAGGAGGTCCAAGTTGTGTATTCTTGACAGTTTACTAAATGTCGTTTAGTTAAAACTTGCAAGGTGCAGTGTGAATTCTAGTGTGATCATGGAAAATTTGGAAGGGCCACGTAAACGACAAAAAATCGGTCCTTTAACAGTTAATGAAAAAACATTAATATTTAATTGTTTTAAATCATTTACAGACAAACATTTATGTAAAAGTGTTAATGACATAGTGGAATTAGTAGTACGCTTGGTGTTGGGAAATCTACGATTTACAGAGTTGTTAAAGAAGAGAAATGTGGCGAGTTTCAAACAGCACGTAAAGCTCCAGTAAAACCAAAATTTCAATTAGAAAATCTTTTGAAAGAAAGACTTCGAAGGAAAGTGCATGCGTTCTTCTTTAGAAAAGAATTTCCGACAGTAGACAAAATTCTTGCCACGGTTCAAGATGATAAGGATTACCCTGAAATGAGTCGAAGCACAATATGGAAACTTTTAAAAGAAATAGGTTTTCTACGGAAAAAGCATTCCAGAAAGTCTATTTTAATAGAAAGAAGCGATATTGTAGTATGGAGAAGAAATTACCTAAGGACTATAAAAGAAATGAGAAACCAAAGAAGAAATATATTTTATTTAGATGAAACATGGATCAACGACGGAAATAAATTTTGGCAAGATGAAAGTGTTACAAGTCGAAGACAGTCTTTTTTAAATAATTTATCTACTGGTTTAAATCCACCATCAGGAAAGGGGCGCAGACTAATAATAGTACACATCGGTAGTTTAAACGGTTTTGTTAAAGGTGGTTTATTGACTTTTGAATCTACTCGTACCGGTGACTACCATGAGGACATGAATGCTGATGTCTTTAAAGAGTGGTTCGAATAAATTCTAGATCTTCTTCCTGAGAAATGTATAATAGTAATGGATAATGCAAGTTATCACTCGAGACTTATAGAAAAAATGCCCACAACCAAGTGGTTAAAAAAAGATTTACAGAATTGGCTAAATTCAAAGAATATTAAGTTCCATCCCGGTTCTGTGAGAAAAGAACTGTATCATTTGTGTTCCCTTCATAAAGAGAAATTCAAAAAATATGAAATTGATGAAATTGCAAAAAATCGTGGGATGACGATGGTTAGATCACCACCATATCATTGCGAAGTAAACCCGATTGAACTGATATGGGCACAGATAAAGGAAGAAGTTTTAAGAAAAAATAATTCTTTTAAAATGAGTGATGTTAAACAGTTGTTTTTGGAGGTTGTAAATAATGTGAAGCCTGAAAACTGGGAATAGGCAGTAAATCATACGATTAAAGAAGAAGAGAAAATGTGGAAGTTGGACAATATTACTGATGAAATGATCGAGCCACTCATTGTAAATATTGGTTGCGACAGTTCATCTTCTGATTTCGATTCTGATTTGGATTTGTAGGTAAGAAGTTGTGTTTATATTAAAATTATTATTTATGAACGTAACGTTGTTTAAAAGTCAAAGTTTAAAACCTTATACCTACATAACCCGTTTGACATAATGTTCTTAACATACCTTGTGGAAAAATAAAATATTTTAGAAAAAATTGCACTTTTTTACCTTCAGCTGTTTAGACGTTATAAGCAGGTTAATTAGGTGAAAATATAAGTGTATACTCGAGGAATAACTTCAAAAAATATTTTAACTGTCTACTAAAAGAAGTGGTATGCCTATGGATTACGAACGCTTTATTATTTTAATACTATCTCATTCATAAAAATAGACTATAGCAAGTAGCGAGTGAGCTTAAGTACTTTGGATGATATACTTTTTTCACTTCTTCCCTTAATCCAAATATTTTTTTCTTCCAACGAAATTGATATTATTAAATAATATTGGAATGCAATATGTTAACATAACAGTCAGACCTCTCAAAACAGTCACAATGAACGCAGATTAAGCATAGTTGAAACAGCTATACGGATTATCATATTACTACCCCTGTTACCTAGGTAGATCATCATAGCATTATATCCGTAGATCTTTTTAACTTTTATTTTTTCTACTCTATTTTTGAATTCAATTTAATTTTAAAAAATCACTAGAAATAGGGTATTTAACGAAAGTTTTCACTAAATCAGTAGATTTGTTCAAAATTCACTATATCTAGTGAAATTTCACTAGACCTGGCAACCTTGCAAATAAATGAACCGATATTTTAGGCTCTACATGTCTAACCGGTTTTCCATTTTATCTGCAGCGGAAAACACTCATTTACGGGTTAATAAAATTGGTGGTACCCTCAAGTACTGAAAAATTAGGACAACAAAGAGATTTGTACAATATCTGATGAAGGCAGGAATGATGGAGAATATATGCAAAAGAAATACTTACTTTATTGCTATCTTCCATCTCGGATATGGACGGTATAGACGGTGTATCCATTTTGTGGCCTAAAATAATAATCCGTATTTTTGGACATTTAATTTACTGCAGAGTATCAAGTACGGTCACAACAAATACACATAAGAATCAATATTTTAACGTTTTAGATGAATTAGGACATTGAATTTGGCGTTGGCTCGTAAAAAAATATAAATGACGTTCAAAGAGTTCAAAAAAGAGGTGACACGAGAACGCTCGATTTTTGGATTTATTCGTACTTCTGGGTAGGTAATCTGTGCTTCTGTGAAACTGACATTGATAATGTATACGGTGTATCTAAAATATGAAAGCCTTCTTTATATTTTCAGGGCAGTCACGAAGCTTTTTAGTGCAGCCTTTAGAAGGTGCAGCTTCGTGTAGATAACACTGACTGAGTATTGTTAGAATTCACTCCCTCGTCCAAATTGTCTTCGGTAGCCACAAAAACCGATCTTTTTAAAAACGAAAACAAGACGTGTAATGAAATGTCATTTAGCACAAATACGCGCGTTATTTAAATTCGCCAATCATAAAGCGTCGTGTACATAACACTGAAGGGGTTATTCCCCTCAGTACAATGCATAACAAATCCATTTGAGTCTTATATGCTCTAAGCATGTGGCCAATATAGAGGATAAACCTGTTCAGCATACAAAAACACAATTTCGTAGTAGATAAAAATGGGATAATAAATGAGGGTATTATGTTCTCTAGTGGTACTTTAGTCTAATAACAGTAATAACCAATAACAACCAGAAAGGGCAGTATATTTGTTAATTCTACATAATTCTTATAGTTCTCTTACGTATCCTCAGATGTTTGTATTGACAAACTTTCTTCATTCGTCCATTGTATGTGCTTAATTTAACCGTTCTTTAAATACTAAATTCAAAATGTATATTTTCCTGGTGTTTTAATAATCGTTGGCCACATCTAATCTAGTCTGTAATTTTCAAAATAATTTTTAGCTTGCCATAATAAAAAAAAAACACTTTAGTTGTCAATAATGTCATTCCATTATCAAAATACAGACGAAAAAATACCAATTTAAAAACACATATAATGTAAAAATTCTCAGTTTCAAATTCATAATTCTTATGAATAGATCTCATTTGACCATTTTTACACACCTGCAGTATTGATCAATAATGTAAGTATCATTTATTTTAGTCTTGCCGAAAATACACCATAAGAAAACGATCTCGCTATAACTTAATCTTATTAATTATTCAAAAAATTAAACAATATACTTACCTAAGTATAATGCAGGTATTACAAAAATATATAGGTACACAAGCGAAATGTAGAAGAAATAATATTGTTCCATTTTATTTATATGTATGTTGACTTCTAGCAGATATTTTGTTGGCTTTGAGGTCTTCTAATACACCTTCACTCCAAGATCTTATCCAACTTTAGGCAGGTCGATTTTTTTTACCCTGGAGCTATCATTCTTTTTTATTTTATTGTCCAATTCTCTAGGTTAACTCTACGTCGACCTTTTTAAAATATTATGTTGACGATTTTTCTTACAACAAATTAATATATTTTAAAATGGTCATGCTACATCGAATGGATGGTAATATGAGGGTATAACTCATCATTTGTATTTATTTCAAAACAGGGAAGAAAATGAACTACTCACAATCAAACCATTCAAATCGAAAACAGTCAACAGAAAATCAGTTACTTCAACAAGTAACGAACACGATTACTATCAGACACTAGGTAACAATAACCATAATCGTTTTGATTTTTACTACGATGCCCCCGAAACATTTGATCACATATTAGCTGGTTCTAAATGGAATGATGATACGAAGAAACCAAAATCAATTGTGGACATCAGACCTTTTATGGTAAGATTTAAAATTATGTTATATTGCCCTTCATCTGCCTGATAGGCAAGCAGCCTTTAAAGGCAGTTCTCTCCAATATTTGTAATTTATTAGGCCCATAAATGTTCATGAACGTTCTTGCAACCAGCTGTTTATTTGGGGGTAGTGGTCTTTTATGCATTCTGACCACTGAATTAGTATAGAACGGAGATGGTATACAGATTTAATGTTCTCAACTGAAAATAGGACCACTGTGCGGGGCATATTGTAATAATAATGTGGCAGAATTACCAGAGTTGTATTTAAAACTATGTATAGTTCAATTAACTAAATAAACTGCGCTTATTTAAATAAAAATAGATTTTTTACTTACCCCCCTTCTCCTGTACACTCGTTTATTTTAATCAGTAGAGAAAAACGTGTGGACACGTCGAAGTTTACCTTAATTATATTATACAGTGAGCATCATAAGTCTAACTCATTAATGGAGTCTTGTTAGGAAAATCGCCGAGACACGTCGATTTTTGATTTCTACTATGTACATTTTTGTATGAATAGTTTACCCTTAATTTCATCCCTTACTGGAGGGAAGCAACCCTTTCAAAAAATTTAAATGGCATGGGGTGGTGAGTGATAGCTCATTTAAAAGGGGGTTTTATTTTCTCTTCAACCGTGCAAAACATTTTAAAATTTGCTTCATTAATTCTCGACTAATTATTGTTTCAGAATAACGGAAATTAACGTAGCGCATTCATCCTTAGAATTAAAATTCGGCCCTGCATGATATCGGCAGACAGATTCCCATTGACAATTCCATATCGAAATACTCGATTTCGACAGTTTGGTGAATTCCGATTTGCGGGAAATCATATTCGCATCGACTAAAACGATTGCGAGTCACTCGCAATGAACTGGAGTGGGGTAGAATGCTTGTCAATAGACTTGATGTGCGACTCTATGGGCGAAGATAGGTTATTTTTCATCTCACTCGGGAGTATTTAAAATAACCATTTCCTATTTCACATTGTTATTGTCTGATCCACCAGCTTGTGGATTGAACAATAACAATGTGAAACAGAAAATGGTTATTATAAATAGTCCCGAGTGAGATGAAAAATAAAAATGGATGCGCCCATAGAGTCGCACCTAGTTCTAATAGTACAACATGTACATTGGCATTCTACTCCCCTCCAGTTCATTGGTCACTCGCTAGCTCTATGGTGCCGAATTGCTCGATTTCGATAGATTATTGAGGTTATAGCACGTGGTTGTAGAGGTTGCGTAGCCTTGTAGCGGTTGTGATTTCTAGTTAAAGTTGAAACAGTTCAAAGCATTGTCATTGTTGATAATTCCGTGTCATTGGTATAAGAAGTTCTTGAGAATTTTGAGAATATAAGTAAAAGGTCTGCCTTAAAAAATAATAATGTTAAATTAATTGTTAAATTGAAACAAAACAGCACAAAACTATTATTATAGGTAATTATGGTGGGTTTATGCACGAATTTAACGTAAGCCCTGCTATTGGCTAACTGTGATCACCTGATCAGGAATACTTACTCTTATTCGCTGCTCTTGCGTTAAATTAAATTGTTTGCATAACCATTTCTTTAGAAAGACAAATTAAAATTTCCTATTATATGCCGTCAGTTTGGATGGCATTGTTGACAATTAAAACACGTACTGCGCATGCTTGCTATGAATACTACGGGTTTCGGAATCGACCAAAACGCAGGGCAATTCGATAACGAATAGGAATAACAAATTTCTCGATATCGTATTTGGTTGCGAGTATCGAAAGCCATTCGATTTCGCATTTCGCACTGATTTGGAATCTAACTGCGGTTTTGGTTCAGACGTGAAGTAAGACTTTTTGCCATTAGATAAGGTCACTGTTAGTTAAGTTGCTTTCCTATTTGTGATATTTTGTTATTTTTAAACATTAATAAATCAACACGTAATGCAGCAAATTTCAAAATTTTTTGTACGGTTGAATAGAGAATAAAACCCCATTTTAAATGAGCCATCACTCACCACCCCATGTCATTTAAATTTTTCGAAAGGATTGCTCCCCTCCAGTAAGGAATGAAATTAAGGGTAAACTATTCATACAAAAATGTACATTGTAGAAATCAAAAATCGATGTGTCTCGGCGATTTTCCTAACAAGACTCCAGTAACGAGTTAGTTAGGGGGGGGTAAGACTTATGATGCTCACTGTATAATACAACAAATCGTATGGCGCTTCATTGAAAATATAATTTTATGGGAAATTCAGTAATATGAGTGTTTATTGCGTTACTTTTGATTTTAGAGTCTTTTACAGCGTAATAGATAAAACCTGTTACGTATTGTAAAGTGTGACACTTCAATTGAAATCTATTTTTATTAGTAATTCTATGCATTATATAATATTATCTTACCTAAATCAAAAATGAACTTAAAATGAAAAATAAATCATGAATACTAACTTTATTTTGTTGCAAGTGCGATATGGACCCAGACAACCCACCAAATCCCAAAGATATCCACAGAATATCTTTTGTGGATATCCTATATATCCACAGTATATCAAAAATATCCCGTGGATCTAATATGGATATCCAAATATCCGTCTATTATATCCAGAAGATATCCATGGATATCCAGCAAAATATCTAATGGGTATCTCCCAGACATTACAAAAAATCCCAGAGATATCCACAGAATATATTTTGTGGATATCCAATATATCCAGAGGATCTAATATGGATATCCAAATGTCTGTCTATATCCCAGGATATAGAAGATATTCTATGGATATCCAACAAAATATTTTATTGGTATCTTTAGTAGAGGTTTATAAGTAACCAATGATTATTGAATAACGTCGAAAAAAAAAAATAGCAGAGATAGAAAATATTATGACGAAAGTCTAATTTATTTAAAGTTTGTACATACCTATATTTCAGATTTGACATGAGTAGTTACAATAAGGCGAGTTTTTGACCAAAATTCATTAACTACGCTAAAAACACGTTGGGCAGCATCGTTTTAGATATGAATCGATAAAGTTAATAAAATAAATTTTTTTTATTTATTTGTCTAATTCATTCACATATTTTTTAAAGAAATTAACCCAACGCATGTCTAATCTCGTTTTGCTTACAATTATTTCACTCAGGTACTTTGTAATATATTAACACGTTGAGCGTCATTTTGTAATTACTCTGCGTTACTTTGCGATAAAATCTTAATTTCAAGAGTTTGACTAGCTAATAGAAATTTTATACCAAACATTACTTACCTTTAATCAAATTAAAAAGAAATGAGCACATTGACCATATAGTTTTCTCAGTCGTGAATTCGGCTTTTCTTATAGACACCTTTGGGGATAATAGTTTTCTGGGAGAGTGTGGCGCCAATATATCTCTTTTTTTTATTTTTTAGAAAGCTAGTGAGAATTATAAACTCTAGCTTTATCAAAAGAAAATTAATTAAAACTTAGAGAATTGTTGTAACCTTTAAAAAAATAAGATTCAACATATAAATTTATAAAAATGAAATAGTTTATTCAGTAAAAAAATGAAAATATTCAGGAACAAGTCAATATTAAACTTTAGCTGGTGGTAAATTAACTTTTATATCTTCAATAATAAAATTAGCCAATATTAGTTACCACTATTTGGTTTTGGCTGGCAACTTCCTTAGGATGCAGTCGAACTATAATTCTGCTACTCGGGAACGAACACCAAATCTCGCATCTCCCATAATTCTGCTACTCGAGCATGAACAGCATACCTCGTTTTTTCGTTCTAGTTCTAACGTTTAACTTTTAGTTCTAGCTTTTAACTTTTAACTACTCCTATTCGTTTTCTAAACAAAAATAAATTTTGTTTTTCACGTGGCTCTTGTATGAGATATAAATTAAATTTGTATATTTACATCTACTTTTTAAAATTAAATCAAGATACAATAAAAACTAATTACTATAAACATTAGAGAGTTGAAGTGTTTCCAATACGTTAACGTAAACGTGAACGCAGAAAAATAATGTTTACGTTGAAGTTGTTAAACGCATCGTGGCATTTACGTGTCATGACAAATAATGACAATTTATATTGGGATTTCTTCTTTTCCAATTAAAAAGAGTTTATTTTGTTTGCGTTACGTGTATACGCCAAAGCTCGTAAGTTTACGTATGTACGTAGACGTATACAGGGCCGCCGAGAGCTAGGTCGGACCCCAGGACAATTCTCTAGATCGGGCCCCACGACAAAAAAAGCTCTTAAACAAAAACTTTTCCTCTTCTCTTCTATCGGATTTCTCATACACAACAAAAAAACCAGTTGCCGGGCCCCCCTAATACAGCTGCTGGGCCCCTTATTTAAGTCCGGGCCCCGGGAATTGGTCCCGGCTACCCCACCCCCTCTAGTCGGCCCTGGACGTATACGTGAAGGATATTTTAATACGCATGCGTAAATGTCAAATTTCACGTATACGTTTACGTTCATAACATCACTTCAACTCTCTATTGTGAAATTTCATCAACCAGAATGAATTATAAAAACATTTAGAAAAATTTAACTTTACTTTAAAAAAAAAATAATAACTTATAACTAACAACAGGTTAAAATATTATTTCTACCGAGATATTTTTACAATGACATTATACTTTTTTTACTCACCACTTGTATAGCCAAACACTACCAAATACTAGGAGATAATAATGATAAATGAAATTTCAAAATCTAATGGCGAAATCGTTTGCTTTACTGTACTCCCACTTCACGAAATTTCCCTTTCTTTGGAATATTGCGTGCGGCAATAATTGAATTTAAATTAATCGAATACTATTTATACAGGATGTCACAATTAAAATAACATTTTTAACTGGAATTTTAAAATTTTACAACTTCTCGGAGTAAAAAGAAATCATTATACCCTGTATTCTCATTTATATAGGCATATTGAGAAAATAAATCGTCTTTATTCAGAGAAAAAAGATCCGGGAGGGTTTAACTGCGGTCCTGGAGCCGGGAAATTTGAATATGAATTGTCATTTTCCGAGAGAATAACGGAATTCCGGGACAGTTGGCAACCCTACTCACAGAGCCAAATCACAGTCAAATGGTGGAATGAACTTGTGCTCATATAATATGTACATACCATCGAATCATAAACGTTGAACACCAGTTCCGAACGAAAGAACCTCATATTTCCGTGCTTGAATAGGTTCTTTCGTTCGCTGTTGGTGCAGTGTCCACCAGTGTAAATTACACCAGTTACACCACCTTATTTACCCTAGTTTACTTTCTCCTTATTCCTTATACACATGTCGAGTGTAATTAACTCCTGCTAAATAGTTGGTGGAGAAAATATCCACCAGTCCACAGGAAGGTATAGTGGGTTTTACACCGGGCCAAATGAAACGTTTAGTGTCCGTTGGTGTAGTTCATTGCTACACCAGTGGGACGAACGAAATAACCTAATCTAAATAAATTATTGTTATAACAGGGTGTCTGTAAAAGGTCTTTACGAAAACATACCACATATTCCTTAGACCCAAATAAGTCGATTAAAGTAAAATTACCTTAGTACAAAGTCGCTTCGTTTAAGCTCCAGAGGGCCTTGAATTTACAATTTTTAAATCGTTCTTCCCATATAAATTTAAAACGGCATATGCGATTTTGCTGAAATTTGGTATATTGGTAGAGTTTTATGTGGCAAAAAAATGGTATTAAAATTTTGTCCGATAATAATACATAGGCGTAGAACTTGATTTTTTAAAAAATTGCACCTTTAAAAATTCTACGCCAATGGAAGAAAAGGAGTTTGAGTATGAAATTTAGATTGCGTAACTCATTTACTTTTAAAAAGGTACTCTTGATAAGACTCGATTACTCTCATGGTTTTCGCTAAATTTCTGTTTTAATAATTTAGAGTGTATAGGTTTCACAAAAATATTTATTTACAACATAATCAAAATAGAGATTTTACAAAAATTGTTCAAAATGTTCACCATTTTCACGCATACAAAGATTTATACGTCGAAGAAAATTAAAATGTATCATTTCTATAACTATAACTTTCTATAACTTCTTCATCACCTCTAAGATTTTTTAAATAATTGCACCTTTAAAAAATCTACGCCAATGGCAGAAAAGGGGTTTGAGTATGAAATTTGGATTGGGTACTCATTTACTACAAAAAAGTACCCTTGATAACACTCGATTTACTCTCATGGTTTTGACAAAGTTTGTATTTTAATAATTATTGTTTATGTTCTAAAATTACTAAAATGCAAATTTCGTCAAAACCATGAGAGTAATCGAGTCTTATCAAGAGTACCTTTTTTAAAGTAAATGAGTTGCGCAATCTAAATTTCATACTCAAACTCTTTTTCTTCCATTGGAGTAGAATTTTTAAAGGTGCAGTTATTTAAAAAATCAAGTTCTACGCCTATGTATTATTATCGGACAAAATTTTAATACCATTTTTTTTCCACATAAAACTCTACCAATATACCAAATTTCAGCAAAATCGCATATGTCGTTTTAAATTTATATGGGAAAAACGATTTAAAAATTGTAACTTCAAGGCCCTCTGGAGCCCAAACGAAGCAACTTTGTACTAAGGTAATTTTACGTAAATCGACTTATTTTGGTCTAAGGAATATGTGGTATGTTTTTGTAAAGACCTTTTACAGACACCCTGTATATCAAATGCCACTTGTTAACAATGTCACTTTCTTGTAATGAACTTTCATTCATGTTTTGTCTATTAGGCCTTTATTCATTTGGATATTGAACAATGCCACATTTAATAATTATTATAATATCTCATTATATACGTTGTTTACATATAACTAAATATTAATACAATGCGAATGTGAATCCATGGAAATATACAAAAGGCTGGGTATACCCCACCAATTCAATTGATCTCTTGATGACTTTGGTGTATATGAAACCCGTATGACGCTTGACGTATTGGGTGTTGCGTTTTAATGGTTTTATAACTTTTAAGAAGGTTCAATTTCAATTTACCCAGTTGAGGTTAACTTGTTTTTTTCCTGGTTTTCTTTTAATATTTATTTTGTATAGTAAAAGTCATAGAAAAAGTACATCTCTCATTAAAAATGACGAAGGTGATTTGTGGCGTATGCTAAAAAAGTAATTCGACAGTGTCCAATTTGAGGGCCCATGTGATAAAAAAACAGAATCTAGATCAAACATCGCTCCCCGACTAATTGAAAAAAATCTTACAAAACATCAAAATTGAATGCATAAAATATTATTAAAGAAAGCCGTTTGAAACGAACAATACATAAATGTAATGTGGGTTGATATACACCAAACTCATCAAGAGATCAATTGAATTGGTGGCGTATACCCCGACTTTTGTTGGAAATATAATAAAGCACGTAGAATTGACGTTCTAAGGATATCTATTTCTGGACGTTTCAAGGATTTACTAAACTGGACATACTTAAAACTTACAGAATTGGACGTCCTTAGGACGTCCTGTGCTATCTAGGATGAGTCATTGAACGAATCTGATTGCAATTCTCATACTGTCTAGCCAAAATATTTTGACAAAAAAGAGTTTAATATCCTTATGAATATGTGATTAATTCAAATTTAAAAATGAAAGTTAAGAGTCCATTAGATAAATATATATATTTTTTGTAAATTGTAGAGAGAAAAAGATTTTGTCGTCAACTACGTAACCGTACCGTCTGTAAGTGGTTTAACATGTAAGAAAAAAGTCACAGTTTGCAACCTTTGTATCGATTCTCCCAGACAGACTCTATCCACTTGTCATCGTGATCAACCGGAATCCGAAGGAGATGTGTCTTTCAAATGTGGCGGAGACGATCCGAGCACTGGTCATATAAGAGCCCGAAGCAGTTTCGTATCTTGTGATTGCGCAGAATGTAAATGTAATCCATGCTGTGATCCCAATTGCCAAAATAAGGATCCAATTAAAACATTGTATGAATCTGATCAGTGTACGTATTCGAACGATCACTGTGAACTCTCTAACGATCCCAGTAAAGCTGAAAACAATTGCAAATGCGGTAAATGCTTAGATCCAAGTGAGCTGTCTTGTAACGATAGGAAAAGAAAAGAAGATGAATTTTCTAATTACGTAATGGGATACGTGTGTATTGATTGTAAAGTTAAGCGTGATCCAAATACTCAAAGAGAACCTGTTGCAAGTGGAACAAGCTCTTCCAAACCGTCTATCATCCACCAAACTGAGGCGGCTACAGGTGATTCTAGTAAAGAATCCAAAGCTGTTGCATGTGAAATAGACTCTTATACACCGTTCTTTGTCCAGCAATTAGAGGAACGCTCAGATTCTTCCACAGTAAAAGGTATATATGAAGAATCCAATGCTTCTACATGTCAAACAGATTCTTCCAAACCATACTTCGTTCAACAGTTAGAAGAGCCCACACGTAGTACTATGGTAAAAGAGATATCTGAGGTAGTAAGGAGCGCTTGCAGTAAAATATCTAAAGTTTCAAAATGTCACACAGATTCTTCTAAACCGTGCCCAGTCCACCCATTAGAGGATCATGCAGATGTTACCATCATAAAAGGTATATCTGAGACTGTGAAGAGTGATTGTAGTAAGTTATCTAAAGCTTCTACATGTCAAACACTTTCTTCCAAACCGTGTCCAATCCACCAAGTACAGCCCAGAAATACCACCATTGGAACTAGTATACCTGATGTAGTAAAGTACCAATACAGCACAGAATCCAAAGTTGCTACGTCTGAAACAAGTTCTTCCAAACCCCACCAATTGGAGGAGCCTGTAGATATAGATACATCCACAATTAAAAGTATATCTGGATCAGTAAAGTATAATTATAGTAAAGAATCCAAAATTGCTTCATCTAACACGAATTCTTTCAAACCGTACCTTGCGTCCCAATCAAAGAAGCCTACAAATACTACCACCATAAAAAGTGTATCAGATATAATAAAATGTCGTTGCAGTATAGAATCCAAACCCGATAGAGGCGATGGAACTTGTAAGTGTGATAAAATATGCCTTTGCAAGAAAGGCGAACTGGATAAAGAACTTAAAATTAAGCCCATAACAGATTATAATGTATTACAATCATGCACTCCGTGCAACTGTCCGGTCTGCAAATGTGAGTCTTCTTCGAAAGGTGGCGATAGTGGAAAGAAAAAATCGGAATCATGTACTTGTGATAAATGCAATTGCAGCCCCTGCGAGGATTCTCCAAAACCTGGAGACAAAGGTGGGGGTAAAGACATTACCCCTTGTACTTGCCAAGATTGCAAGTGTGATCCCTGCAGCGATCCTACAAAAGTAAAAGGTAAAGGCAAAGCATCTGTGGACCAGTGTAAATGCGATAACTGCAAGTGTAGTCCTTGCAGTGATCCCACAAAGGGCGCAGCAAGTGGAGGTGGCGCCGGTATTTGTACTTGTCAAACGTGCAAATGTAGCCCTTGCACCGACCCTACAAAGGGCGCTAAAAGCGGAGGCGATAGCGGCGGTACTTGTGACTGTTCAACGTGTAAATGTGATCCTTGTAGCGATCCGTCGAAGAAGAAAGTAGCAGGAGGCGGTAAAGATGAATGTAAATGTTCCGATTGCACATGCAAGGAATGTGCTTTTAAGAAAGGCGGTGGCGGTAAAACCGAGACTCTAATGTGCGATTGCAAAGAATGCACGTGCCCAGTTTGCACCAGAAAAGCGGATAAGGGTGCGAAGTCGGACTGCACATGCTCGTCTTGCCCCAATCCCGTATGTGCGGACAAAAGCAAAGGAAAGTCCGATACGATAGATTGCAATTGCAAGCAATGCAGTTGTCCCGTTTGTTCGAAAAAGAAAGATGGCGGAGCTAAGAGACCGTCCAGTTCAAAACCATCTTCGGGCTCTAAAGATTGCACTTGCACGAAATGTGGCTGCCCCAGTTGTTCGAAGAAGCCCAAAGGTGGCGGTAGTGGTGGTGAAAGTAAAAAGGGATGCGATTGCAAGAACTGCACTTGTCCCGTTTGTACGAAGAAAGGAGATAAAGGGGATAAAGGCGGAAAAGAAAGTAAATTAACTTGTAACTGTAAGGAATGTACATGTCCTGTTTGCACGGCGAAGGGTTCAAAGGCCGGATCAAGCGGTGGAGAGAGCGGAGCATTGGCGTGCACCTGCACGGACTGCACATGTCCCGTGTGTACGAAGAAAAAGGGTGCTAAAGCTGGCGGAGAAGCTAAATTAACTTGTAATTGCAAGGAATGTACGTGTCCAGTGTGTACGGCGAAGGGTTCAAAGGCCGGATCAAGCGGTGGAGAGAGCGGAGCATTAGCGTGCACCTGCACGCAGTGCTCATGTCCCGTGTGTACGAAGAAAGGGGGGGCTAAAGCTAGCGGTGGAGAGAGCGGAGCATTAGCGTGCAACTGCACGCAGTGCTCATGTCCCGTGTGTACGAAGAAAGGGGGTGCCAAAGCTAGCGGTGGAGAGAGCGGAGCATTAGGGTGCACCTGCACGCAGTGCTCATGTCCCGTGTGTACGAAGAAAGGGGGGGCCAAAGCTAGCGGCGGAGAAGCTAAATTAACGTGTAACTGCAAGGACTGCACTTGTCCAGTGTGTACGGCAGGTGGTGGCAAAAAAGGGACGAGCGGCGGAGAGAGTGGTGGATTGGTGACAGAAGGCACTTTAAAATGCAACTGCGAGAACTGTAAATGCCCAGTTTGTACGAAGAAAGAGGGTGGCGGAGGAGGAGGGAGTAAAGGAGGTAAGTCTACAGGGGTGTAATTCAAATACGTGTACCGGGCTTGTAAAAAAGTAGTAACTTTTCATTTCAACAATGTAAGAATTAAATTATTAAAGACGGGACCAGAAATTAGAGTAGTGTTATAGTTAAAATACGCACTAGCTTATTTTTTGTGATCTAAATTATTACTTCTCCGGTTTTGGTAAAGTGCCTATTTTTTGCAAATTAAATATAAAGTGGACTTATTATTAGACACGTCAATTGCAGCAAAACAATGAGTAGGCAGGGAATGTAGGAAGAAAAAACCTTAATCAAACAAGGTTATTTTATGTTTTTGCAAAATGCGATTTCAGGTTTACTGGAAGATAATTTTTTTAAATGAAAGGCAAGTCTTATTAGTTTGCCGGCAAGATGAGGCTCCAACTCACAATGCACAAATTATAATCAATTAACTAAACAGGCTGTATCCATCCAAATGAATGTATTGGAAACATAGATCCCATTCTTAGGCTTCCGCATTCACCAGACCTGAAGTCGCTTAATTTTTTATTTGGGGCTATTTAAAGAACTTTGTATATCAAGTATGCCCTGCTAATTTGGATAAAGCAAGAGATCGAATATAGAATTCGCCTAGGTTGCCCAACAATAACCAAAGAAATAATAATTTCATCATGCAATGGAACCGTTATTTGCTGTATAGAGGCTTGTGTGCAGACTGATGGCACTCAGTTTTAACATTTGTTAAATTAATGATTTGTACTTATTTATTAATTGTTATTATTTCAAAACATAGGAAGAGAGAGAAAAAATTACTTAGACATGATGATTTTAAAAGTATATTCTTTTATTCAAAAAACAAAGTTGACCTTGAATTAACCTTGCAGATCATTATGAGCATGAGAAAATCAAAGAATTTTATATTGTATACTTTACGAATTTAAGTTACTTGACACTTTTTCTGCTAAATATGCAAGATAAATAGTTAGACCCTGTGACACCCTGTAAATTATTTAGTACCACCCCTAAATTATGCGATAGGTATAGTCTATTAGGGCCAAATAATTCCTCAGATTTGTTCCAGGTCTGTTCCAACACAGGCAAAACCGATAATATTACGGTACAAATCATGCGCTGTATACAATTTTTGGGTAGAGCGCATGAATTCTACGGTAATATTACGGTTTTCGCGCGTGTTGGAACAAACCTATCTATTATCGATTTCGCGTATGTTCGAACAGACGTGAAAAATATGGGTTAGGCATGGGCTGGGCATGGGCTGGACATGTGCTGTGCGTGGGCTGGGTTTGAATTGCGGCGGGCCTTAGGAATTAAATGTGAAGGCTTTGTTTATGTACCTTTATAAATAAAATACTGTAAACTGAAATATGCATTGGCTTCAATTATTAATATTGTTAAATATATTCTTTTCAGCTCCGTGTAAATGTCCTAGTACAGGAGGGGGAAGAAAACCCAGCTCTGGATCACCTAAAAAACCAAGTAGTGAGTAAACTTTTAACGTATACAATTTGTATCATCCATTCAATTATTATTTATACCGGGTGTTCAAATTAAAGTGTTACAGTTAAATACCGCCGAAAATATGCATTTTAGAAAAAAAAGTTTCAGACAAAAGTTTTATAGTTTTTTGGGGGAAACATTTTGGCTAAATTCAATTTTTTATAGCTGACCATAATATGGCCATATCGAGGCAAACTTTGTTTTTTTAAATGGGAATCCCATTTTTTTCTTACATATTCTTAAAGTACATAAAAAAATAAGAAACTTTTGAGGGAAATATTTTTTTTATTGGACTTTTACTGTTTGAGTAACAGCTACTTGAAAATGTAGCTGCGCGAAAAAAAAGTTGGCCATATTATGGTTAGCTATAAAAAACGATTTTAGCCAAAAGTTTTTCCCTACAAAACTATAAAACTTTTGTCTGAAACGTTTTTTTTTTATAAAAAGCTGTATATAGCTGTAACGCTTTAATTTATATCTGTTTTTCCCCGGAAATAGAAATTTATAGTAATTAATCCTTGCATGTCGGCCATAGAGTAAAGAAAGTTGGGGTAATTGTATAAATGGGGCAAATGTGTTAGCTCAACAGCTTTTCTACTTCATTAACCGAAAACCGTCCGCTCCCTCCTTAAGTGTCTAAATCTAGTACATTTTAATTATTTTGCTGGATCTTCTTGAATAATGCATTCTATGATTTTTAATTTCTATGCTAGACAGTAGACACTTCTGACACTCCCAATGCGATACTTTATACCAGAGATAAAGGGACTATGAGTTTTCATAAATGAGACATAAAGATAAGATACGCTTATAGAAGCACATGCTTAACAACAACCAGCTCGAATGCAGTTAACATCTGACTCACTAAGTGTTGCTATCATCGATATCAAACATATAACGCAGCAGGAAATGTAAAAACCTGATGAATATCGATTGCACTTTCATGTTCTGGTAAATAAATTTAAACATTGTTAATCACGGTAAATTATTTATTAAAAAGAATACTACACTTACATTACATTACACTTACATTATAGATTAATTATTGTAATGTATTGACATATCAAATATTTTTTAATTTTTACATTTTTTTATTTATCAGTAGGTATAAAGATATATTTTTGTTACACCTATTTTATTTGTTTTTCTATTAAAAATAAGTTTGTATTAATTTTTATTTTTAAATTTTATTATTTAACCATATAATGTGTTTTAATTTATATTTTTTTGTTTAAAATAAAGTTTATTTTTGTTTCTTTTTAAATGTTTTATTTACCAACGTAAGAATATATTTTTATTGTACCTATTTTATTTATTTTCCGTTTAAAATGAGTTTGTTTTTTATTTGAAATTTACCGCCAAATCTAGTACGTTCTAGTACAATCACGATCTGAATTTCAGTACAAGCTGTTGCTACTAAAAACCCAACGCTGGTCAAAACCCGCTTCAGATCGGTTTCAGTGTTTCAGACACCGTATGGTCAACTGCTGTTATTTCACTCAGTAACCAAATTCAGCACGTGTTTTTTGGAATAGCCGCCAGATCCATGGTTTTCGGGTAAGTGTTTGAAAGTTAAATTTTTTAAATGATTCATAAGTTGTATTTTTGTGAGGTTTTATGGAAAATTGAATTATATTGTTTTTTTTTTGAAGGTCTATAACACATTTACCCCGCGGAAAAAAGTAGGTCGGGGTAAATGTGCTATATATTATATTATGTTTACCCCACAGGCTATTATATTTACCCCTTTTATTTTTTCAGATAAAATGGTTCGAGTTTATAAGAAAAAAGGGACCAAAGACCCTAAGTACCCAATAGAAACGTTGGCGCTAGCAGTACGAGAATGCCAAGCGGGACATTTGACAATGTATAAGGCATCTAAAAGATATAACATACCATACAGTACCATATATAGTCGCGTAAAAGAACTTCGAGGAATGAAGAAAAACTTTAAAGGTCGACAAACAGCATTAACGAGCAATCAAGAGCAGGAGTTAGCCTCTGGACTGGCCACTTTGGAAAAGTGGGGTTGTGGACTATCAAAAAAGGAAGTTTTGGAACAAGTTTCTCTTTTCGTTAAAGAAAATAAGTTAGAAACTCCCTTTAAAAATAGAATGCCAGGAAATGATTGGTTCCTAGGTTTTAAAAAAGGCATAATCTTAGCATTAAAGTACTCCAGTCAGTTGAATATGCTAGAAAAAAGCCACTTATTATTTATCAATACTTTGATCTTTTGGAAGAAACGTTGAAAGAACTGAACCTAAAAGATAAACCTGCCCAAATTTCGAACCTTCATGAAAGTAGTTTTTCCATAGATCCTAGCAAGACAAAAGCGGTTGGTAAACGTGGAAAACCCTGTACAAAAGTAACAAGCACCCCCGAGCGCGAAAACAACAGTATGCCTTCTAGAAAGTGCTGCAGGGGAAAAGGCACCGCCACTAATTATTTTTAAAGGTTTTTCCCGGTATGTCGTATGTTGCCAGTTAAAAAGGTTGGATGTATGCGGAAATTTTTTAAAATTATTTTAAAAATACTGTTATCCCTGTTATCCCATTAGGCACAGAGAGGCCTCAACTTATTATATATGATGGCCATAAAACTCAGTGAGGCCTTGAAAAGATGGGAAGCTCAAACCTCAAACACTTTAAACAATTTTGAAACCGCTAAAGTTGGTCCTGTAAATAACCTCCACAGCAGAAACGAGCACCAATTTAGATGAGGCGAACACTAGCCTAGCTGAGACGACCAATAGCACAGCTAAATCCATCACTAGCAAAGCTTCATTTGAGTCACTTTTATTAAAATGCGTGACTCAAAATCAAGTTCCAACAAAATTTCCAAAAAAAAATTAGCGGTTGGGGCTGAGGTTATAACAGCGCCTAAGCAAGATGTTGTTGATGATGTTACCGATACGGCGAAATCAAAAACTAGAGTAAGAAATGCATCCAGCTCCTCCAGTGAATCTGGACATTTTCAAGAGTCAGATAATTCAGAGGAGTTTATATCTGAATTATTAGAAAGTGAGAATATTGAAACTTATGAGGAACCCCAAATTTTAGAAATTAATAAGTGAGCGTTGGTCCAATTTGCAACAAAGAAAATTGTTAAGCATTTTGTGGCAAAATAATCGAGAAACTAGACTCTGGTGAATGGCTTATCAATTTTTTAAGATCCAAAAAAACTAAGTTCTTTTGGCCTGACGTTGAAGATATTTAAATGGTCGAGAGTACATAAAAGTTCTTTCTGAACCAAAAGAAACCAGAAGAGGGGCAGTGCAGATCACAGTGCAATTCCAAGATTTTAATCTCTAATAATTAATACGTATTACAAAAAAAAGATTTGTTACTGGTATTTTTTAGTAATATAAAATAAGTTTTGTATTTTGCTTTATTTTTGTATTAAAATCGGATAAAACTAAAAATTTAGTACTTATTTGCGTTATTTTTTATCCAAAACAGACCTTTCAAATACCAAAATGCACAGAATTTTATAAATTTTTACAAATGCCTCCTACAGGGTACCTAACCAATCGAAATAAGCCCTTGGACGACGTTATCACATTTACCCCAAATCATGGGGCAAACTTAATGTATTGACATCATTTTAAAAAAATAATATAAAAACTGGTAAGAGAAATAAAGAAAATTATTTTATTTAACAAAAATAATAAATTACATTGCAAAGAATATTATACCCAGTAAGTTTCAGAGTTTTTCTAAGTGAAATACTAACTCAGTAGAGACCTAAAAATGAACTGTTCAAATTTTACCACGCAATTACCCCAACTTACCTTATTTTGTTTTCAAAATCTTTAGACAACGTGTAAAATAACTACACTACTAAAATTAATTCCACAGTATAAGTCAAAAAGTTATACAGGGTTAAATTTTTAATTGTGCCATGACCAGCTGTGTCTTGAAATTCAAAGTGAGTGGATACCATTGAGATAGAATAAAGGAGATGCTCTGACTCATGCTAAATTGTCCGCACCTTTGTATTACAATTTTACGTCAATGTCAAATTCGAGATAGTATAGCTGGGTATCTATTCTTGAATCTCGGGTAGTAGAAATTTTGAGGGAAGAATGAGATAAAAATACAAATTTTGCGTGTTGCAGATAAAGAGGCAAAACTGGTTTTCTATTCCCTCGAATTCAAGAATAGCTACCCTGGTCAGTTTTGGTGAGAATAAATGCCATTTTTCGTTAAATAGCTTCATATAATAATATAATAGTATATTATCAAACGAGCAATTTATGGTAGCCATTATTCACGCAGGGTGACGTTTGCGTCCCGAGCCGTAGGCGAAGGGCGCAAGTCACCCGAGTGAATAATGGCCATACATTGCGAGTCTAATACTATACTTTGTCCACGACCATTATGGTTTCTTTATTAAATAAAAGTTAAGTGTAGAATGGAAAGTTTTTATTAAACATAGGTAACTAACTGTTGTTTTTTTGACTTTTCGATTTTTCGTTTTTATCGATTTGTCGATTTTTCGATTTTTTTTTTCGATTTTTCGATTTTTCGATTTTCTTTCGATTTTTTTCGATTTTTTCGATTTTTTTCGATTTTTCGATTTTTCAATTTTTTTTTCGATTTTTCGATTTTTTTTCGATTTTTCGATTTTTTTTTTTTCGATTTTTCGATTACCTATAAAGAATATTTTCATATCAGTTTAGACATACGTGCTGTCGTGACGTCATACCGTGACTAATGGATCATTATTCACTAGTGAATAATAGGTATTATTATTCTTAAGGAAGTACAAGTATAATGAATGTTTTATAGAACAGTCGTGGACAAAATTATTTTCATTCCATCAGTCTTTAAATCTAAATTATTGACTTCAAATAAATCAAAGTACGACTCAATTCGCCATTTTGATTACACTTTTCCGTCACTTGAAGTAAGTCCATTTTGTCATAAGCCTTGGTTTCTTTGAACACTCCGTCGCGGTGAGCGGACAGTCCGTCGACCGCTGAGGACAGCAATTTTCGCCCGAGGTGGTTTGTTAAAAAATATAGAAAATGATACTTTCTCTATGTCTGTACGTGCTGTTTATGTTTTCGAAATGGATGCAAATAAATTGTTTGCGTTGTTATTATTGTTGGAAGAGGAAGAACAATAGGAACTGGCAATTGCAACCGTCAAAGTTTCCAATAAGCCAGTGGATGAGTTGCTTTTGTGTCGCGATACAGATGGTGCCTTTAATATCACTGTGCAGCGGAGGCTTTTTGGAAATGAAACCAAATTTAGGGAGTATTTTAGACTTTCTACAGATCTTTTTGATTTCGTGTTGTTTTATAAAGGACATAATTTCCAAGAAACCTAAAAATAAAGTCATGATGTCATCTGTATGTGTGAATTTGTCACTCATTGTTTTAAAATTAATAACAATATAGTCTCCGCACACGCCGACGATTCCGCTGATATCAAACTCAACAGATATCAACCGACTCTTCGCGACAAATCAGCGGCATGACGCCGTCCTGCTCAGCTAAGCGGATTCAAGAAAACCATTTCCATTTAAATACTCTGGTTGGATAAAATCGTCAAAACGCGACGGTTGACGGACTGTCCGCTCACCGCGACGAAGTGTTCAAAGAAACCAAGGCTATATCGCAAAATAGTGTTTATGTCGTCTCTACTTTATTCTATCTCGATGGTGGATAATGACTGTCTCGTTTCTTCGACAGGTGGAGGTGGAGGTCAACGTGCTGCAACTACTCCCTCAAAACGTAAGTTAAAAAACACAATAACACTGATAATAATCGTTTTAAAAAAGTAACAATTATTTAAAAACATCAAAGTAAATATCTATTATAATATACAGTGTGGCTCAAAAGTATGGAAATATCTTTGTAACGTCTTGCAGGGTCGAAACGAGTTTTGGGACTAAATATTATAATTTTTCTACGGTTATTTGTCTTTCTGTTACAAGCTTGTAGTAGTTAATTCTGAATTACTTTCACTACAGATGATGGAAAATTAAAATTAAAGTGACAGATATTTTCAATATTCGTTGTTAAATTTTGATATTCCATAGCTGACATCTGATTATAACTACTTTTTATAATCAGGTAAGGAAATTAAATTCATTTATACAGGGTTAAACATGGTGTACCTAAACTAAAAGTTGAATTAAACATTGTTATAGTAAAAATTTTAATATATTTGTAGTTGTTATTGAAAGACAACTACGAGAGATACTAATTTTCAGCAGCTATGGGACAGTCGGTAGTTTTTAAATTTTGTATTTAATTTTTTTTGTGATAGATGTTCTTTCAATACGCTATGTTAGTGAGACGTAATTTATATTCCAATGACAGTTAACTTTAAACAAAAAAATTAACATACATTTCTTTTTTTTTTAAATATTGTTTGCAGTAAAGTTGAAAATAATAGAAATTAATGCATACAGGGTGTTTCCGAACTTGGCGTCCAAATTTGTAGGGGTGATAGTTTGCATAATTTGAGAGCGATTGGCAGATTTCATTTTTCTAAAAAAAAATATAATAAACAAAATAGAGCCATTATAAAAAAAAGCAGGTCCTACCCTGAGCGCGTAGCGCAATAATCGCCTGATCGGTTACTTATCGGGATTTACAACTCAAAAACAGATGCGATTTGCAAATTTCTCCCTCTTTCTAGTGCGTATTGCTTTGTAGGGTTGTTTACCTCACGTTCAGAGAATTTTATTTATACCTACTTATTTTTAGCAATTTTTTTCGTTTTCTTAGTGTTCTTTTGAGTTTAGTTATGCTTCTAATTTATAGAGAAACTCACCAAAATGCCAGTGAAGCAGCAAGAATTTATGCTAAACGTTTTCCCTAAAGAAATCACCCTTGTCATCAAAGGTTTATCGCATTGGTACAACGCTTACGAGACACCGGATCCATTGTACCCAAGCGTGGACGAGATGGAGATCCTGGACGTCCTTTAAGAATACTTCAGGCTGAGGAAAATATCTTGGATTTACTTGAAGATGATCCCTCAACAAGTACCCGTAAAATAGCTCGTCAGGTCAACGTTTCCAACAAAGTTGTTTGGCGTACTTTAAGAGAGGAACAGCTGTATCCGTATCACTTCAAACGTGTCGAAGCCTTGCTACCAGACGACTATCCACGACGTGTGCAATTTTGCGAGTGGTTGCTACATCAGTGTCGCGAAAATTTAAATTTTTAGCGTTGTGTGGTGGTTACCGATGAAGCATGAAAACATGCGTAATACGCATATTTGGGCTGTAGAAAACCCACATGCCATAAAGCGAACACATTTCCAGCAACGATTCTCTATACATCTATGGGCAGGAATAGTAGGCGGCTTATTAGTAGGTCCGTACGTTCTACCTCCTAGGATGACCGGTGAACATTATCTACATTTTTTGAGAAATGGACTTCCCGGTCTGCTTGAAGAAGTACCCTTACACCATACGACAACGTATGTGGTTCATGCACAACGGTGCTCCTCCACACTTTCGGCGTGAAGTGCGTGAACATTTGGACGAAACATTCCCAAATTGGTGGATTGGACGAAGTGGGCCGGTAAATTGGCCACCACGTTCTCCGGATTTAAATCCACTGGGTTTTTATTTATGGGGACACTTAAAATAGTTAGTGTACTGCCAGCCGACAGAAGTTACCACAATTCAGCATTCCAGGAGCGCATTGACAACGTAGTGACAATTGTTCGTCAAAACAACTATTTAACAACATGCACTGAATCGTGGTTACGCCGACCAAGATTGTGTGTACAATGTGGGGGCAATAATTTCGAACAATTTCTATGAAATTCAAGCCATTTTCTACGTAATTTTTTTTATAATTTGTAAAACACGGTTTACTTTTATAATTTATCCATGATACTCAACATTTAGAGACCATATGGAATAAATAAACATTAAATAAATTTGAAAAAGATATCATTTGTAATTTATCAACTATTAATAATATTATTTTGTCGATTCTGAGCAAACTTACGGATAACTCGAACGTAGCGCGCGCGAGTCGAGGCAATCCCATCGCTGTGCAGGACCGTAACTGTTTAAAATTTTTAATTAATTTTTAAATATTTTTATTTTAAATATTTTGGAAAAATGAAATCTGCGAATCGGTCTCAAATTATGCGAAATACCACCCCTACAAATTTGGACGCCAAGTTCGGAAACACCCTGTATATCCTTAATTTTTATAAGTACTGGTACTGTCATTTGTCATTAGAATAAAAATTACGTCATCACTAATATGGTGTATGTTTGAGGGGTAATTTTTACTAGTAAATTAAAATAAGTGCTCAAAATGTCGTCATAATAAACGGATATGAAAATCTTCTTTCATTCTTTGTAGGATTTTTATACTGAAGTTTATTTTAAAGTAAATATATTTTTAGAATACCAAGTTAATGTAATTTTTTCCCACTCATTGTGGTCGTTTTTGTTTATTATTCACTTTATCAAATGTTTCGACTTTTGCTCCAGCGGCGGGTAATTAAAAAATATTGGACAAAAATTGTTGCTTGTGACATTTATTTTTGGGACACCCTGTATAATTATTGTATTGAGAAAATCGTGATTTTTAAATTCTTATTGTTTTTGGACAAACTGCACTCTTAATTTTCCATTAACTTTTAGGAAATTTTATGTATTTTATTTTGTACATAGACGTCATTATAGAGTTACTTTGAAAAAATTTCAAAAATATCATTTTTGTAACTGGCTTTTGTTTATAAATATTAGCGGTGGAAAGTTCAGATTCGTGTTCACCACCCTCGAAAAGAGTTTTTGGTTGCTTCCTGAATACATCTCTGAGCTTTTATAGCTCTTCCTATTGGCTACCATATAATAATATCAGTATCCTATTAATAAACCATCAGTAGAATCCTTAGAAAGATATATATTTATTGGGTTAGCTACTAAGCTTTGTAAGCAGATATAATGTAAAATATCCAAAGTTTTTAGAAAAAAGCGACAAAAAAATCATAATCATTACCAATTATTAAATCGAGATTTTTATTGAGGAGAATACCCATCTGTTGGTGTTGGCGGGTATTTATTTAAAAATATAATTTCTATGTCATGTGACGGTGCTTTTGACTAATCAAGTAACCGAATTTTGTTGATTAAAGGCTGAGAAGAACCGTGTACCTCTTAGAGTAGGTACGAGTATATGAAATACAGATTTATTATTTGGTGAAAAAAATTAGATATACATCGAAAAATTTATTAAATAATTTCCAAATATACTTTATACTATATTTTCGCAGAACATGTAGGTGCTCATTTAATTTCTTGTCATCTGTATTCTCCAAATCTTTTTGAAGGCTGTAGTTCTTTTTTATTTGGGCGACAGTAACATTTAATTGTATAAATTAAAAATTTAACGAGACGAAATCATTCTTCCTCTTCTTCTTTTTGTTCTGTTATATAATTACCAAATAGTGATCACTATGACTCTATTTTAACAAGATCGCCGATATACAGTATAAATATAAGCAGGTCCACAACCGAACCCTGTGGTACTTCACTAATGACAATAAACATTAGTTCTCAATTGAAGAATTAAAGGTATATGTTCATAAAAATTTAAATGTAAATATTAAAGTACTGCTAACGAATAATTTGTTTATTTTAAGACCAGGCTAAGCAAGTCATCAACATTTTGACTGAAAATGCCCAACTGCAGATTATTTAAAGATTTTTTTTTACAGTCTGTTATCCAGTAACCACGCAACATTTTTATTCGATAATTGGTAAATTATTGTCAATGGAACCATTTGGGGTATACTTGAGATCAGTTGCACCATCACTTGCGCTGTGACGTCATCATATTGATAAAAGCGAATTGTATAAGGGGGAAGAAAATTAGCGCAGATGAAAGGGTTTATTTATTCCAAATTCAACGGAGTATTCCAGAAAAGGTATGGGAAAGGGTTGCATCTTGGGACATTTTTTACTTTTCCAGTTATTGGGCTTACATCTTTCGTTCGAATACAAAAATCTTTTAGCTCTACAGAGGCTATAACTGTAGGCAACTATTAGCCAACAATCAATTTTGCCAGCATTAATGCGTAGACCACTACTAATTGTTCAGGTAGTTGGTAATTTTTGTCCCATGGTACAACCTGTGGTTTTACATTGGGACAGCGTGGGTTCTACCTTAGGAGATGGTAAATAATTGAATATCATAGTTTTTCTTATGTTAAAATAAGCCATAAGTTTAGGTAGTATGTATTTGTTTTTATTATAAAAATATGTTAAACATAATTCATACTAAATACAATTTATTTCAAATTAAGATCCTGTGGGAATGAAATGTTAAAGAAATGAAATCCACAACGTATTTTTGAAGTAGGCAATACTTTCACTATATTGCAAAGATTAACACTGCTGATATCGTCGACTTTGGGAAATACAAAATGAGTTCTTTGCTTCCTGAGAAACTCTTTGGTCACATCTGGTCTAGATTTGTCTTGTTCTACTACTAATCCAATGTAGTAAACACTTCCTTTAGTTTTACCGGCGATTTGAAATTTAACTAGAACCCAGCTGCCTTTGGAAAAATCAGCTGATCTTCGTTAGTTGGAAAAAAATTAGAGGAATCCTCATCTTTAAAACTAGAATAGAACCGACTCCCTCCTGAGCTATCGCCAAGGTCAGGTAATTCTTCATCAGATGAGGATGATGAAAATTCTACAGTTCTTCTAGCAGCTTCTCTCTTTGGACATAACTTGCCTTTCTTACCCTTTTCCTCTTCAATTCTCTGCTTCTCTGGCGTGTCAATGGGAATCATACACCCCTCAGGTTTTCGTCCTCTACCACAAGATTTCCTTGGTGGTGCTCTGAGAAATGGACGAATTTGTTTCGGAGTTACAGCTATAGATGGTTTCAATGCACTGCTTGTCGAAGGTGTATCTCTTTATTTCCAATGAAAGGTGACTTTCGTGGTTTTCCATAATAAGCAACACTTCATTGCCACGAGAAGACTTGACCACAGAGATAAAGTGTTTCAGGTACTTTATAAACAGTTCTGCATTGGACCAACCACTAGAAGTTGCCATACCAAGGGTACCGGGTGGTGCATTGTTAATCATGTATTCTTTGTAATAGACACGAGGAAATATGATGGCTGGGGGAATAAATGTTCCAGCAGCATTGACGCAAGCTATTACCGTTACATTTATTCCACGTTCTCCAGAAGTAGCTGCTCCAATTTGTTTCGTCTGTATGTTACCTAGTACACGTGACGGCGTGTGAACTGTAGAGCAACCCGTTTCATCAAGGTTCCATACGTTTTGAGGTTAAAGGGAGTACCTTTCATAGATTTCTTGGAGCTTCCCAAAAAATATTTCAACATTTGGTTTGTTGAAAGATGCCATTCGACCTAGGCTAGTAGACTCCGGTTTTTGAAGAGATATTCTATTTTTATACGAATTACGAAAAGTTCGGTACCACTGTCTTCCTGCGTATCCACGTTCTTTACGTTTTTCTGGATATTTGACTTTGTTTGCTTCGGAATATTAGAAAGCTAATTTCTTCATTTCGTTCACATTCAAACCAAGGTTCCATTGTGCAGCCTTTAAAATATATGAGAGAAGTTCTTCTTGCTCAACGGTGAAGACCTTTTGCGTTGCATTGTTGGCTTCGTATTTGAAATCAGTTTGACCAGTTGATTTGTATTTTTTTATGTGCCTGGCAAGAGTGCTTTTTGATAAACAATATATTCTCGCCACATCCTTAACAGCTGCCTCAACATTTTCTGCTACTGGTTTCGTTCTCTTTCTTCCTGTGGCACTTCTGCCCATATGTAATAGTGGTGAAATTGCAATTTATTGTAAAAGTTATTTATTTTTTAATGTTAAAAAATTCATTTTGTCAAAAGGTTGTACGGTAAGACAAGTCCCAAGGTAAAACCCGCAAAGTGTCCTACGGTGCAACCTAGCCCACTTGACAAAATGAATTTCTTAACCTTAAAAAACTAAATTACTTCTCAATATTTTCTTGCATGAACTGCTTGCTTAAACAGCTCCGACAGTACAACATGGGGTAAAGTAAATAAATTATGCTTACCTTTTTTGTATAAGAGCTGGGAGTTGCCGCAAAATTTTACTTTCAGGGCGCGAAAACGATAAATCTGACATTTGACTTCGGAACAATGACTGAAATAGAATGGTATTGGTGGGCAACACAAAGGATGGTGTAAGTAACATAATATGTAGTTCTGAGAGTTACCGCTAGAGTGGTTGAATTTTGAGAGCAACTGTCCCAAGGTAAAACCGTCCCAATGTACAACCCTTTCCCCTACTAATTTGCATCGACTAATTCGTTTGGGGGCCTTTTTACAAACTGTACATGAAAATTAACGCTACTGATAATGTCTCTAATCTGGACTTAAAGCAAACAAATTTTAACTAATAATTCTCAGCAGTGTTTTGTTTTAGATAGGTATTTATATTAATTTAAAAGTACCGAAGTATAAAATGAGTCACTATCTACAATATTAAAATTATAGTATAGGTACGAGAGGCTCCTTTGTTTAGGATTTTTTAATTTTGAGTCCATAATAGCTCATAGTCCAAATTGTGGATAAAACTCGAACATTCCAAAACTCGTTTCGAATTTGCAAGTCGTTAATGAGTCGAACTCGACTAGATATGGTGTTTATTTTATTTCAGTTAGTCTACCCAAGGAAGCAGAAAGTGGTGTATCGTGTACCTGTAAAACTTGTCTGTGTATAGATTGTAAGATAGCTGCATTAAGTAAAGAGTCTAGCACCTCACATCGGCAAAGTGGTCGCCCTAAATCTATTGGTAAAATATTTTTTTTTTAAGAATTTAACTTCCTTGCATTAGTAGGTATATTTACCATTTTAAATCGTTAAATTTCATGAAATCCATATCAACTATCATGGCACTGAAGCATAGAAAAATAATTATCAAAGATAACTAAAAAAGAATGTTAAATGCTTTGTTGTGGTCGGTATACCCTTGGTTATCAATCCCTTCGTCTATGAAAATAAATAGAAAACGAGCCATTAAAAACATGTAGTTTTGGAAGATAAGATCATGCTGTTATATAATTAAGAGATTAGAAAAAATTGACAGTGATGTTAATTTAATGTCCAAAACAAGTCATAACTTCGATTGTACCTACCTAATTGGATAATGATCACAGTATCCACTTAATTTTAGCATTTTAGCAAAATTGTAGTAAGTGCCTCATTTTGTAGCTATAAATGCATTCATAAAAATGTCTAAAACAACCAACTGAAAGATTCCAGTTAGTTAAAAACAATTTTCATAGGATTATCACATTCTGTATCTAAAAAGTAGGGAGAGTGGGTTGATCTGCATCACTTAGTCCTTACTAGATCATTGTGTATTTTGCAGCGGCATATGAGGACTAACCCTCAGTTTATTAAAACTCCTGCTGGTTAATAAGGTCTGTGAGAGGTATCTCTAATCAGAATGAGTAAAGAAATATACAAAGGCGACAATGCAAATGAGCGGCAGGTCCAAGAAGTTTAAATCAAATAGAGGATTTACAAACACAAGAGAAACAAATTTAAAATGGGGATATAAACTCAGACCAATGGTCTCTTTGATCTATGTTCTATGAAGACTACATAGTGACAATAGCAGATAAACTTTAAATAATATTTAGAAGCTTCATAATAGACAGAAGATATAAAAGGAAATGGTCAACTATTGAGAAAAGAAAGCTTAACTGGTACTTACAGTACGAACTTCAAAATGAGATTGAAGGATATTACTATTGTCAAAAAAGTGGTAAAAACAGCAAAAAATAAGTAAAAGGAGAAGGCTTAGATTGATAAAAGCATGGGAAGACATCATATAAGAATACGGAAACGAGGAAACAAAGAAAGTGACAAGGGGTTGAAAAACATACAAAGTAAAATTATCACAACCAATAATTAGACATGCAAACAACATTCGACATGCATTTACAGATTTATTTTCTGCAGGGAAAATAGTTATATCTGAAAAATTGACTAAAGGCAATGTATTTAAAAAAAACTTGTACCAAGGAAGTTCAAGGACGTACTTTTGTCTTATGGAAGAAACAAAGCCACATATTCGAGGATTAAACAAACCGTGCAATTTGCGAATTATATCCAGAAATTTACGATGATTTTCTTTTAGACGTTGGAACCAAGAAATCCCAAAGTAACATATCATGCACCTGCCAAACTTGTTTATGTATAGTGTGTAAGTCAGCTGCATTAAGTCAGGATAGTACGGGTGTTAAAAAGGCTCCGTCAATTATTAAAGCTCACATACTACCGCCACCAATTATTAAAGGTCACATACCACCGCCAACAACTGGGGACTCTCCTAAACCAACAAGTGGGGCCTCTCCTAAACCAACAAGTGGGGAGCCAAAAAGAGGTAAAATTAATTGGTTATGGTAATACATCTTTTTTTTGTAGATCTAAGTAACTAAGGAAATTTTACATTATTCGTTAATTTTTTTGTATCGTCGAGATTTTTCTTTTACGAACATGTACCGGCTAACTACTCGTTTAGGCGTAGGATGAATTAATAATTTCAAAACTTAGCCCATTTTTAATAACACTTAATCAGGAATTATACATTTGTGTACATTCGTTTATTTGCTGAGTAATTATTGTTATCTGACATACAATCCTTCTAAGGATTCTACTGACTATTTAATTTTAAACCGAGTTTTTTAAGTTTTCATTTTACATTTGCTTGATATATTTATAAAAATAAGTATAGAATTTTAACTTCTGCAATACAAATTATTATACATCTAAAAATAAAAATATTGGTTCTGTTTTTTAAATCTAATTTACTCAAAAATTACATAATTTACATACAATTTACATACAATTAACATTAAATTAACATACAATTTACATACAATTTACATACAATTTACATACAATTTACATACAATTTACATACAATTTACATACAATTTACATACAATTTACATACAATTTACATACAATTTACATAAAATTTACATACAATTTACATACAATTGACATACAATTTACATACAATTTACATACAATTAACATGCAATTTACATACAATTGACATACAATTTACATACAATTTACATACAATTTACATACAATTAACATGCAATTTACATACAATTTACATACAATTTACATACAATTTACATAAAATTTACATACAATTTACATACAATTTACATACAAATTATATACAAATTATATACAAATTATATACAAATTACATACAAATTACATACAATTTACATACAATTTACATACAATTTACATACGATTTACATACAATTTACATACAATTTACATACAATTTACATACGATTTACATACGATTTACATACGATTTACATACGATTTACATACGATTTACATACGATTTACATACGATTTACATACAATTTACATACAATTTACATACAATTTACATACAATTTACATACAATTTACATACAATTTACATACAATTTACATACAATTTACATACAATTTACATACAATTTACATACAATTTACATACAATTTACATACAATTTACATACAATTTACATACAATTTACATACAATTTACATACAATTTACATACAATTTACATACAATTTACATACAATTTACATACAATTTACATACAATTTACATACAATTTACATACAATTTACATACAATTTACATACAATTTACATACAATTTACATACAATTTACATACAATTTACATACAATTTACATACAATTTACATACAATTTACATACAATTTACATACAATTTACATACAATTTACATACAATTTATATACAATTTACATACAATTTACATACAATTTACATACAATTTACATACAATTTACATACAATTTACATACAATTTACATACAATTTACATACAATTTACATACAATTTACATACAATTTACATACAATTTACATACAATTTACATACAATTTACATACAATTTACATACAATTTACATACAATTTACATACAATTTACATACAATTTACATACAATTTACATACAATTTACATACAATTTACATACAATAACTATTTTTTTTTCATTTGTCGATTTTTACTAATGTAAAAATGTTTTGTAGCATGTAAATGCGACGATAAGAAAAAGGACACTGTTACATGTACCTGTCAAACTTGCACGTGCTCACCGTGCAAAGCAGGTGGAGGTAAACCGAGTTCAGCAGGTAGCAAACCAACTTCAAATGAAAAAGGTAGTAGAGGAAGTTCTGCTGGTAAAACTAGAGGTAAAGTACAGTGTATAAGCAAAAGTCGTACTAGTACAAGTAATTGTATCTTAGTAGTGATATAAACTATAAGATGTTTGGGACAGATACCTATGAGCAAACTATAGGACATAGTACATCTTATTATGGATTCGTAAAAAAATCGACTGAAAATAAACTGGTCAGCAGGCAATTATTATGGAGTAGTTTAGATCTTAATTCAAAATCTTTAAGTAACCTTGCTATATACAGTATGTTAAGTTATGTAAGACATATGTAGAACAGTACGCGCCAGACCCGTAGCGGTAGAGGTGTATCCATCTGTACAATTACGGTAGGCAGTCAGGAATTCACGAGTCTTTTTTTGTTTCACTCACGTGCAAATATAATTAAGCGTATCATCTTTATTTCGAATGATCTATGGGTTAATATATTGTATAACAAAATGTTTTCCGTGCAGGCCCTTGCAAATGCCCAAGTAAAACAGGAGGAGGAGGACTTGAAACCACTGCTACACTGATGTGTAACTGCAATCCATGCTCATGCCCTGTTTGTACCAAGAAACCAGCAGGAGGGAAAAAATGTACGTTTTTGGTTTTATTTTATTTCTATACTTTCTTAATCTTGAGCTCTTCTATTTATTAGGTAAATTTGCTAGATTCTTTGCTTGATTTAAGGTGATACATCCATTGTTATTACAGATCGTTAAAACTATAGCACATAAATTTCCTCATTTATGTTTTAACATCAAAATAAATCAATATGTGTGTGTGAATTCGAGAACTATGGCTGCGGAATCTGAATCCATTTGCCAAACTAATTTATTATTATTTTTTTTTCCTTAATTGATTTGATGTCGGGAAAATGCAATTTTACAATTTTTTGTTTTATGGTTATTTAAAATTGATTTAGTAGTCTTTTTTTTTTGTTTTCTTCTTTTTCTTTATTTTTTTTAAATAAATCAATATTGATGGTGCGTAATTCATTGAAAGTCTGTCGTATGCCTTTACCATAACCATAACCACCTTCGTTTCATTTCTATCTAAATTTCTTGATAATTCAACTAAGAAAATAAAGCTGATCATATTTTTTACACTTTCAGCTGGAACTCCATGTAAATGCCCGAAGAAAGATGCCGGCACCGGAGAAGGAGGCGTCGATTTTGGTGGTCCCACAATATCGTGTAACTGCAAAGAGTGCACGTGTCCAGTGTGTACGAAAAGAAAACCGGGTGATAAAAAACCTGGAAGTGGTGGTGCACCCAAACCACCACGTACGTAAAAATATTTTAAACATCTCAATAAATTAGAAAATAATAGATAATTTCAACGGAAGACATCTTGAAGTTGCAAGGTCATTGGAAGATCTTTGCGCCATCTATAAGTTTACATAACTAATAAAATAAAAAAAGAAAACTGTAAATTATTATTTTGGCAATCTGTTTAAGGTTACGGCGTCGGTATTCATTTTTTTCTTTGTTCTTTGTCTTCTTCATTAGTTGTATGAGCTCAGTTTTTCACCATCTCTATCTACTTAGTGCCAGGTCCCAGAGTCTTCTTTTTCTTAGTCATGTGTCATGTCAATATTTGTAAAAACCAAACAAATTGAGGTTACAATCTCTGGTTTTGTTTTTGAATTATTTTTTGCATTTATTTTTAAAATACTAGCTTAGAAACACAAAGAAAATGATGAAAAAAAGTTAAAAGGTAGGTGTGCACCTTCTGTTTACTACTTTAAATTTCAAAGTGAATAGATGTATTTATCATTGTTGGGAAATGCAGCCGACACCCATTAAAAAAGGTTTTAATTTAACAAAAATCAGCCATAGAGACCTAACGCGCGCTTAGCAAGACATGCAGATCTAGATTCCAGATCTTGGCGATAGTGAGAGTGAAAACTGAACTGAAGAAGAAGGCAAGAAAAAAAGAAGAAATTTATGCTGATGCCGCCGTAACTTTAGACAGATTACCAAAATAATAATTTACAGTTTTCTTTTTTATTTTATTAGTTGTTATATAAACTTATAGATGGGGCAAAGATCTTCCAATGACCTTGCAACTTCAAGATGTCTTCCGTTGAAATCATCTATTCCTTATTTGTGTATACCGAATTATTTTCACTCTTGACAATTGTTGTTTAGTAAGATCTACTTTAAATTAAAATACCTTTTATTTGACATAATATAAATTAGCACATTTTATTTATTAAAAAATAAACCAAGGTCATCTACAAGACTTGCTATTACAAAATATTTAAATTCCAGCTGGACGTCCGTGTAAATGTCCCCCCAAAAAAGAAGAAAAAGAAGGAGGCTCGGGAGGAGAATGCCTCTGTAAATCCTGTGGATGCGGTCCGTGTCCGAGAAAATCAGGCGGAAAGTCAGGATCAGGAGGATCAGGTGGTGGTACTAAAAGGACGGTTGGTACTTCTCCGAGTAGCGGTAAGTACAATGAAAATATTGTTTCCAAATAGGTTCTTATTTATTACTCAAAACTCATTGCAAATGATGTATCTCTTAAAGAAAATTTAAATATTAATCCTTAATCGAAAATTCGAATATCAATTTAGTATTGATGCTATTGTCTACAAAATATTTTCAGTAATGAATTTACTCCGGTAAAATAAAAATGCGATTAAAATCAAAGTACGGCATCGGTATTTATAATTGTGAAAATAAGATCAAAACTCAAAAACTATAAAGTATAATATCAAAAATCAAAATTCAAAATTAAATGTATTCTGGAGAAACTATTTTCAAAGTAAAACAAAATTTATTTTGAATATATACCATTGTGAGAAATAAAATAAAATTTCAAGTGGATATCCATAATTTTCCAGAATTACTCACCATCCAACCACAGTCACGAATTTAAAATACATGGAGGGTGATTGAATATTTCGTATTGGTAAAATTAATGAAAAAAAAAAAAACAAGTTCATTACACCTTTAATATAAAAAAATACATATTATCCTTGTAAGATTTAAATGACCTTAAATTTAATTTCTTAAATTTTATCAAATTAACTCACTAATTTTGTGAAAATTACAGCACCTGTCGATGAACCGATCCAGAAAAAGTGCGCGTGCGTGGGAACAGAAGCGCCCCCAACCAAAACAAAAACGTCAAATCTGATGAAAATAGGCACCGGCGGTTCGAGCAGCAAACTAACTTGCAAATGCCTCAAATGCGACTGCGCCGACTGCATGGCGAAGAGAGCGGATAAAGGAGTCGGCCACGATGTGCCAGGAGATATCGTGGCTTGCGAAAAATGCAGCTGCCCGATGGACAAACAAAAACCAGTGGAAAGTGCGCAGAAGGAGTTCAAATCTACCACTTGCTCTTGCTTTGACCTTGGAGAGGTACCGAAGAGGGAACGCGGGGAAGATACCACCGCGCAAAAATGCGGCCGATGCGGCTGCGTTAACTGTAAGTTGAATCCGAGCCAAATGCAATTGAACCCAAAGGTGTTCATATGTTCTATGTGCACTTGCTCCGATCAACCCACTTTTCTTACCAAGTACGCTCACACTCCTTCCAGACACAGCTCGAAATCTGCCCAGGAATACCTAAGCGCTCTGTCTCGCTTGTGTAGTTCTCACGTGCAACAAGTAGAACTGATCGAAGCTCCTCCGCCGCCACCAACTGCGCTTACTTCGGCAATAGACTGCAAACAAACTGACAGCGAAAAACGGCTCATGTGCAGGTGCACTGCTTACTGTTCTTTGATCCAAATTAATGCACCAAGTGAAAAGGGAGACGTTGCAGGTAAGTCGCATTTTATTTTTACATCCTCTTCCACTGGTATCCACCATAACTTTGATCTATATCTTTTTTCCTGGGCTCATCTGACTTAGTCTCCGATAACACTGAAGTTTAATACCTTTTGTATTTGACCCATATTAATTCGCAGTAGATACCCACTCTTTCACTTTAATGCTTTATAGCATCTATGATCAACCTGTGAATGTAAAAAAGTGTCTGCCTTTTGCGATTCAACATTTCGCAGTTGCACAGCAACTTTGGCTGCTTCTGGTTCCTTGTGACACTATATTAGGCCTCCATTATATACGCTTATTTTGTTCAGGTGTCCTTTGACTGGAGCATGTCCTGTTATTGTTTTCAACTATTTCCTATTCATGGATAATATTTCTCCTATTCTTTTTAAACATGGTCTTCCTATTAAGGTTTTTCCATGTTCTTGTTTTGGAATATTCTCCCAACAATTGTTGTATTTTCTCCGAACAGTCTTTTATAGACATCAAATGGTACTTTTTGGTTCTCCAAGGTTTATATCTGGTTTCTATAGTTTTTCTCACCCTGTCTTTGCAAGTTCGTCAGTCTTTTCATTGCTCTCGACTTTTTTACAGTTTTACAGATAGTTTTACAGAGTTATTCGATGCAATCCCATACCAGCCTCGACATCAGTCAATATGGCTTTAAGGGCCTCTTGGCTCTCTGGCATTGTTTGGATCTGCTTATTCTCGATAGCTCTTCTATTGTTTCTTCTTGAACATTAAAGGATTGCATAAACCTCGACCTGAAATACTAAAGCGTGTCTTCCTATTACATTAAGGTTGGCGTTAGGGTTTTTGAAGAACACTTTAGCCCCAGTGCCATCCGCAGTCTTTGACCCGTCTGTGTACTAGTTTTGTTCCTGTCGTAGGGCACTCAATTCCCTTATAGTGATCTCCGATCTATTTGATATTAAAACTTCGAATGGAGTGTTGAAGCAGGAACGTTTGGTTATGTAATCTGTTCTCATATCTAGAACATCTCTTATCACTAACCTTGTAAAACTTATGTGACCGTCTAACGTCGCCAACCCATATCCTATTTTTGTGTCAAAACTTTAGAAACATACCTTCTTTAGCGAGTTATTTTACATTCTTCTTTTCAGTTTGCACTTCGACAATTCTACGTGAAATACGAGAGATGCAATGCGAAACCAATCCAATAATCCTTCGCGAAGCACTTGTAGGTGGTGAAAATCCAACAACGCCAAAAGATAAATCGCAAAATACGGAAAAATGTCTCGACAAACTGGAGCAACAGGCGGAACATCAACCAGAGTTGATCAAAAACATGATCTTAAATTTAAACAATACATTTCAAGCCAAACGTAAGAAGCAACGAAGAACAAAACTTGGACATCTAAATCTTGCTGACATACCGCCATTTGAGCCACCCAGGAAGGTACTAAGTAATTCAGATACTTGCAGTTGCATAATTTGCGCCTCAAAGCGCATGGAGAAAAATTTGGAACCTCTCGAGAAACCAACGTATCATTCCATTTTGAAAATAAAATCCGAATGGCAGAAGGTACTCAAAAGCAAGGCCACCAAAACCGAATTTCCCAATGACAATTCGAGACAATTCGAGTATGATTTTCCGAGATATAAATTTAGAGACTATTTCAATGACCCTTATTTCGCTAAATATGTCCTAAAAGGGCCGAATATGGGTTCTACGAGCTCTCAAGGATCCCAGGATAAGTCGGAAGAACGTATTGCCAAACCACTGCTGGTTAAGAAAGAGGACGATTTCGATCTGACGATGTCTAATTTAATGATTGCCTATTCATGTTTGGAGAAAAAAGGTAAGTTAAAAAATGTTTTTTAAGAATACCCCTTTCAGTTTTTAGCCCATCAGGTTAATATTCTTGATATTTTCAAGAATATGTCTAATAGCCGCTTTTGCGATTTCTTCAGGTTTTGAATATTGTACCCCGAAGTGACATTCCCGTTCCTATTTTAGATTGCAGCAAGGCCATTCTATGTGAATTGAAGTTTTGTCCTACTCTTCACATATTCTACTTAGGGTGTCCGATATTTTGGTGTCTTCTAAAGTAAAAAATTAAGTTCATTACTGCTAAGATTTACTCTTATTCTGGACTGCTTGAGTCCAGGGAATTCCCACCAGAGCTTATGATGGTCTCTATTTACTTGTTCCATTAGCACCCCTCTAACATGTTGATATGAAATGCCACATGTGGTCCAATTAAAGATTTCTGACCTATATACCTGGACAGGAAGTCTGAATTTTCCTTTATCAATACTCCCCATGTGCCGGCACCCGTTCAAGAGTGAACTTGTTATGTTCTGCCAGGGTCTGGAGGGACTGACTATTGACAGTCCAATAATAATTTCGATTGTCCTTCTATAGTAATAGACCATTTTATCTTTGAGAATCATTTAGCATAAACTGGACATATGCATTTATTACTGGTCCTAGGCCCGGAAGACTGTTGCCAGTGACCCCAAATTCAAACTAATGGCCCTTCCTGAGTTAGCATGGTAAATCCCAGCTCCTGTGCTGTTTTGCATCTTCAAACCTTCTGAACACCAGATTGGTCCATTTTGTGTTTCTCTATTTTTCTGCCTTTTGACTCTTTTTGGTATTTTAATATCGAAACGTTTTACATAGTCATAAATAATAGGTATTCTATAATTCTATGGTGTCCTTTTCTTGTAAGATATCATATTGTTATGTATTTAGGTTTGGCATAAATGATCACGATTTAAACTGGTATATAACTTTTATTGTCACTGGGTTTATTTTAAACATTTAACATTAATATGATTTACTATTCACAAAATGGTTGCCATCAAACGGCCTCGTGTCTACACACGCTCGATTTACCTTTATAACTGCCACCCTGTGTAGAGTGCGCATCGAAGATCGGCTCGTGTCGAGTTGTTCCGTTTACTACTTTAGGCGGTATATTTAAATTACTTGAGATGCAATACATTACATCCCCTTCTTACTTAAAATCAGTTACATAATCACCTAACTTTCTCGGTACTGTTCTGACACGTTCCGTCCTTCTCATTTTAGGAGATATCCTTGATGAGAATGTTTCTGATGCCTTGTAGAAATGATCATTATCATTAACACTATTATGATTAGCTTGTGCTGATTCAGAAACTTCCTTATCAATGGCTTCTACCTTGTCTGACATAACATTATTACTACAGTTGTGACTTTGTGTCACTATTACGGAATCACTTGTGTTCTGTGATGCATCCATTACAGACTCATTTGCGCTCTGTGATGGTTCCATTACCGAACCGTTTGCGTTCTGTGATGATTTTTCATTAACCTGGAAATTTAAATTTTCCATAGTTTCCTGTGAAACTATTACCCTTGATCTACCTGAATCCTCAATTTGTTGAGTTTCTGGCTCACTTCCCTGTGATAATGTACTATGATTATTACTATGGTACCCTATCACATTACCTCTATAACTATTATGTCTAGTATTATGAAAATGCATACCTGTTTCAGGTGTTTGTCTCTTATACTCTCTTCCCCCTTCCACATTTTCTTCCCCGTGCCTCTCTCTCTCCTGAATTCTATCCCTTATCTGATTTTTATGTCGTCTCCAACATTGCCCGTTTAATAACCTGCAAAGGTAAATACTCCTACCTTGTTTTTTATTATTTCTGCTTCTTTCCATGATTCTTGTCCTTGCATTCTATAATCCTTTATCCATACACTTTGTCCTTTCCAAAAATATCTTCTATGTCTTGATGGTGCTACTGGCCTACTTCTTTTCTTACTGTTTTCTTTCATATCGTTTGTTATCACATCTCTACCTTCTTGGTGATTTGGATTGTACTCTTTCACAGTACCTATTATGCCTATCCGATCCATTTTGTTCTAGTTTTTTTATAGTCCGCTTAATTTTTTATGCGTACAACCAGCACTTTAGCTCCGCTTCCTCGTTTTCCTTACGTCGCCATTTCTGTTATGTATTTAGGTTTGGCATAAATGATCACGATTTAAACTGGTATATAACTTTTATTGTCACTGGGTTTCTTTTAAACATTTAACATTAATATGATTTACTATTCACAAAATGGTTGCCATCAAACGGCCTCGTGTCTACACACGCTCGATTTACCTTCACAACTGTCACCCTGTGTAGAGTGCGCATCGAAGATCGGCTCGTGTCGGGTTGTTCCGTTTACTACTTTAGGCGGTATATTTAAATTACTTGAGATGCAATACATTACACATATAAATAAAATTGTTGACACCATAGGAATGGTATATTGCTTAAGGAGACATGCACAAGTTCCGATTAGAACATAACATTTTATGAGCGTGCGACGACCACTTTACTAATTTAGTTCCTCTTGATCTTTCTAGTTTAATTTTTATTACAGGCAAAGCCAAAGACCAGATGATCGAAGGCCTTAGCGAAATTTTAAAGTCACTGGGCGGAGAAAATATATGCGAGTCTATCATGAATTGCCCACCAATAGGAACAGCGCCCGACTACGACAGATGTGACGATCTAAGATTGCTAGAAAACTGCAATTTCGATTACGTAAATCAAGATAAAAATCGAGTGTCATCCCATTCGACGTCTAGCAGGTTAAAAAAATCGCAAGCCAAATTATCGCAGCCATTCAATTCGCTCGCCAGAAGCTCGGACGATTCCATCGTAAAGCAACTGAAACGAAATAAATACCAATCTTCTGTCAAAGAAATGTGCGAATCTCGATCTAGCGATCACCTTTTTGGCAATTTTAACGAAAAAATGGCCTATTATTCGATGTACTCGCGCAATGGTAGCGCCCTCAGAGACTACGATAACACCTGTAGGGTGGTGGGCGATTGGAAAACTAGCAAACAGGTAAATGGTTTACCAGAATCTTATTTTACTTTTCTTTGCTATTGGTGAATAAAGGACATGTGTAAAAGGAACTACTGTATTTTTCTCTTCAATAGCAATCATTGAGTTGATTCCATGCATTGATGGCTGCTTTCCACCTAGAAGAAGCTTATATACTAACCAAAATACTTATCATGGTCCTTACACTCCTATGACAGTTATTTCTCTGGTTTTAGAGCCACTCACTCTTTCTGTTGTGTCGAAGTTTTTCAAATCAATTCGTCCTGGAACATGTATCTAGTATGTTGGTCTCTGGTTCTGGGGCTGAATACTCTAGCCCCCTAATCATTCTTTATGTTGTTTCTGCCACAGGCTGGACAAGGTATCTTTAAATTATAACCGTGATATTCCTGCATACTATCAGGGCTTCTGTGACCTTATTTCCTTATGTCTATTCCAGAGAAGTTTGTAACCTAACGTTAGGCAGCTCATTTCAATTTATTTCAGCTTTTATCAAGTGAAAAAAAGCAACTTGTCTAAGGATAATGGTTTTATACTATCACATCACAGTGCGTAAATTATCTTTTCTTGTGAATGTGTTCATCTATCTATCAAAAAATGCGTTATGTCAATAAAAATCGCTACCTTTATGTCCTTTATAACAAATAAATTTAAAATTCCAGGAAAATTCTGCACTTATTCCTATACGCAGTCGACCTCTGAGATCATCTACTCCTGTCCATTTAGACCATCAATCAGAATCGAGCATTCAACTAGCCATAAACAAGCTGAAAAGAAAATGCAAAGAAAAGGACGCTCTTATCAAAGTTACAGCACTTCAGCTAAGAAAGAACATCAGCAACAGAACGCTAGCAAATTTGTTGAAAGTATTACCCGGTGCAATAGGAATGAACATTTTCAATACGATCGGTAAAGATGAAAAAGAAAATAAACATCCAAAAGATGAAGAAATACAGAAGAAAATAACCGAGAGCGGTAAAATGTTCGCTAACAATGCTCACGTCAGTTTGGAGGGTTTCGAAATAACAAGCGTGATCAGGATCACGGTGGACAGTTTAATTATGAAATGGTCATTGCCGAAGAGCAAGGCAGTTTGTGGTTACGACATTTCGATCAATGGTAAAACTAAGATAAAAGTTATGAGTGGAATCAGGACGTGTACCATGATCCATTCCGTTGATTTATCCAAACCTGTATTTATTGCTGTTTACGCTGTAACTGCCTGTGGACGATGTGAACCTCCCGCTACGGCTATTTTTGAGTTACAAACCAAATGTAAATAATGTTCAATACTTGTTCAACCTATTGTATCGAAATAAAAATTCTGCGAACTTTGAATTGATTATTTTAGCCTGCCTCAGACTCATAGGCCGCAAGAGTGGCCTTTAATGTCACGGAGAAAAATGCTGTAACTACACTCACATTATTCAGTCATTTTCATATTATTTTCAACTAATCCATACAGCAAACACATTTCGGAAATATTTATCTACTCACTTCAATTTCTAAAGACATATTCTGCTTCCCATAAATAAATAAATAAATAACAAAAACCGACAACTCAAATCTATAATTATTTAGAATAAAGGGGTTGTTTCTGGCTGGACATAGGATAAAATAAAATAACTACATATCCCAACCTCTTCTTACAAATTGGACATTCTTCAGTAAGTGTTGGCCTTTTACAACATTACCCGTTTAGAAACCTTTTGTGTAATATATATATATACACCATGTTTCAGAAATATTTTCAGTGAAATATTAACTAAAATAATTTCAGAAATATTTCAGAACCTTGTGCTTGAAATATTTCTGAAACACTTCTGAAATAATGTGTGCTGTATGGGACGGTAGTCCAGTGTTGCCAGGTAAAAATTTTGTAGGTTACCTAGTATAAGAAAAACAAAAACAAATTTTTATTAAATAAAAATAAACAAAATTAATATAAATATTCTAGAAATAAAAATATGAATAAAAAATAAATAGTTTTGAAAAAAGGAAATTAAAGAAAATAAACATAAATCTTCTTGAATCATATTTTAACAATACAGGGAGGGCCATTAGTGCGTGGGTGGAATATTGCGGGTTTATTAAGGTACATTTTTAAAATTAATTTTTGGGGCATGGTGTAAGACCTCTAAGGCTACAACCTAAAAATATTTTCGATGAAATTCCAATTGTTTTACAGGGTGATTTATTTCATCCCAGATAGCACAGGACGTCCCATGGACGTCCTGATTTGGTCCCTTGTTGGTTCGGTTGGTCCCGGACCTAAATAGGACGTCCACTGGACTTCCGATTAGCGTGAACACTAGGACGTCCTATTTTGGTCCCGTTTCGACAAAGCGTTTAGTTATCGGTCCGAGTCCAGGACGTTAATGGGACGTCCGTTTTTGCAAGAGTGTGAGGACAGAAAACCTAACCTATCATTTATTTTCAAATGAACAACAGCTACAATTTTCTGCATTAAATATTTACTTATATAAGTGAGTTAGATTAACGAAGAAAAAAGGTTATATATTATTTGTTATTTTTTTTATGTCGGTGGTAAAGTGGTTATAAAGTGAAGTGAGTGTTTTGTGTTGAGGTGAGCATAATTGATGTGTATTGGCGGTAGCCACTGACGGACAGAAAAGATCTTAATGGCGGAAAGTTAGAACAAAACTAATTATGACAAAATTATAAAACTCAGTTATGTCGACACAAGCTATATAAGTAGGACCCAAGGTTCCATCTTACCAGCGCTGTGTCTTAAATTTAATTTATTCCTGTTTTTTTTGTAATCTGAAAACGTTTAACTCTAGCTAGTTTTTTCAGGATAAAAGTTGTTAAATAAAGCCCTTTTATTGTTAATATTTTTGTTATTATTACCCTTTATGGATTATGGTCAAATATCGTCCTTCGGACGTCTGATTTACGTCCCTAGGACATCCCGCAAAAGTCCCTATGACGTCCTTTTGAGATGTCCCAGGGACGTCCCTAAGATGGACGAAAACGGGACATTAGGACGTCCTCGGACGTCCTTTATGTCCCTGAAGGACGTATTTTAGACGTCCATAAGACGTCCGTGTGCTATATGGGATAGTTATGTTTTTTTAATAGGAACCCCCTGTATATTATTGCATATTTGGATTCATCGGTCAATTTTAGTGTGACTTTATGTATCACACATGGTATCTAAAATGAGTCGTTAAGCAGCAATTCATTATTTTTTCAAAAAGATGTCTAGTAAAAATTGAATATCGCAGTTATTATAAAAGTCCGTGACTCTACAGCAGTGTTTCCCAAAGTGTTCCAGGTGGACCCCCAGGGGTCCACGGGAGACTCGACGGGGGTCTAGGTTGGGCGTAATAAAAAATGGAGGTCCACAATCGTAAGCGGGGGTGCATGAAAATTAATTTGGTTTCGATAGTGAAACAATTAGTCCAGGATCCGTAAATAAGGTCGACCTTCACCCATCTGTTTAATGGATAAAACTTATTTTTTATTAAATAAATTATGTTTTTAAATATACCGCAAATGGGTTGCCTAAGAAAATACGGTCACGGCCATTTTTTACTTTCCTTTCTGTGTACAGACAAGTATAAAAATCATGATAAAAGTTGTTTATGATGTCATTATCTATTATTTTGTCCCTATACATGATTTTCCTAAAATGGATCTAATTCGAGATATTTGAGGAAAAGTGCAAATTTCGAATTTTGAAGAGAACTCAAAAACGTATGAAAAGAAAAACACCAAATTTTTAATCCTGCGGTGAGCTGATTAAAGTTTGGGCATAGTTGAAGCATCTGGGGAATACTTTACAAGGTGTCGTTTTTTTTACTTTAAGAAAAAAAATAGTCTGGACCGTATTTTCTTAGGCAACCCATTTGTGGTATATTTATAAATATATTTTATGTAATAAAATAATGTTTATAATATAAACAGTCAACATTTTAGCCGGAACTTTGTTTATTTCGCCTTGAGATTACTAAAACAAAGTTTTTCTTATTTATTTACTTACACATTTACAGGTAGGTAATTGATACAAAACATAGCCGAATCTAAGAATAAGTGTCGTCAGTACAGTGTTGAATATTTAAAATTTGGTTTTCTTCCATCAAAGGCAGACAAACGATTGTCTATACATGCCTTTTATGCAACAAAGTTTTGAGCACTGACTCTATGAAACCATTAAAGCTGGAAGATCATCTAAGAAGGTGTCATCCTGATAAAATAGGTAAAAATTTGAAATATTTCCAAACATTAAAGGAAAAATATGAAGAGACCCACCGTGCACAGTATGTTCTCTTCAACGTCTGAAAGTAACGATGGTGGCTTGAGGGCATCTTACAATATCTCATTACTTATCGCAAAATCTGGAAAACCGCACTCCATTGAAGAACAGTTAATTTTACCTGCTGTTGAAGAGGTTCTGCACAAATCTTCATTTGACATACTCAAAAGAATTCATTTGAGTAACAACACTGTATACAAAGACGTATTGATGAAATGAGCTGATGTTGAAAGTTTCTTGTGTGATTATCTATGAACAACTCATTTTTCTATTTAACTGGACGAGTCAACTTTACCTGGCAATGAAGCATTATTATTGGCATATGTTCAATTTGTTATGGGCAAAGAAATTCATGAAGAGGTACTTTCGCGGACACTAAAGGTGAATCAATATTTAATGTTTTGAGTGATTTTTTTAAAGAAAAATCGATTCCATTCACTAACGTTATTTCGGTGGCAACAGATGGAGCTCCTGCCATAGTAGGGCGATATCGTGGGTTTATAAGCCATTTTAAAAGAATTATACCAGAGGTAATTGCGCTGTGTTATCCATCGACAACATCTAGTAGCGAAAAATTTGAGTGATAGATTGCACCAATCGCTTCAATTTGTGATTAATGCAGTTAACAAAATAAGAAGCAATGCATTGAATACGCGTTTATTTGCACAATTGTGCGATGAAAATGATGAAGACTACCAACGATATCGAAGTACGCTGGTTGTCGAAAGGTGCATGTTTATCAAGATTTTATTTACTTTTTGACTCAGTTTTAGAGTTTTTGGAAAGTAAAGATCCTGATTTAAAAAAAAAACTGTTTCTAGTTTTGCTCAAGTCGTTCTAAATTTACGTGATAATAATGGCCCTTGCGGGTACTAACAACCGATTCGGTTGAAGAACAAAAACCAAGAACAAACGTGAAATACTAGTCCATAGTACGTTCACTACTGTTTTGCTTGATTACTACATATTTAAAACTTCGTAAATGGCCTAATTTTTACAAATCTACCACACTTTTGCTCTGTGAAAATTCAACGAAAATACTGCATTCTCTACTACGTGACGCCTGAAAATGTCGATTTTAAGATGATATGTAAAGGTGCGTTCTCACTGAATCAACACTGCCGATCGACTCTGTCTATCGACATTGTTGATCAACAAGTCTACAAAACTGCATCTGTCCACACCAGAGTTGACAGAAATGTTTGTCGATCAATCAACATTAAATTCATTAGCAATTTCCATAAGGGCAGATTTGTTCTGTGTGTATGCCTCAATAAAGGCTATGACTTTACCTTGTTCCCATTCCATTTCTCCAACGAAAACACAACTACAATGTCAACGAGGCAAGACGTTGCTGAGTACTTAGTACTCAGTACTAACAGTTTGTCGAATGTCGAAAACACGTCCACACACTAAAGTCGATCGACTGCTCTTTCATGTTTACCGACAGGCGATGGAAAACAAATCGACATGTCGAGCGATTTATTTTGTTGATCGACACCGTCTATTGCCGCGTACACACAAAGTCGACAACGTCGATCGACAGTGTTGATTCGGTGAGGATGCACCTTAACACAACTACATACTTCTTCTGCACCGCAATTGAAAGATAATTTGATAATAAACACGAAACAAGGCTTGACCGACAGAATTAATCCGGCGTTCGATGAGTCCATATGCTGCAACATGTCAAAATAACGAGGTTATGTTTACCATTTACTACATAATTAAATTTCGCTGGATAGTTCAATAAATACACCCTCACCTAATCGGTCCTAATGACTGCCAAATTTGAAGCGTCGTTTTTTCAGTCCGATGACCCGAACATGTCATTTTTACAATGGGTGGTAAGTTTAAATTTTATTTTTTTAATTTTGGGTTGCTGTTACTAAAGTCCAATACTAGTACAATCCATATAACCTACATAGAACATAAGGCTAATAATGACCTAAGTTGTCGAAGCCAGTAACAAAAAAGTAAATATTGAAATGATATATAAAATATATATTATATGAACAAAGAACTAATACTTTATTTATAACTAAGAAAGAAACAAAAT